GAACGACCTCCACATCAACTGCTTGTTGGGCAAGTATGAGCTTGTTCGCCCCGAGCGCCCTGCATACAAGGGTCCTTTCGCCAAGGCACCCCGCAACTCCATGATTACCTCCGAGCTAGCTGAGAAGGCCCAATTTGACAAGGTGGAGAAGGAGCAGCTGGTTCTTGCTCAGCTGTCCCAGCCCATGTGGGCCATGGATGCTCTCCGGTCTCTCAACGGCGGCAATCTGCTCGCAAGCCCTGCCCACCGCGTGCTTACACAAACCTCTTCAAAGTCCAAGATCTCGCAGGGAGCACGCAAGCGCAGCTTCCGCATCCTGGACCTTGGTGGCCACTCCTCTTGCGACTGGGCGTGGCAAGCCGCGCATGAGTTCCCAAATGTCAAGGTTTACACTGTCACCTCCAATAACCAGACCGTAAACAGCGCCATCAAGGGCCCTCCCAACCACCGTCAGGTGACCGTGGCCAACCTCTGGGAGCTGCCTTTTGGAAACAACCAGTTCGACGTCATCTCCGCCCGCTCCTTGCACGCACTGCTGAAGACTGAATGTCCTGTAGGCAAGGACCGCGACGAGTATGACCTCGTTCTGAAGGAATGCATGCGATGCCTTAAGCCAGGCGGCTACCTCGAGTTCCAAGTTCTTGACGCCGAGATCTCGCGGGCCGGGCCATACGCCAGCGCAACGTCAGTGGAGTTTGCCTTCAACCTGCGCAACCGCGGGTACGACCCACTAGCGTCCAAGAGCTTCGTTGGTCGTCTCCGCAACACCGGATTCGTCGATACGCAGCGCGCGTGGATGTTCCTCCCGATGGGCACTGAGCCTGTCGAGCAGGAGCCCCTGCGCGAGACTCCCGCACCTCGTGTGCAGAGCCAGATTGAAGATTATGAGGCGGTGCAGGGGCCGATTGGTAGCACGGCGGATATTGCCAGTATGACTGGATTGATTGGGGGGTGGATGTGGGAGCAGTGGTTATTGAAATTGCGAGTGGAGATGGGTCGTGAGCGATCTATGTTGCTTGAGGGTCTTGGTGCGCTGTTTGATGAGGGGAGGAAGAGTGGCGCGGGCTGGACCTGCCTCTCTGGATGGACTATGAAGCCGAAGCGGAAGAGTTCTGTCTCTTTGGCTATGGCTGGGTCTTTCTAGGGATATCGGTCTATCTTTATGTACTTAGCCTTGGCCCTGGTGGCTCGCAATTAATGTAATCAATGCTTTATGTCTGAAAAATGCCTTTTATCCTAGGAAACCCTTTAAATAAACCCAATATAAAATGTATAATGTACAATGTATTACCCGGACCCTGGAGCTCTGTATTGTTTCTAGATTGGTTTGGACAGAACCCAAAACCTACCACGAAGATCATATGACAGTAATAAGGTACAGTATCAGGAGGGTTCTTCCATAGTATATCTGCCCACGGGATCTTCACGGATCATGAGGGGAACCTATTGGGTATCGAAACAAGCAATATGACGGGTCTTGGCTCAGGTAATTCCGTCAACCCCGCCGATCTGAAAAAGTCTTGGTCTACCCCGAGTATGAGATCTAAATGATTATAAAAGTCCGATTCTTCTACGCGGACACCACCGGCCACTAAGTACAGCATCTATTCTCCTAACTTGCGAAAATATTACTCTCATAGGTGGGTCGTCAGCCTGTTTGAAATAACCAAATATGCCCTGTGGTTAACCACAACATATATTCATCGGATTTTATATCAGTACTGACAGTTTATTTTACGGTTACAATAGTGATCAATTTTAGCATGTGATGACGGAAACTCGTGTTTTTTCCTTTCGCAATAATGCCTTCTAATAGCGTACTTCACAAGCTTAACTTGTGTTTCTCATGAGATCTCTGCATTTCAAAGCAGCCGGCGCACGGGGCTATCTTAGCCTAGCACTATTGGGCATAACTATTGAGGTCACAAACCAATCATCCACGGATGGATCCTTTCAATGATCAGTAATCCTAGTTTGTAAGCAAGCAGCGCGGCCCGGAACACCATAGACGCGATAAGTAACAACTTTATATCCACTCAACAACAAGTTTATTTTCTTCCATTGCTGTAGATAGCTAGACTTCTCAGTAATATGAGGAAATCTTAAAGCTACATTACCATGGTGTCGAAATTTATGTTGCTTTGAGCCAGAAATATAAATATCTTAACCACTAGGACATAGTGATTCTCCATACTCCCTGAAGTGGATAGATATTATGTGGAAGGCTTTAGGCTATAAGAAAAAGTGCTTGTAATCTACTAAAGTGCATCTAGATTACCAATCACATTAAATCCACAATGATGTGCTCTGAGTCACTCCATTAATACAACCTTGGGACGTATTTTCTCAGCACGCCTTTGCACACACTAAACCCTCGAAGGAACGCTATTATGCCCTTCTTTCTTGACACTTTTCTGAGAATACCCCTTACCATACTTAGCCAATGTATGTATGCTTATTACCAAACTGGTAAAGTGTGTAAATATGATCAATTTGGAATTTGAATTTTCTTTTTGGGGCGGGAAATGATCTCTCCCAAATTTTACCTATTATGCTTAGTATGGGATTTGAGGCCCTATTTAACTGAAAGAATTTCGTTCTTACCTTCATCATCCCACAGTTCTACTACGTGAGAGCTGAACATGGCTTCCCAGGTCAATGACAGCGGAGTGGAAAGCCCATCCCCTTCATTGACGGCGACAGGAAAGCAGGCGGGAGATACTGTTCCAATAAATATAACAGTTGATGAAACATCATGTCGGCCCACAGACAAAGATTTAAAAGAGCTTGTTCATGTCGCCGACAATGTTCCCTACCCAGTTTGGTTGGCCATTCTGGTCGGATCAGCCGAGCGATTCGTCTTCTATGGCGCCTCAACCTGCCTGCAAAACTACTTGCAGAACAGCCCAAACGATCTCATTCCTGGAGTTCTCGGAATCGGGCAGTCCAACGCAACTGCTGTAAACTATGCCTTCATGGTGTTGGTTAACTTTGCACCGGTGCCGCTGGCGGTGGTGGCCGATGGTTGGCTGGGGCGATATAAGCTGATTTTGCTAAGTACAGTGTATGTGAAAATTATGTGTTACTGCGCGTGGAGTGTATACAGAAATCTCGCTTCTGTAAAAGTTATGCAGACGGACATTAGCACGATATCTGCTGACATTCCATCAGTATCTACCTCGTTGGGTTTCTCATTCTTTTTACGACAGCTCTACCTTCAGCTCTACACCATGCAGGTGTGTCTGCCGCAGGGCTTGGTGTGTCTCTTGTGTTGATCGCGGTTGGAATCGGCGGCGTGAATGCCTCGGTTTATCCCTTTATCGCGGACCAATACCCCCATCATGAGCTATTCATTCGCGAGCTCCCGTCCGGAGAACGGGTGGTTGTGGACCGATCTCTCACGATACAATACATGTACAATTGGTACTTTTGGTGCGTCCCAAAACCCTATCTCCATGATTCCAGGTATACAAGCTGGAAAGCTAACAATGGATATTCATTCAGGTTTATTAATGTCGCCTCTTTGTCCGGGATAGCCACCACCTTTATGGAAAGGTATTCCAGCTTTTGGTCTGCCTTTTTACTCTGCTTCTGCTTTCTATGGGTGGGACTGGTTCTTATGTTGGTCTTCAAAAATAAGTACTGTACGTGAAAGCACAACCTCCCTCCAATCAGCTTATGTACTCATGGAAGACCGCAGACAAAGCGCCTCCCGCAGGCTCAGTTGTTCCGAAAGTGTTGCGAGTCATTTGGCTCGGGATTCGAGGTGGTATGTCACTCAACGCCGCCCAGCCGGCGGTGCAACAGGAAAAGTACGGTCGCCAGGTTCCGTGGGATGATGAATTCCTGAAGGGAGTCCGCGATGCTCTCATAGCGTGTCAAATCTGGTGGGTTCCTAATTTGTAGCACATTCTCCGCACGCTAACATTTCCCAGTCTCGCATTTCCAATTGTCTGGCTCTGCTGGGGACAGACATACAATAACCTGATCTCGCAAGCCGGTCAAATGGAAACTTACGGGATTCCCAACGACGTTATGCCTAATTTTAACCCTATTGCCTGCATCATCGTAGGACCACTGATCCAACAATGCTTGTTTCCTTTTCTCAATCGCCGCAAAATTCCGTTTCGCCCCATTGCTCGTATTTCCGTCGGTTTCTTCTTCATGGGTGCATCTTTGGCCTGGGCAACTGGGCTCCAGGCCTTTATCTACCGTGCTGGGCCGTGTCTTGACTATCCCCTAGCCTGTCCAGATTCAAAAAACGGTACCATCCCGCAGCATATCAATGTGTTTCTGCAGGTACCGTGTTACGTGTTTATGGCGATCGGGGAGATCTTCTGCGTGACGACTGGGTCGGAGTTCTGCTATTCGCGAGCCCCAAGGAGCATGAAGTCTATCGTGCAGGCATTATTTGTAGGAACGGCTTCGATCAGCTATGCATTGGGCATTGCGATCTCGTCGGCTGCAAAAGATCCTCATATGACTATTTTCTACGGGTCTTTGACAGGTGTACAACTTGCTATTACGGCTGGTTTTTGGTTGATGTTTCGGAAGCTGGACAGGGATATCATTGTTTGATGTTTCTAGGGGTATAAATACATACAATAAATCCGTCAGTTTTGATTAAATGGGTTAGAAAATAGTCTAGGCTTTACGAAGTCCGTTTCAAGTGTCTCAAAGGCCAAATTTGCCAATGCGATGATCATTCCACACATAATCCCATCATTGGCGTGACTGTAGACTTCTGTGGGGCTAACACTCCCCTCATTAGCCCTGTCTGGCCTGCTTAACACGACACTAGCGATGTTAGCTTCGACCAAGTGCCCCATAGAGACATCGGGATAGTCATCACCTCTGACCATTTGTCATCACTAGGTGTGCATATTGTTGAGTCATCTCGCGTTGCTAATGTTCTGCACTTCACATTCTGTTCAAATCCAGTGTTTCTCATACAGTAACAGTGAATCACCACAATTCAAACCCAAGAAAACATCCTTACAATGCCTTCTGCAATCGGGAAGAAAGCCATACTTGGACTTCCGGAGTCATCGTCGCCGAAGGAGGTTGAGAATGCAGTTAGACAGAAAATTGAGGCGTTCGTCAAGGACAAAGACGATGTCGATCGTGTGTTGTCAGGTCTACGGTGGATTGGTCTCTTTGATCCCACGCCTGTTGATAAATATGGTACACCTCTTGACGTTCTCTGTGCCGTGCTGGAGACCCGAATGGCCTACCAGCCCGGAGAACGAGACATGATTGTGTTGCAGCACATCTTTGATATCAAATATGCGGATGGTTTGGTGGAAAAGAGATCCAGTACTCTAGTTGAATATGGGGAGCCTCTTGGCCCGGGGAGTCGCAGTGCGATGGCGAAACTTGTAGGACTTCCCTGTGCTGTAGGGGTTCTCGCTGTGTTGGAGGGACGCATTCCAGCGACGGGTATGGTGGCGCCTTGGTCGAGTGCGGAAATTGCCACGCTGTTGCGGGACGAACTAAAAGATAAATTTGGCATTGAGCTGAAGGAGCGGGTTATCACATAAGTCGTGTTGTGATACTCAGTATGCCATTCGATTCATCTCTACACTCGAAATTTAGACATAACTTTTCATATAAAATAAGAACAGTTCTGAAGTGATTTCAAACACTCCATGAATAGGGTATCAGTGAGGCTAAGTCTGAGCGCCCTTATAAAAGCAGCGGCAATCAGAAAAAGAAAAAGAAAAGCAAAGAAAACTGGTAAAAGCTATGGAATGGAGGAAGATGACGGATTGGTCTACTACAACAGCAGATTAAAGCGGTTATTCAAACATGTTGGATGTCACTGTATACTAGATTCAATATTTTTATCTTGCCATTTCACCTGCAGATTTGGCAACAATCTACCCCAAAGAATATTTGGCTTTGACAATAATTTTCGCGGAACAGTACAGGATTGATCCACTCGATAGTCCTACTTCAATACATCAGGTAGCCAGTCATGAATACCATCCAATTTCTTCCTTCGATGCATTCCTCCATTACGCCCTCTCTCTAAGCTATCTTAAGCATCGTAAAAGATAGATAATTTCCACAACAAGAAAACGGCTATAACTCCATTGGCATAATCGTCTGAACAGTTATTTCAAGCACCACCACCACTGGGTTTCTTCGCGTTAATATTGGCCCATGTGTTGCACAAGCTGAAGGGAACAGTGAGGCCGCAGGCTGCGATAGTAATTGCAAAAACAACCTTGATGCCCCATGCGTACGCACGGACAACACCGTCCAGCTCGGCTCCAGAAAATAGCCGGTGCACATCAGTGGCACCGGTACCCGTGACTAGTGCGGGATTGACGCTCGGTGCGGTTTCGGCAAGCTTGTGCACGAGCTGGTTGACGAAGCCGGATTGCGCAGCTGAGAGTAAAAGTGTGCTGCCGACAGATCGAGCGACTACGCACGAGGGATATGATCAGCTTGGGGATACAAGTGGGCAAAGAATATTAACAAAATTCTAGGACAGGGCAAAGGGGAGCTTACATATAATAATCGCAGTCGTAGGAGCCATGTCACTTGGCTCAGCAAAAGCCTGCACAACGACGACCGGGACTTGGAGGGCGAGGCCGTATCCGAAGCCCGCCAAGATCTGATACCCAACCCATTTGCCTGTCGAGGTCCCAACGTCGAGTGTATACAGTAGACCAGCGGCGATAGTCACGATCACAGAGCTAGCTGCCATATAAGGAGTTGCAATACCCGTCTTCGTGATGACTCTACCTGAGCCAAATGTGGCAATGCCGAACATGATGATGAGAGGAATGTTGCGCACACCCGAGCCAATTGGACTGACGTTATCGATGCTTTGGAAATATATAGGCAGGTAATAGAGCGTGACGAAATACCCGCCAGCGAAGAAGAAGCCCCATACGCTGCTGACCCAGACGGTCCTTTTGCGCATAATGCGTGGTGTCAGCATGGCGCGTTCCCCTTGCCATATTTCTGCGACGATAAGTGCAATAACTATGACGACGAAGCCGACGAGTAAACCGATGACAACGCTGGAATACCACGCATAGGTTGCACCACCGTACTGAAGAGCTAGAAGCATGCAGGCCAGTGCACCCATTGTAAGCACCGTCGCTATCGGGTCCATATGGAGAAGCTTCTCCTTGAGCGTAGCCTGGACCACTTTCGCGGCTTTAGGGGTCTTGAAGGTAAGCAGGATGACAAAAGCGGCCACACCACCGATCGGAAGATTGATATAGAACCTAGAGTTGTCACATCAGGCCAAGTCCGATTATAGCAAGATTCGATAATATAACTGGAAAAAATCCCCTTTTTTGTAACAAAGACAAAGTATTAAAATTTTCTCGACTCACCATCTCCAGGATGCCCCTTTTGTAAGCCCTCCACCAATGAGTGGTCCACAGACAGCGGCGACGCCATATGTCACACCAATGACCCCCGTGTAGGTAGCTCTTTTGCTGGGCTCAGCAGCAAAGGCAGAAATTGTGTATACCCCCGGCGCGATACCCGATGCACCGAGACCGGAGATGGCACGTCCAACAATCAGAGTCGTTGAGTTTGGAGCGACAGCGGCGATCAAACTCCCAAGTTCGAAGATGAATATTAACACCAGGAAACTAGTTTTGAGGGGAAAGTATTTATACACTTTGCCCCAGGTTGACTGGAAGGCTCCAAGCGTCATGAAATAAGCCGCACTGTACCACGAGATATCGTCAAGGCTGTGGAATTGGTCGGTAATTTTTGGAATGGCGGTTGCAACAATAGTCTAAATCGAGAGTATCAGCTTCCTGGCGTGTGGTGTGTTGCATTGGCAAAATACGACTCTACGAGAAGATTGGAGCGGTAGAACTCACCTGATCCAGAGAAGAGAGGGTGATACTGAGTACGAGCGCAACCATGATGAAGAAGGCTTCCATACCTTTTGGATATTCCATAACAGGCTTTGGCGCCTCATCCACAGCTTTTTCTTCAGTAGCAGGACCATCGTCTACACCACTAACAGACGAGGATGCCATAGTGAACGGTGTGTTAGACTCGACGGTCTGCTGTTCCCTTTCAGGCTCGACCTGCTGTGTTTTCACTCCGAACGCTTCTAGGTTGCCGTTGCCGTTGCTGTCCTCTGGTAAGGGAGGTGGAACTGTTGATGGAGACATGTGTGTTGTCATATGGCTATGGCTCAATTGCTTCAGCTTCATATGAGACTCTGTACGCTTTAGTGACGCTTTAAGGTTAAGCTTTTATAAATAGGGCTGCCAAATTTACGGAGATAATAAGTATCAGACCCTTATTAGCGAGGGTCCAGTACTTTTAGTAACAAAATTATAGGGGCCGGTAAGTATGGCACATTCCCAAAAATCAATTGAATGTACCACTGTTAACTCCGTTAATTCTGTTAGTTCTGTTAATTCCGTTAATTCCGCTCATCCCAGTAGTGGACAGTAGCTCGGGAGCTTTTGAGGATACACCCCGGAAAGATCGTAGTGCGAGTAATCTTGCTGGGGTTAAAGCCAGCTGGAGGACCCCTTACATCGGAGGCATGGGGTGGGCAGGTGTGAATATAGGCGTAGGTTCTATAGAGGAGAATAGAACAAAGACTAGGGTGGGAAATTTGTGTTGTAGGAAACGATAAAGTCGAGGTCGTCTCAAGGCGTAGAGTAACAAGGATAAGAGAATGGGAGGTACAAGGATACCAGACAGGAGGGAAAGCGAAGTATCTTATAGGCGCTCAAATGGACCGGGTGAAAAAGGCAGGGGACTTGAATTTAGCTGAAAGGGAGCCATTTTGGCATCGTTTTGGTCGCCAGTGGAAACGAGGGGAAGAACCGTCTGAGTCGAGCGTCAACATCACCTGTGGCTTCAAAAGCGATCATTTTCGGCCTCAATACCACAGGTCCTCATGTTCTAGTTGTTTATAGAAAAAAGAGTTAGACAAACATATACTCTAAGATAACTATGGATGTTATAGAAATATCTTGTTTTTATTTTATTTTCCATATAATTAATATTAAATAGAAGCTATTTTTCGCTTTTTTTTTATTTTTCTTTTGACAGAAATCTCGTGTACAGCAAGGTATTGCATAGATGACAGAGGTGTATGACTACGAAGACTAATAGGACTCAGGGTTCAAACCCCTTTTCGTAGGTGGTTTAGTGCTTGAATGCCTGACTTAATAACGGCAGAAAAATGAAGATACCTGGATTACTATTACACATATCTTCATAATCAAAGTACACTGATTCTGGTCGCGTCCAAGTCCAAAAATGAAGCTTTTGATATCTCAAACAATTATCCTAAAAAGAAATCTTAAAATACCATCTAAAAGACCATCTAAAAGACCATCACAAGCCGCAAATGCGGCCGACTATTCTTGTATGAAGATAGATTCATTTGTATAGGCCAAAAGCTTCATTTTTGACAGTGGTACTCCGTAGTATTAATAAATTTACCATGCACTGTATAGAACGGTGTAAAAGGCTGTCCTAAAAAAGGCATTCAGGCCCCAATTCCCACCTACAAACGAATTTTTGACCTGAGTCCTATAAGGCTTCGTAATATGACTCTAACTAAAAATGACAAAATCCACCTGGCACCTGGGCACTATTTGACAATGACTAAGCATCACGATTAGGTACTTAACGTTTATTTGGGACCCGCATCCAAAGCGGTCCATGTATTTTCCGAGGTGTTGAACACCCGGTTCCCAGCCATGTACTGTAACATAGCTTTCGACACCTTTCAACTTACTTCGAAGCATGCAGTTTGTTTGGAAACCGCAGGCTAAACCAAAAAATAGCGAGACGAAACAAACCCTTCCAACGCGTACGCGACAACGAGCCATACTCTCCTGCGATAGGTGCCACCGCTTCAAAGTCAAATGTGATAGGGGGGTGCCATGCGGCCGATGTGAGAGAACTGGACAGCAGAACGATTGCCGATACCGATCTTCCAATCTTCATCAACCTTCCAACTCCCAAACGCCGGGCATTGGAAACCACAATGTCACAGGTTGGACTAAATCAGTACCCTGTGGAAACTGTAGAAGAATGGCTACGGCGGTGACACATTGGGCAATTCTGACACAGGAGGTACCTCACTTGTTCCCTTCATGGGATCATATTACCATATGGCTTACGCATATCATGGATCAATTGTTTGAAGAAGCTGCTCCATTTGTTTTCAGACGGGTGGCTGATTTTGATCATATCTACCGTGGCCGATTTATAGAAAATTCTTTTCTATCCAAGCTACCCACAAACCATATCCGGGGAAAGCTCACGACAAATATTAGCTCTAGGAGAACTCTCTCTTGCCTGCCTCCGCATGGTTTGGTCGTCGAGCTCATTAACAACTATTTATACACTTTTGAACAGGTCTATCCTCTTCTTGAAAAAGAACTTTTAGTTGATCAAGTTTCGACCTTTTTTTTAGATCCTGCGACTTGTTCCGAAGGATGGATCTCGCAATTTTTGATGATACTTTCTCTCTCGTGTCACAGCGCTCATCCTAATATTGCCGCACGCTTGGATGGCAGGGCATTTGAATTAGCTGCCAGTCTTTTTGATGCTGCCCATGCTGAGACCGAACACTATCAATTTATGAGTGTCCCAGACCTTACAACGATTCGAACACTATGCATGATGGTCTTGGCGAGAAGAATAGGAGTTGCGTCTCAAAACAACTCTACCAATTTACTCGCTTTGATGGCCTTGGTAATAAGGATGGCCATGTCCATGGGCTTGAATTTGGACCCCGATACATTTCCCGAAATATCTACCATCGAAGCTGATTCCCGGAGGCATATTTGGATGACCATTGTGTTTCTGGATTTGCACATCTCCCTAGAGAAAGGCCTTCCGAATATCATTCGCCCAGAAGACTATACCACTCGAGCTCCAGTTGAGGAAGCCACGGGCCAATACGACTCAAATAACGACTCTGATTCTTTCCGATCACGTTTATCAAAATTGTTCCCAGTTGCCTCGGCTATTCTCCATCCACCAAAACATATACGCTCTTCAATTGGATGCGACGAAGTAGCACAATATGATAGGTTTCTACGGGACGCTTTGCCTCGGCTAGATGTCCCTGTCAACTGTGTGTTTGGAATGGTCCCACATGAAATCGAGCAAAGGTTGCTACAAAATATCACGCTCGAGATTTTCACACGCAGCGTATTGCTCTCTCTACATTATCCTTTCTCCCGGATCGTCGCAGACAGCCAGTGCTATGAGGCCTCGTTTTGGGCTGTTCTCGAATGCTCGTTGGCGATACTCCGTCTCCAGAATTCACTTTACTCCCTTGTCTCGCATCGATCGCAGGGTGCTCGCATCGATCGCAGGGTGCATGGCTGATGGACATCTTCAAAGTTGATTTTGGAATTGCTGTTATTCACGTCTCCCTAGCACTGAGACGTGGGTGCTTTTCAATTGAAATGCCAAGCTTGGGCCGGCCCTCAGCAAAAGAAACTGCATGGCATACACTGTTGACTTCGACTGACGCAATGAAGAATCAAGTTGACCGTTCCGCTACTCATTCAAAAATATTTTCTGGTAGCATGTACCTTGTCGCAGCTTTGCAGGCAATTCAAAGTTCCGACTCCATCCTTAGGCATATGGAACTTGCTGAAGACACGATTATAGCTGCCGTTCGGAGCCGATTACTCGATACGCACAGGTGTCAATATGGGGCTGGGTTTCTGAATTGTTGGGCTGAAACCACAATCGATGTAGATAGAATGCAAAGATAGCTTGAGAAGTCCTACTAATTCCGATCATAAAGACGACTATCTTCCTCTATTCATAGCTCGGCTTCCTCGAAGTTCCGGGATGATCATGATGCCTTTACTACTCAGGCATATTCTGCATAGGACTCACAACCCGCGAAGTTGCTTATTTGCCAATGAAATTATCTGATACAACAAATTTATTTTCTACCAAAAGTCAAGTAATAAACATCTAAGGATACCTACGTTGTGTGTGATCTTATCCTTGCTATAACCATCTGAATATACGAACAGGAACAAGCCACCACCAAGAGACTTGCAGTTCCAAAACACCAGCTTGTATAAGCGTATTTGGCATTGCTCACACGTTCGCGTTTGATGTCCCCATGCCACCTTGTCCATCTACCTTCACATGACTATAAAAGTAGGGCTGAGCACACCAGGTCCCCAATGACGACCTAAAGGGCATTCAGGATACCATCATATGTCCAGTTGTAAGCCATGTTCTTCAGCCCGTTTGTTTCGTTCATGGCAGTGCCCGCGGAGCGCGTGTTGAGTTGGACCTGAGTAGCCCGAGGACGACGAACGCCGTCCCATGTCTTCAACAAGGCAGGTACAGCTTCCCTGGTTACATTGTATTGTGTAAACAGTCGGAAGCCCTCTGCATCCTCAATGGCTTGGTTTGCTCCCTGTCCTTGCAAGGGCGTCATTGCATGGGCAGAGTCGCCCACCAAGACAGCTCGGCCGCGGACATAGGAAGGAAGAGGATCATGATCTCGAAGACTCCAAATCTTCACTTCTTCTGCACGCCTGGTCACCAATAATTGTTAGCTTCTCATCCAAAGTATGAGAAAAGGGTGTAGGTGGGGAAATAGTTAACATACCGAATGAATTGCAACATATTCTCGGGGAAGTCCTTGAAAACTTCAAGTAACTCATCCCGGTCTCCGTCTGTGAACCACGACTCTTCTCCCGTCTCCTTGACATAGGAATTGGGGCAAATGTAGCTGAAGTTCACATATCCAAATTTCTTGGCTGGGTATGCGATCAGGATACGGTTCGTTTCGTCTTCTGCAGGAATCATGTGGGAAAATCCTCCTTTGCTGGGGTCCCACCACTCGTGTAAGGTGCCAGTGACCTCCTTGGCCTGCTCCGCTGACAAAACGAAGCGAAAGATAGATTTCCCAGCTGATTTCACGTGACTGTCGGAATTGCCGACGATTTGTTCGCGAAATTTAGAACGGATTCCATCAGCGACTATCATCAGTGCTATTTAGTAAAGCCACACACATGTCAAGACAAAGGCAGAGCTTACCGATAATCAAATCCACTTCGACAGACGAACCATCTGCGAAGGTGACCACGCCAGAGTCGACATCAATACCAACCACTTTGACGTTGTAGACGACGCGAGGTGGTATTCCTGTCCTTCCTACTTCCGCTGAATCCGCAGTAGCAATACGCAGTATCTCATCGCGGGCGTCTGAGCGAAGTGTCATCAGCCACTCCGCACCAAATCTTTCGGCTACATCGATGGGGATGACTTTTTTCAGTGTTCCATTCTGATGATACACTTTGAAGCCACGCCCTGAAACCGCTCCCGCGCGGTCCTCATCGAAGCCGAATTGGTTCAAAATTTTGACAGAGCCAGGACTGAGAGAAATGGCTTGTCCTCCTCCAATGGCATTCTCACTACCACGTTCAAATATGGTGACATCGTGGTGCTCGCGAAGAACACAAGCTGCCATTGTTCCGGCAATACCGCCGCCAATGATGGCGACACGAAGGCGTTGTGGAGTACTCATCTCGGGCAAGTTAAAAGATTTGAAAAGTTTGTTGGTATGAATCATTTTTCCACGAAGGATACAGGCTATTTAAGTACAGATATAAGTAAGATTTTCAAATCTCCTTCCATGGTTTCTAAGGGCTAAGTATAGCTCACGAAACGGTTAGATCTAATGATCGCCACCGGTAACGCCGACAGTTTCTTGAAACAGCAAACTCCTATGCAAAGTCGGGTTTATGGGATTTCCATATTCAGTAAGGTACAAAGTAGGCTTCGGTCTACTCCGTAGGATGAATCCTTATTCAATCAAGAATGTGAGGTATTTAAGAACAAAGTGGAGTACAACCCACTAAATTGACCAGTCTCTCCACTAATAACGCCGACAATTTCCTAAAAGAGCATAGTCATATACGGAGTCGGGTTTAAAGGATTTCCCTATTCGGCAAGGTGAAAAATAAGCTTCGGTCTACTCCGTAGGATGAATCTTTATTCTACGAAGAGAATAAGCTATTTGAGAACAGATAATAATGAGATCTTTTTTTTAAGTCTCCTATTATCTCTAAGCGGAGTATAATTTACCAAATGGTTAGTGAGACCTTTCAATGATCTCCACCGATAACGCCGATAATTTCTTAAGAGAGTAAAGTCCCGTACGAAGTGGGGTTTAAGGGATTTCCGTATACGGTAAGGTAGAAACTAAGCTTCGATCCAATTGCTCCGTAGAGGTCCCTACAATCAAACTTTTTGGCGTGATGGGGGCGAAAGCAGATCAAGACATCAGCCATCGGGGCTCATAATCGCGATTCGGAATAGTTCACCGGCTCCCCTCCAGACTCTCCCGACGGAGGATGTGTAAGGGAAGTGGGTGAACTCCGCTTAGTCACGGTTACAGCATGGACTAAAAACCCTAAATCAGTTCATACATAACCATTAGCCACACCTCACATACACTTAATTGAGTCTTGTGGGAGAAAACGTAATACAGTGTTTCGGATACGGGCAGAGAAAAAAAATGGGCGTGTCTGAGGGGTGGACTGTTTTTAATTTCTAGTATTATTTTCTGTTTTCTAAGCCCCAAGACAGATATCTGTCAATCGCTTGACGATACACCTTTCCAGTCACCAAAGCATTAGTCTAAAGTCAATGGCAGTGGTGTAGTTGTATGGTGTATATGGTTAGATTGACTGGTCCTTCACTGGTTTTGGACCTAATTCAGTAGGAGCCCCGTACACTAGTCTATAATGCTACAGAGCATCCTGCAGAAAATTCCTGTTTGGTTGAAAAACAGTGTGCGCTGACCTCGGTATACTAAGTTCCGGTCGAAATCTCGAGGATTATAAACCGTGTAAGTCGCCGCTGAAAGCTGAATCGCTCATACACAAAAAAAACGTTGACCTGAATCTCCAAGCCCTTGATCAAGCTTTTTCTTCTCACAATGAAGTTCATTCACCCTTCACATCGCCCCGGCATGAAAGACCCGATCTCGCTCTCAAATACCCCAAACGCTCAAGTCTTCATGTCACAGAGTAAATGGTAGCAAGTGCGCACCTACGCTGACAATCTGGGTCACCGCGTAGTGCTCGAGCAGTACGTGGAGCCAGACTACGAGCCACATCACGACCACATAATTCCCACCCAGGTCTACAGTCTTGTCCCCCTGGATGACGACCACAAAAGCCTCCGGGATTACCTGATGCAAGATTTTTAGAATAACGAGGTCAAGCCTTTGTTCGAAATTTATTCATACTGCCCGCCCGACGACTTTGCCTGTATTGAGCATAACCGCATTGAAATCGCCTGTCGCAAGCAGCAACACTGGTCAGGGGCCTAGAATCCACTCCCGCTGATTCCCCGAGTCACCCGTCCTAGCGGCTACTCAGCCGTTGGGTTTTGTGTCCTGCCGCGATCGCACAGCTATCGAATGGGCCATACTGAGGACTCAGATAAGCTTGCTGAGCTAGGCGAAGGCCCGGACTTACTCTACTTCAATCGCTCGTTTTCTAGCACACGAAGTGATATTGACGAGGCGCAGCGTATATCTAAGGGTGACGAGAGTCTCTCGTCAGAGGCATTTGAATTAGCCATCGATCGAGTCACGGAACAAATTGACATAGGCCAGATTCTTATCGATATCTTTTATAATGTCGATCAAGTCCCAGAAGAGCAGATTTGCGATTAACTAGGTCAGCAAACTTCAGTTGGCGGCTTTTCTCTTGATCCAGCATTCCAGATTTCTCAGGATGCCGACATTATAACAGTCACCAATACTCCCAAGGGCAAAACTTCTGATATTCAATACCTTATCCATGCGCTTTTTCTCAGCTCCATCCGCGACACAGCAGAACTCTCCCTCTTAGAAAGCACAGCGCGTCTCTTCACAACATCAATGTTCTCCCACCTCCCAGCTAATAAAACCCTCATTCTCAAATTCTTCATCCCAAAGTCCCCTTCTTGGTCGGCTATTCGCTCCGCCCAAGACGAAGTTCTCGAAATTCTATCCCAGCAAACTCAAGGAAGAGGGCCGAGAAAATCCCTTCCCTATCGGCGCTCTACACAATATCCCGCATGCGACGATCAAACCCCAACCGCAAATCGGATCACTCCACAAGACCCCGAAAAATCTATCATCATAGCACAAGGCAAATACTGCGACCTCTTTCGCCTATTCACAGTTGTGCTCGATCGCGCCAAGTTTATCTCCGAGGCCGGAGTTTACTTCTATATGGCGGACCTGGATGCTTCCAAGGATTCGAACCCTTTTATGGAGTTCGCAGGTTGTGCGAGGCGTGGACATGAGTACGGTTGCTGGGCGGTTGGGGTGGTTGTTCTTGTCGGATAATTTAGTTTTGTTAGGTGGTTTACAATATATTTTGTGGAGATATATACCCCGAGGCAGCTGAGCTCTACTCGAACTAGCCGCCAGGTACGGCCATCATCCTCTGGTCTCGGCACCTTTTAAACACGGGTAGACATGCCCAGGGCCACGATGACTAGGAGCTATCTTCTTTTCCTAGCGCACAGCGTCACTGCGGGTAGAAGCATGGTAGATTGTGAAGAGGTTTGAAGAGCAAAAAGATGGAAACCAGTGGATTATTGTACTTGGCATCTTACCATCAGTGGCAGTCGCGCGACCATCTTCATCGACATGACCCCTTCCCGTAGGTAGTTAGCTTCAGACATTCGGTCAGACTTACGAATACATCGTCATTCTCTTTCCCTGGCTTTTTGATGTTTACATTTCTACCGGCCTTGTTAAGGTCATCCCATAGCGACACACGAAATCGCCACAGGCAAGTTCATTAAAGCGATAGATATACTATAATCAGTATTTTCTTGAGAAATTCAGCTTAGTTTAGATCCGTAACGAGCAGAGGCAAAAGAGGTAAACAATGTCTATTTGCTAATATACTAAGCAAAAAATGAAGTCTGGACTCAGATCGCAAACGGCATCCTCTCAGTAGCAGAAATTTTTCTTAGTTCAGCCAGTATTTTTAGGAGTATTTTCTCCTTCTTCTCTATTGTAGTTAGGGAATTGGTTTGAAATAGATCACCGCAAAGCATAGAATAAGACTATCGGCGACACTCCCGCATCTGAATTGGAACAAAGACGTGGAATGCATGTCGAGTCAATGATGAGACAGTGGTCGTTTCAAGAGCCACAAAGTGCTTCCAGAAATCTATATCGATACATGAAAGTACTTTGGGATATCTTGCGGATTTATAATCCGTGTTGATACCCGTGGACCTAGGCAGTACATGAGATTACATGACGGCGAGGCATCGCCATCTACCCCACTATGTCTCTCACCCGTATACTCCAGCTATTATATACATCTCTTTCATTATCTCAACCAAAAATCAAAATTTGAGATTTAGCCTACACTGAGGAATTCCACGAGCATGAAAACCCAAGCCTAGTGCAATAATATTAGCTTAAAAACATTGGAAGTCTATACAAAGTGTCGACGATACTCCGGAGCAGTGTGCCCCGCTACCAGCACAGACAATGGCCCACTTTCCTAAGCACGACATATCTCTTTGGGCAGCGAAGCGGTTATTCTAACGGCTATTGAGATACCGGGTTGCACTAGATTGGAGTATTTGTACCCGATCTTCGAGCTAGATGGATGTGTTGTAAGGAGATCGGCGAACGGAGATTGGCTATAATGCGTTATACAGTCAGACGACTGATGACCAAGCCACTAGTCAGACATATATAATGTGGTACCAAGAAAAAATCAAGATTTAAGAAATTTACATCGATGCAAGACTGCTAAGGAATAGCTAAGACTGAGATTCCAATATTGGAAGTTGAAAGGCGAACCTGTACACAGAATACATTCCTGATTGGCTGCAGCCCAGACTTCCGCAGCTTCGACGCAGATTCCAGGCGATGCCTATTTGATCTTAGATCGGATAATTATAGTTAACCCCTGCCTATCAAGGTCAGCAGACTGAAGATATTTTTTCTCCCGGCATCACCTAAATAGGTTATCCAGAATACAAGGAGATTAACAATGCCGATCCTCTTTTGACCCCAGGCTACGATCATCTCTGAGAATGAGATTGAACAATTCTTAGTGGAGAGCTAAGAATACTAAGAAGTCAAGATCGTAGATCGAGAGATTGACACGTGAGAGCCAGAGCCCTTATCAGTTGCATCATGACCCTTCGAAGGGGGACGGAGTACTGGCTTGAAAGAAGAAAAGAATAAAAACATAAAATCACTGACATAGTTCAAGTTAGTGTATATTTCTGGATTTACGGTGAACCCGGGAATATCCACTCTTCGCCACTGATGTAAACAGCCCCGGGGAGCTTCAGATACTATTTTTTTCTCTTTATAACCCCTCCACCCCTCCAGATTCTCCCCAATTCCTCCCCCCACTCTCTTCCCCCCATACACATACATCATGGCACCTCCCGCTATCATCGCCCCCTCCATTCTCAGCGCCAACTTCGCCAATCTGGGCCATGACTGCTCCAAGAAGATGGAGCAGGGCGCCGACTGGCTGCACGTCGACATTATGGACGGTCACTTCGTCCCGAATATGACCATCGGCTGTCCTGTCGTCTCTCAAATCCGCGGCTGCGTCGACCGTCCCTCCGAACCCTGCGGTCGTGGCACTTTCGATTGCCACATGATGATTATGGAGGTGAGTTAATAGACTTCTCCCCATACCCGCGTCATTCCGGGACGTCATGAGCTCTCCCCGCTGACCATATTTCGCTTCGTTATAGCCGCATAAATGGGTCGGAGAGTTTAAGAAGGCCGGTTGCGATCTCTACTGCTTCCACTATGAGGCGGCTGTTTCTTCCGTCGCCGCGACCGATCCTACCGATAAAGAAACTACCGCTCGGACTAGCCCCAAGCAATTGATTCGCTATATCCACGAGGAGGGTATGCAGGCTGGTATCGCGATTAAGCCCGATACCCCAGTCGATGTGCTGTGGGATATTATTGAGAGCGAGGACCCCGCCGAACGACCAGACGTGAGTTATTGCTTTTTTTGTTCCAGCTCCCCTGTGGCCGAATTTCAATTTCTTACACATACACACTCGCTCATCTCCAATTGCAATGGTACTAACTATGTTTCACAGATGGTTCTAGTTATGACCGTGCACCCCGGTTTCGGAGGTCAGAAATTCATGGCCTCCGAGCTCCCCAAGGTCGCCGCTCTACGCAAACGGTACCCCGATCTGAACATTGAAGTCGACGGTGGTCTTGGCCTGGGTACAATTGAACAGGCTGCCGATGCAGGCGCTAACGTGATCGTTGCGGGCTCAGCGGTCTTCGGCGCACAAGATCCCGCCGACGTCATCGCGAAGCTGCGCGAGGCTGTCCAGAGGCGTCGCGGCGCGGAGCTGTAGACACGAAACGGGTACATAGCACAAAATGGGGTTTGGGTGTTTTGTCTTTGGCCTCATTTGAGGGCTGGTCTCTTTGAATCTTTTTTTTTATATTATACATTCTTAATCACGAGTTATGAATGGCATTTACATGTGGAAGTCATCTGTCCACGCTTTCGAGGCTATTGACATTTTCATACTGAATGTACGAAAAAATGGATTGTAACCTTGTCAGGCATTCTTGATGTACAGATGTCATAATCATCGAATTCGTGAACAGCGACTTCCCCAATCTTGAACGGATGTAGTCGCCTACTCCGCCGACTTCTGTGTGGGAACCAGCCCTGCCTTGGTATCATCCTTCGCACCTTCTGTCTCCTTGGTAACAGTAGCCACCTCCTTCTTAGGCTCAAGCCTGATCGCTAGAGGCACCATAGGCGTCGCAAGCATTTCAGCGATAGCATTACCCTTGGGCTCATTGGGTTCCATAAGTGTTTCCTTAGTCTCCACGGCCACATCGTCAACGATCGGACTCGGCGCCTCCTCAATCGGCTCGGACTTCGCTTTCTCCGCAGCCTCTTTGCGCAGAGCTTCGATATTTCCCGTAGGCTCTGCAGAGACAGACTTTCTGATCTCATGCACCACCTTCTCTTGATCCGCATTATCCAGCGTCGACACCCTAGATCCGCGGTGGTGTCCAACCAATCCGAGCACCTCTGCATTATCCACGTGGAAGTTTGCCGATGATACGGCCGCTTGTTCGGGAACTAGGGTCGGGCGTTTTGTGGACTTTGGTGAGTCCGGAGCGGTGTCAGGCAATTCGGGGGCCACTGAGCCACGGTGCGCACGGCTGGCGGCAGGCACTTCTGTGGTCTGTTCTTTCGTCTCTTTCTTATCGTCTGTCTTGGCCTTGGCCTTCGAGGCAGCCTCCGAGCTAGCCTGGCGCAGGGCTAGCACCGCCGTATCATCCTTCTTGTCTTCGGGCTTGGTAACGGGAGGGGTTTGGATCTTGATCGTGGAGGGTTTAGGGGTGGCGGTTGTCGGCTGGGCTTTGGTCTCGGTCGCTGCTGGGGCAGGATAGCTGGTGGCGGGCATGCCCCCTAGGTCTTGCACGCTGTTTATTACCATACGCAATTCGCCGAACTCGTTCCATTCTTCGACCTCTTCTAGATCCTACAAGTCGGTGGGTTAGCGCTGCATTCCTAGTATAGCATAACTGCGTTGGAAGCTGGAATCCATGCAAGGGGGCTGCCACGTACTCCCACAATATCGCCGTACTTCACTAACCCTGGAAGCTTCTTGCCCTTGGAGCGTCGGCCCCAAAGCTTCCGAGCAGCTTCGTCGGTGGCGACATCAATGGCGCGGAAGGGGAGTTTGTTCGCTTTGAGGATAGTCTCAATTCGGGAGGTCGCGGTGATGATGTGTGATGACCCCGCGGTCAGGGAAGTGTAGAGGTAAAGGGTTGAGTCTGACATAGTGGAGGTGTGGTGTCGAAGGTGGAATTGGTGGGAGGTTGAGGATGAGGGAAAGGGTTCTTCGTGGGAGGAAGTTTCAATTCATTCAGGGGTTAGTCCTGTCTTTCCTCTTTGATTGAACATCTATAGGAGAAAAATAGATTATTTCCCCCTGGAGGATTTATTATGACGTGGCTTGGTGGGTATCACGTGCAGATTAATGCTTTGTTAATTTCACTGCAAGATTCTCCCCTTTATATAGCATCATTATCTCTTGTACTTGGTCTATGATGTATACTGATTCCCCTCATTGAAGTTCAGTCTCTCCACAACACGAGCCGTTCCATGTGTCCAGCGGCTATCTGCCCTGGAAATGGGCCCCAGTGTGGCAACTTGACGTCAGATCCAAAGTTGCAAATATCCTGGAATATTCTGGTGGATTTTAGCCTGTTCATCTTCACTCTGAAACCAGGTCTCTTTGACATATGTACTGTCAACTATGTAGTGAACATGTGACCCGACATTCCCAAAGAACATACACCACACATAGCTTTAACTGTCACATGTTCACTATCGAGCATCATTATCTGGGCTAAGCTCTGAGTGTATGACCAGCATGACTGCCGACTATGTATAGGCACTTATGAAAGGTTGGGTAAGAAGTAGGCTTTAGTAGCATCAGCTAGAAGCAGTCTTTAGGCAGCTCCTAGTACTTCGGTCACTTTCCCTATTGGCTGTTATATTTAGCGGATTCACGAAGTCCTTATAGATCCGTAGTAATCCAATCAAAGGGGTGTTATTGATAACGTTTTCGACTGGATAGTAATCTTGGCCAAATGATTGCCGACATACAACGGTCATATTCCGAATCATATAGCAAGAAAAACCTGTTTACTGCCTGAGAGTACCCAACAGCCCGATATATATTGTATCTCGTGAGTATAGTCACAAGCACATAATAAATATAGTATGCGGCTACAATAGACTCTCGTACTGGCCGGAAAGGAAGAGACATCATATCAGCACCAGGAGTCCCTGTGTTACAACAAGAATATATATGCACGAGTCTCCAGAGGAAGGTCTGAAGAGCCTCGCAGGATGCGTCCCAGGCTGGGGGCGCAGCGACATACATATCCAAGCAAATCAATTATGCTGGTAGACAAAAAAACTTAACCCACTGACTCAAATATCCCGCCTGTTTGGAAACTGGGCCATGGAACTTGCATGGCATCCTGATCTGTGCTGACATGCGTTTCCCCCGAGTCATGAAACACTGCAGCTCGACTGAATTGGCGTCTGGGGTCTATTGCTATTGGAGCCAGCTCACTTCGTTTATCGCTAGTCGGCAAATTGGCTTAGCTGTCCTATGTCACGCGACTAGCGTAGGGAAGCGGGCTGCATTTGCATGCGTTTAAGCCCCGGGGAAGGCTTGCGTGTAAATGCGAGGTATTGTAGAAGTATATATTGTACGAATTGGAGAATGGTGGACATGGAATATACAGGTTCTCAAGCCGTTTTAACTAGAGTCCAATATGTCCGTGAGCTCGGGGAGCTCATACTATCAGCTGAGTCTTGGGCATGAGGAGCATATGTAGTACTTATATCAAATCAATATGGGTTTCCCATTTCAGTGCCATGCATTAGAATGGCTTCTGCCCGTGCACACACACTGGAAGTTTACAGCCTATCACCCACGGTGGCTCAAAGGTGGCTCATCTTGGAGGTTTGCAAGTTTCACATGTGACCTATCCTACCCAAGACAGCCTCTGACTGCAGGCAGCAGCTCAGAAGCTCAGAGCCTTAATGCAGGGGAAAACTTATCAAAGTCTGAGCCATGTAACGCCTGCAGACTCGAACGAGCTCTTGACATGGATGGTGCACTGTATGGTGCACTGGATCGACACGCAGGGAGTCCGTGTCCTGTCTCTCTATTTCCCCATGAAATGATCAAGTGTGTCAAAACATGTCAGGGAACAACCATCTGAGTTAACGGTGAGAGCAAAATTCGTATCGAATGTTGGGAGGACACCTAAGCCACCATGTGGGCGATGGATCATGAAACTAAAATTTTTCTATTCAACGGCTGTTGTCCCGCTTGTCTCGGCACTGGAAGAATGATGCATCATACATTGAAATAGAAAACTGCAAAGTAAAGTGAATATTTCCTTGTTAGGTGCAAGAATCCCTTAGCCAGCGATCGTCATCATTGACTACCCCGTACTCCGTATGTTGTACAACGTGGGAAGTATGTACCCATGTTGTGTTCACTTTCATGAAATCCTACCATGAAACAGAGGCCGATGTGATCAATCACTCTACGGAGTATCTTGCAACGTAGTTGAGGTATGGAGCACTTTGTACTTTGTCTCTTTCTTCTGAGCCCGAGATTGCCGCTGAATCTACGGAGTACTCCGTAACAAATCTAGTGTCGCCAACGCTCAGGAGCACTAAATGGAGACATAACTTCGAGACCTTTATCCGATCAGGAGACTGATCCACTCAAGAGCGTGGAGCCTCCGTACTAGTATCACACCAGTAAACCTGTTTATCCCAACTAGTCTCCGTACAGCGTATCACGTGGGGGTGATAATCCATCACTAGTGTGTCGTAAATAGTTAGGAGTTGGAAGAGATCATTATTATTAGGCACGTCGAGTATGCCGAAAATAACTCCAGCCCTTATGTTGTAGACCCCCAAAACAAACAAGAGCAAACTGTTTTATAGGGGGCAACCCCTAACCAGCCACAAGCATAAAGGGGAACCGTGGGACTGCGGCGGGAGTGACCCACGGTAACACGTGAATTGAACCGTTCTTGTACGACCACTCTATTTCCTCGGGATTTCGATATTACCTCATTAATGAGTGTGCTATTATTGTTTGCTTTTCATCTCTGGTCGGGCATTGGGCGCTGAAACTAAGAGCCAAACAGCGTCTGCAGGATGCCCCAGCTGCCACACCGGACGACGTGGCAGTCCCTCAACGCGCCCGAGCGATCTTGGTCCGACCGTACATAGTAAATGGATCCTTAGGGGGCCCTCGGGATATGGCTGTGCTAAACGGAAAAATGGGCAGTTTTGCGGTTTCTTTCGGGCTCCCGCTGTAGGCGCATGCTACTCGAGGGAAAAGTGACTTGTTTATGTATTGTGCCATGTACCCCAGGGTCTACATGTATCAGGTCACCTTTTCGTAAGTAAGGACGCATTTGCTGGCTCGGGTCATTCTCGGGGTGATCCGGTTCGCTGCCTCACTTTTAATTCTTTTTTTTTCGGCCGTCTGCAGCTTCTAACCCAACAGGCTCTCACTTCTAGGCGTAGTCGGCTCTGTCGCCCGGGTGTGTGCCTTCGGGAAAATGGCTTGCTGATGGCTGACCTCGATACGGATAAAGTTTCAGACCATAGTATTCGAGAAATAGGGGAGAAAATGGCGAAAAAGAGAAATTCATCACTACCCAAACACATACGGGTCCAGACCGATGATCGACTCCCATGTTTCTTGGAGTATAGTAGTTTCTGCTAAGTGCCAATTCTCGTATCTCACTTTGTGGGGAGTGTCCTCCATCGTCGATCTGAACTTTTGTCTTCTCTTCTTTTATCTACTCCTCTGCCCAATCTGCATTTATTTATTTCTTCTCCCAACTTGCGATATTATTGTCTAATCGTTTTTCCCCCGATCATACACTATACAAAGTAAAATTGTCTCGACGCAGATCTTTATCTTGATCGCATTGATAAGATCTGCTATTCCACCTGCTATCAGCTTCGATTTAATTTCCATTATTCTATTGCGCTCCAAATCTACGTACGTCTTATTCGCCTGTTCTCACAAAGCATGCGCTAACTATTCACAGAGATACAACCCACTTTTCTCCATCCATTTGATTACTGATAGACAGTTACTTCCCCGGCCATTGTGACGAGGAACCCATCGCCATGACTGTCAATCTGGATGACGAACTGTTCACCAGTGCCATCTCCGGATATCACGAAGCGTTTTTGGTCCAACACTCCCACCTCCCGGAATCTGAACGAGATCAGCTATGGATTGAACGGCTAAGTCAGTTCATCCCGGCCTCCAATGGCCGGGATTCCAACTGGCAGCCCGCTGGGAGCCTGGGGAAACGAGCTCGACAGGATGCGACACCACGGACGTTGCCATATTCTGATTCGGGTCTTCCTCGGGCAAAACGGAGAGCCACCGTATGTGTGACCTTGGTTACTTGCTCCAACCTTATCTGCTCCGCCCCTCCCGCGCTCGTCTCCTAATCCCGCCATTCGTCCTTGGATTGACAATTGGCAGACCCCGGATCTCTCAGTCGACTTAAACCGCGACCTATCTAACGCCTCCTCCCCCGACCTACCTCGGAACGGCGCTGCCTTCTCGGGAAAAGGCTTCTACCGACACACCGCCATGGTGCGCTCCCAGAGCCAGCAAATACCGGTCTCCCACCAGCACCAGCCAGCTGGTGCCATTATAGGTAAACGCCAATCCGTCGCCCCGGTACGGACCCATAGTCGCCTCAACCATGTCGACGACTTTTCACCATCCGAGTATACGAAGTATTTGGATGCCTCACCTAGTCAACCCTTTGACTCGGCCTTGACTTTCGGACTCGCAAATCATGGACAAACCGGACCATCGTTCCCTCAATACCCCGAACGGACGTCCCCCTGGATCGACCAGGCCCCAGCGGTTGCACCGGAGATGTCCCGCAGCACGACTACCGACTCGTTAGTTGGCGGAATGAACATGTTCCGCTTTGACTCAACTGGACCATCCCACTTTCAAGAACCGACCAGCTCCGTCCCGCCAGAGTGGGTGCCAACATCCACCTCCGGCCTCCCGTATCAAGAGTCCTTTCTTTCCCCCGTGTACCCTGACCTAGATCCCATATCCTCTTCCCCATTTTCCCACCGTTCCCCCTTCTCCAACCCATCATTCTCAGTATCCGCTCCCCCAACCACCTCCTTCCGCTACCCAATGCCCCACAATCACCTCCCCTACGACTCAGTGGAGATGAAACCCTTCGACTCCATGAACAGCAATAGCTTGGCAACACAGCGGTCTCGCGCCGCGCGCCGTACCAAAGAGCAAATCGCCCAAGCCGCGCGACCCATTGCTCCAAAAGTCGAGTCCATCGAGAGCAGCATGTCCCAAATCGACCCCCACAGGATGCTCCGCATCTCCTCAGCAGACGGCACGACAAAGGAAGTCGCCGCGATTCCCAAGGCCTCCGTGCGCCGACCCCCGCGACCAAAGACATACTGCCGCATCTGCACAGACCATCCAGATGGCTTCCATGGTGAGCATGAGCTACGCCGCCATATCGAGCGCGTGCACGCTTCCATCCGCACGGTCTGGGTCTGCAATGATATCTCGCCTGGCAAGTACTTCCTTGCGAACTGCAAGGCTTGTCGCAATGGGAAACGCTACGGCGCCAATTATAATGCTGCTGCGCATCTGCGTCGCACGCATTTCAATCCCTGTGAGCGGGGCCGTGGCGGGCGTGGGAAAGATAGCGAGAAGCGCGGTGGGAAGGGGGGAGGTAATCAGCCTGGCATGGATGTTTTGAAACATTGGATGATTGCCGCTGAGGAAGTCACCGATGAGGCGGCTGGTGGCTCCAACTCCAGGCTTCTGATTCGCAATCCTAGCCGTGTTTCGACTAGGGATCCTGGATACCAGCTTGCTGTTGCTGCTTGTCGCCTGGTGGAAGGTCAGCCTCCCTATGTTGTGGAGTCAGCTCTGCTGAAGGAGTCTGACCAATTCCCCGAGTTTCCTGATGCACCATTTGAGTTTGATTTTGAGCTGGACCTTGATCTCGACCTCGACATTGAGGATTCGATGAGTTCCCCGTTCTCTGGTTCACAGTCATCCTGCAGGGCTGATATTGATTCGTATGTCAAATGAGCGATCGTAGTCTGTTTCGTCTTTTGTCTCTTGAGTGTGCTCTTTTGCGAGTGTTTGTCCAGAGCGCCCTTTGATCGGGTTCGTGTACTTTACTTTGGGATGTGGTTCATGGTCAGTCTCTGGGGGTTAGTGGGATTGGATCTTCTTTTGAACCTGCACATATTTTGTTTCTTTGGCGATATATTTTCTTTTTTTTTTTTGGATGTGAGATAATGGCGTTAGGTGGAGACCCGTTCCCGCGAACTAGGACTACTGACAGAAGCTCGAACTAATCATTGATAATGAATGGAATAAGGTGCCACAACGTTGCAATGAGAAATGAGACATTCAAGTTCGGTAATCACCCTGGTACTTGGTAACTGGTACAAGCATCAGAGTGTCCCATGGTATGGGGACCCAAGTACCGGGTACTGTCCAGGCAGCAACAATACGGGCGGTCAAGTGCCAAGAAGACTGGGCAGCGGACCGATGCTGTGAGTGGCTGACCATCTCCGGAAGTGGAGAATCGTGTGACCCGATGGCTGTTCACCAACCAATGGAATACCACCCAGGGATGTAATTTGTGGCTGACTGCGTTAGTCGACGATAGGGCTGGAAAACTGTGGCTGACTGGACTTTGGAAGGTAATACTGTGTGGCCTAAGTACACGATGGGTACTGAGATTTTTTTCATGGATTTCAGTTTGAGGTACTGAGATGTAATTGCTGCTATCGCTTTTTAGTATGAAATGGATATATTGGTTTGTAAATGACTCATAAATCAAAATAAAAGTAAAAAAGCGACCAGGATCAATATTTACTAACAAACTCGGCCCGTGTGGAGAAGGGGGGAAAGGGGGAAAGACAAAAAGGTACTTGGGCGGTACCTCAGCCCTGGGGTCTTGGCAGGAAGAATCTCCTATCGGGCGCACCGGCAAAGTACCTCTTAGGTACCCCAACAATTTCCTTCTCAGCAATACAACCTCCAGAAAGTAAGTCACCTAACGTTTTCTCCTTTCTGACACTCTTTTCCATCTTCATCAACCTCACCTTATTCCTCTCCTTTCTATCGCTTCACTCACTTACCCCGGTGGCTCATCACAGCCTCCCCTTTTCAACCAATCTCCGTCTTTGCCTCATCCCAGGTACGTGGATTTAGCCGCTGTGGCGGCCACTCCTCTTGTTGACCCCAGTCGCATCACATCAAAGTGCCCGCAAAGCCCCATAACGTTGGTAGTGACCAAGCCGCTAATCCGTTCTACCTCGATTTCAGACGATCATCTCCCGTCGCCATGTCCTATCAGCAACAGCCGCCTCCGCATGGCTACCCCCAACCGGCGTAAGTCAATATTGATCACCTCTACCCGTGAAATCGGCGGCAACTGTATCACACTGGGGTTCCCAAGATTCGCTTCTGTGCGCTTTCCGACCGCGGGAAATTGAAACCTGGTCCATAGCGAATGGATATCTAGCTAGGCCAATATTTCAAACATGGTTCTGATCAATCTTTGGATGCAGATACGGTGGCTACCCGCCTCAGGAAGGCTACCAACAGGGCTACCCTCCCCAACAGGGCTACCCTCCCCAGCAGGGCTATCCTCCCCCTCAGGTCAGTCGTGACATCAGCAACCCAAACACCCTACCTACCATACTTACCGATTCATAGATGGGCTACCAACAGGCCCCCCAACCCGTGATAATTCAACAAGCGCCAGAGCAGAAGAGCAGTGATAAGGGATGTCTTGCGAGTTGGTATGTATCCATATTTTCATGGAAAGTGGGAACATCGCTAATATAAGGCCTTTTCTTTCAGTCTGGCCGTGATGTGCTGTTGCTTCTTATGCGAAGAGAGTTGTGAATGCTGCATGGAATGCTGCGATATGTGCTGCTAAGCCCTACGATCAATGACATCGACGATACCTTTCTTCTTGCTGGCGTTGGAATTTCTCGATACGCCCCGCAGCGTTCTGGGACAGACTACTGCACTCTTTCAATTGCAATAATTTATTTTCGTCTCTGTTACATTAAGCTTTTGCTTTCTCTGGGTAGAACTCCCTAGGCTGGGTCAATTGAGCTCTAATATCTGTACATCGCATTCAAGGTTTCGTGAGCGACTTGGAAATTCTCCATCTATTGCTCAGACACATGTGCATGTATGTATCGAATGCATGAAACGATGCCTTTGTTGAGACTGCATTATAAAATTGAGTACTTCGCACCTAGGTAGGTATTATCCAGAAATAATGTTACACAACATGACGGCGAGGTTTACTCAAATATATTTGTACTAAAACTGGCGATCTCAGTATGAAAATCAAAATTTTGACACCTATCAAGCATTTTTTTGCTCTTCGCTCTTCATTTAGCACATAGGCATTTACGTTGGGTCTATTTATGGAAGATTGGGTGATCTACAATATTATGGAGGCGCCTCGCTCAGTCTAGAGTAGCTAGTCTCGGCAGTGATTGGCAGAGAGCCAGTCTAAGCCCAGTCTCTAGGCGCCTTGTTCCATCCATGCATTGCTGTCTGGTCAAGGGAAGGATTCCCCAACCCATTAAACCACAGAGGTCCCCCGCGGATGTAGATACTTATTGAACTTATCATTATCTTGTTATTCTGCCACTTGATTTTCTGCCTGATCATTTTTTGGCTCAAGGAACGTCAACATATATCGACAGCATTATGGCTATGGAAATTGGACCGAGTCCACTTGATAGCGACGGATTGTGCCTCTTGTCTCTAGATGGTGGAGGTGTGAGGGGGCTGTCAAGCCTCTTGATATTGAAGGATGTGATGACACAGCTTAATTCGGAGCGCGAGGATGGCGAAATCCTCAAGCCTTGTGATGTCTTCGACCTCATTGGGGGTACTAGCACAGGAGGGTGTGTATTAGCAAAAAATTTAGCAAAAGATTTAGCAAAAGCTGGGCTGACATATGATGCCCAAATATTTAGACTGATTGCCATAATGCTAGGGCGGCTGGAAATGGGGGTCGACGACTGCGTCCTTGCATATACCGAATTAATGGAATCGGTCTTTAGCGAGAAAATCAACAATGTCCCGGTTGACTGGTCTGGAAAGATCGTATCCCAATACGACAGCAATAAGCTCAAGAAGGCCATTGAGAATGTCATCACTCGTGCTGGTTTGTCGCCAACCGACCTGATGAATGATGGGAAGCCCCGTCGCTCTAAAACCTTTGTTTGCACAACCTCCAAAGACACATTACAAGTCACAAGACTTCGAAGCTATCCTGTCCCAAATGAGATTGCGTTACCGGCGACAATCTGTCAAGCAGCATTGGCAACATCCGCCGCGACCAAATTCTTTGATCCTGTTTCGATCGGTAACCACCAATTTGTGGACGGTGCATTCGGCGCAAACAACCCCATTGAGGAGATAGAAGGAGAAGCAGCTGATATATGGTGCACTGCGAGCCGAGCTTTGAAACCATTAGTGAAATGTTTAGTGTCTGTTGGAACTGGCGATCCCGCACAACTCCCCATGGATGATAATGTGCTCAAGTTTCTTTCAAAGACATTAGTCAGATTGGCGACTAAACCCGAGAGTACAGAGCGTCGCTTCATGGCTCGATGGAGGAACGAGGCAAAGGGAAAACGTTACTTTCGTTTCAACGTCGAGCAAGGACTGCAGCAAGTTCAAATGACCGAGTTTGAGAAGCAAGGCGTCATTGAATCTGCGACATATGCCTATCTGCATCATTCCTCCCAAAAGGTCCGCCTTCGTGACTGCACTCTAAATCTCTCAGAAAAGCAAGGTAGGATTTGAACTCGAGAGATCTCTGCTTTGTTGTCATGAGATGCTGATACCTTGCAGGAAAGACAAGTATTGACTTTGAAACAATGATACGTGTAAGTATATTCACTACCCAAGAGGATTATTATCTGGACACCTCGAATACTAATTCTCTACTAGGAACATGGAGCTCGAGTTACTCGGTATCGAATCTTGCAAACTATCCATACGTCAGACAGTCCTTTGAGTCCCAGCAAAGTCGCAGGTTGGTTTGTTCCGTTCGAGCGGAATCCTCGATATGTCGATCGTGAAGTCGTGGGTAAGGTAAAACGCAGATTATTTGCCAAAAACCAAGCCGAACGAATTGCGATTTTTGGTCTTGGGGGAATAGGCAAGACACAGATTGCTTTGGAGCTTGCCTATCAAACAAGAGAATTGTATCCAGATTGTGCCATCTTTTGGCTCCCTGCGGTTGATATGGAAAGTCTACAACAAGCATACCAGACGGTAGCCGACCAGCTTGGAATCGGCCACGATGACACAAACGAGGATGTGAAGACCCTTGTCAAAGATCATCTGAGAAAGCCCAGTACTGGGCGATGGCTGCTGATTTTTGATAATGCTGATGAGATTGATATGTGGACTCAAACCAAAAGTTTAACGCCCGGAGGACTGAAAGACTACCTTCCTACGAGTGACCAAGGCGCCATTCTCTTTACCACTCGAAGCAATAAAGTGGCTCAGTATCTTGCCGCAACAAATGTTATCAAAATTCCAGAAATGGACGAGCATAAAGCCACCCGTGTATTGCGAAACTCTTTGGTTGACAAGGAAGTCCTTCATGACATCGAAAGTACTCGAAAGCTTCTCCACCGGTTGACCTTTCTTCCTTTGGCTATTGTGCAAGCTGCTTCATTCATCAATGAAAACGGAATCTCACTCGCTAGCTACGTTGAGACTTTGGATGGACAAGAGCAAAGTGCCATCGATCTGTTGAGCGAGGATTTTGAAGATAAAGGTCGATATAAAAGCATTCGAAACCCTGTCGCGACCACCTGGCTCACATCCTTTGAGCAAATCCGACGCCAGAATCGTCTTGCTACCGACTACCTTTGTTTCATGGCCTGCATTCAAGAAAAGGATATATTGGTTTCGCTTCTCCCCCCGGATCCGAAAATTGAACAACAAAAGGCAATCGGTTTGCTCAGCTCTTATTCATTCGTGCGCTTGGGAAATGGGAATTCTCGTCTCGATATGCATCGCTTAGTTCACCTTGCAACAAGAAATTGGCTACAGTCAATCGGTTCCCTGCGAAAATGGCAATTGCATGTGTTGAGCTGGCTGGGTTCGCGCTTTCCTAAAGCTGATATAATGCATCGGACTCAATGGAGAGCAACAGTACCTCATGCTCTGCGGATCCTCGCTCTGACTGCGAAGGAAGATTCTCCCTCTGAACGGATCCATGTTTTACTCAAAGTAGCCAAATGTCAAATGTCTGATGGCAGGCCCAAAGAAGCTGAGCGCCTTTTCAGTGAAGTCGTCGAAATCTCGGAGGCAACGTTTGGCCCTGAAGGTCCATGGGCTATTCCAGGCATTGTTGGATTGTCAAGTAGCTACATATATCAAGGCAAGATGGAGATAGGGATCGCGTTGTGCGAGAAGATACTAGAGATTGAGACAAAACTTCACGGTCCGGGCAGCCCTGCAGTGAACGAAGCTCTTGTTCGCTTATCGGATGCTTTCTATGTGGCTTGTTATTACAAAAAGTCTCAAGTTATATACAAGAAAGTCATCCCATACTACCTCAAGACATGGGGTCCTAGTTGCGACACGACAATGGATATGATCGCTCGTCTAGCCATGTGCTACCACTACAATGGGAATCTCTCAGATGCGACACAGTTATCTGTGCAATTGCTGCATATTACCAAACAAACTTCTGGATCGGAGAATCCTGGAAGACTCAGAATTATGAATGTGGCGGCCATAATATACTTACAGCGATGGCGACTAAAAGAGGCTGAAGCGTTATTCACAGAAGAACTTGAGATCGAAAAACGCTTATTTGGGCCTGAACATCCTACCCCAATCGGAACGATGGCGTGGCTAGCCACTACATGGAGATATCAGGGACAATGCAAGAGTGCAGTTGACTTGATGACAGAGTGTGTTTCGTTAAGTGCTCGCGTCAATGGTCTCGATCACTACATGACTCAAAATCAATCCTTACTTCTAGAGGAATGGACTAATCCCAAGTAAGCTTCTCGCTACTGCTCTGCAATTGATGATGCATGCGCTGACATTTATGAGCAAGAACAATGTACTCCTTCCTGCGCAACAATCTCAGCTATATCCGGCATTCGGAGATGACGTTACAATACAGGAGACGATATCCTAAAGTCAAGAAGTATGGCCTATACTATGTTGCGCGACAGTCAAAAAATGATCCATTGCTTCGTGAAATCCAAAAAGCTGTGAAGGGTATGTCTATAGACAGCCAAGTTTCGAGCGGTGCAGTCACTCTAGTTGATGGCCACACAGCCGAAGAAAGATCCTTTGACGCGATCGATTCAACAACCCTCCCAAGCATCTGTTTGAGGTCGCAAATGAGTCCAAGCTTCGGGCTTTCTCCACACTAGTAATATATTTTGACCCTGGTCCAAGTTGAATCTCATTTTGGATCTAATTGAAGATAAGAATGTGAATAAGAAGTAAATATACTTTCAGTCATCAAAATATTTTTAGTAGGTATGCAATCGTTGGCAGTGCCCGCACGGAGTCGCTTTTGCATCTAGTCACCACATGCTCTTTGAGTCTCCCCCGTCAGACACTATGAACCAATGAAGTAAGCTCGGCCCGTTGTAGAGCAGTTTGCTATGACCGCGTCTCCACCCTCGCGCCCTCGGACGAAATAATATGTGGTTAGCCCATCCGAGATTATTGCCTAAACGAGGGCTCCGCCGGGCGCTTTCCTACATTAAGTTGGTATGTAGGACATCCTAATCAATCTTGATTTCCGCAGATTTCAATTCTTATTCATGGAAATTTCCGTAATTTATAAGATGGGCTGATGGACTAATGAGCAGTAGTGACGGTTATGTCTCGACTATCGGTTCTAAAAACCAGGCAGTATCTAAAACAAGCTCGAGCGAACACCGGCTCATCAGAAAAAAAGGTCTCCAGGTGGTTATACCCACTGTGGCCCGTGGTCCAGTTCAAATCAGATAACTCAGGCAATTTCCGGAATAGGTGGGGTCCTGAATTTCTTACGCGACAAGCGAGACAATTGAGGGAATTTTATTCCTTGTGACCGGAAAGACGAGGAAGTACCCGCAATTAATATGGAATTCCTAAAGCCAAGGGGCCAAGCGAAGCTTGAGACTAACGCTACAAAGCTTATTGTGGATAGCGCTTACCCGTTATGGCCTAGTGGTTGCTAGATAAGATGAGCGCGACATCTGATTAGATCTGCCCTTTTTGCTGTTATTTTCTCGGTGGGTCAAGCTAGCCCTGGCATTGGCCAACTAGTGGAGGAAATATTTTCACCAAAGCACCAGAGGCCGCGAAAAGCTCCCGATTTTAGTATGTGGGTCACAACATCATAACACTGCGTGGACTTCTATTTCTTTTTCGGTCTCCCATCCGAACTGTGCCGATCTCGGGGGTTTTTGTCATATAAGTGCCGCCGGTATCCCATTATTTCTAAGTTTTGGTTGAGTCCTTGTTTAATTTTACCTTGTTTTGACCATGGGTGTCCGTATTTTGGTCCGAAGGGCACGAACGGTGTTTAGCCGCATAGCGGCTTCTGACGCTGGAAGCTCAGTTGACACACCCGCAGTGGATGGAACGACCGCAGAGGAAAGCAAGAGAGATCCTGCCGCCGATGCTGAAGTTCAGCAGCCGGAACTGCCGTCGGAAGATCTGCAGCATGGTGTCAGGGATATCGAGGCCATCACCATGACCTGGTCCAAGCGAACATTGATTATGGTTTTTCTCAAGTAAGCCCTTCTCCCATGGAATTAATTTTAATAGTTGCTAAATCAATTGACTATAGTATCTGGTTCCTATACTTCGTCAACGCCTTCCAATCCACGGTTTTCTCCAGCTTGAGCCCCTATGTCTCCAGTTCTTTCACGGCCCACTCGCTGTCCGGTGTGCCTACTGCGCTTGCCGATGCTTTCTCGGCAGCAATTTACATTCCCGTCGGAAAGATGATGGATACTTGGGGCCGTGCGGAGGGATTCTTGCTGATGACATGCTTCGCTACCCTCGGATTGATTCTCTTGGCCGCTTGCAACAGCTTTGCCATCTACTGCACTGCATACGTAAGCCTCCCATCGATGCTCATCATCAAGCCCCGGAAAACTTTCTTCCTAAATGCTTACATCTCTATTAGGTATTCTATTCCATTGGTTTCAGTGGTATGGAATATGCCATTGATGTCATGACGGCGGATGCCTCCAAATTGAAGAACCGAGGCCTGGCGTTTGCCTTCACCTCTTCACCATACATCATTACCGCCTTTGCTGGACCGAAGGTAGCAGATGAGTTCTACTATCAGGTCAGCTGGCGATGGGGCCTGGGCTGCTGGGCTATTATCTTCCCTATCGTGGCGGCGCCTTTGTACTTCATGCTCAAGATCAATCTTCGCAAAGCCGAAAGGGAAGGTCATCGAATCCAGGAAAAGAGTGACCGCACATTCTTGCAAAGTGTGTGGCATTGGATTATTCAGTTTGATTGTGAGTGACACCTTTCTTCATCATTTCGGTGTTGCAAATATCGCGTCGGTCGGACATCATCGACGCGACTCGCAAATTCCAACCATTTAGTTCATAAAACAGCGACTAATCTCGAATAGTGCCCGGCGTTGTCATGTTTACCGTCGGCCTAGTCCTCTTCGAACTTCCTTTCGACATCGCGTCTGAAGCCCCCAACGGCTGGGGCTCGGGTTATATCATTGCCATGCTTGTGGTCGGATTCTCGATGCTCTTTTTCTTCGCTATCTATGAAAAGTGGGTGGCCCCTGTGCCTTTGCTCAATATCGTCTTCCTCACCGATCGAACCGTTGTCGGAGCCTGTCTTTTGGATGCCACTTACCAGCTATCTTACTACTGCTGGAACAATTACTATACATCCTTCCTCCAGGTAGTCAACAACTTGACGATCGCCGAGGCTGGATATGTGAACAACACATTCGATGTCGTGTCCGGTGTGTTACTTCTCATCGTCGGCTGGATTATCCGAAGGACTGGTCGTTTCAAGTGGCTGTTATACATCTCTGTTCCGCTTTACATCTTCGCCCAGGGCTTGATGATCTATTTCCGCAAGCCTGGTATGGGAGTCGGATACCAGATCATGTGCCAGATTTTCATTTCGATCGGTGGTTCGATTTTCATTCTCGTCGAGCAGATTGCCATTTTGGCCGCTGTCGATCACCAACACGTTGCTGCTGCACTGGGTTTATTGAACGTCGTTGGTACTATCGGCGATTCCGCTGGTTATACTATTTGCACAGCCATTTGGACCAATACCTTCCCCAATGCTCTTGCGAGATACCTCCCAGAGTCGGCTATGTCAAACTTCGAGAACATTTACGAAGATATCACAGTGCAGACTGGCTATCCCATGGGGAGCGAGGTGAGACTGGCCATCCAGAAAGCCTACGCCTATTCTGAAGTCCGTATGCTTTCGACTGGTTTGGGTATCATGGGCCTGGCCATTGCCTGGACCATCATGATTAGAGATATTGATCTCAAGAAGACTGCCCAGGTCAAGGGTACTGTTTTCTAAGGATCATTGGACAAGATAGCTGGGGTGTCCAGTTGGAAATTTAACTGCGCATTGTACTGCGAATGTCCTCCCATGCACCCTGGGAGGATTCAATTACAGCAAAAGTCACTCATTATGATTTATTTTCTGCTGTTTATTGTTGTCCCTTTGTTGTCTCTTTCATCTGTCGATATCTACTTATATATTGTGGAAGGGCATGAATAGTAATAATTTATCCATATAGTACCAAATTTCTATTTCAAGATTTGATATCTGTGGATGTACATGTCTTTGAGATTTAATAATTTTTTTTTCAAATTATTTTCCAATTTCCGGGGATATCTTCGTGACATAAGAGTCAGGCACCGGGCAAGTGGAGGATCTGCAGCGGAGAAAGGCGCGTGGATTTACCCGTCAATCACAACTCACATCCCCTGTCATGGCGTTGACCAACTACCCCTCAACGCCAGCCAAGGGGTAGCACCACTTCAATGCGGCGCCAATTCTCAAATCAGCGTGACGAACTTGAAATTACTTACAGGTATAAGCCTTGGCGCCTTTCCTGCCAAGATGTCGTTGCAATGTTGCATGACCTGACGCAAGGAACAGGCCCTTACGATATAGGTTGGCCTTGCTTTTGCCGATGTTTCTCCAGATGGTGATTACTTAGAGGGGCATCCTCTTGGTACATGCACCCCTCATGGAGATTTACCTAATTAGGAATGAAGTGTCGCTATTGCGGTCGCTGTCAGCAGGTTGTCCTGCCCGAAGGAAGAGACCAAATTATGCACCTCGAACCCCTCATGGAGATTTACTTAATTGGGGAAAAATGTCGGTATTACAGTTGCTGTCGGCAGATTGTCCTGCACAAAAGAAGGGATCGTGTTATGGTTCTCTAGCCCCCTCGGACGTCACCTCGATCCATCCGGGTCAATGGGAGCACGATGAGGAGCACGATTAATTATCCGGCATGGCATCTCTCGCTAGATTATCAAACTGCTTGCATATAAATATCCACTACAGCGCGCCTTTAACTCATACTCCCTGCATTTTGAACGGTATCGACGAGTGAAACAGCCGGTTGTGGACCAAACAGCAACATGCTGCACAAATACCTTCTTCTGCCGCTTTTGGCGTCTTATGGTGCCGCTGTCACTATTTCTGTAGCGAAATCTGGAGGCAATGCCACATCAGGTCTACAATATGGTGCTATGGAAGAGGTATGTTGAGCTTCTTGTCCATTACATTATTGGATCTAATTCAAGGCCTAGGAAATCAACCACTGTGCCGAGGGGGGTCTATATGCTGAATTGATCCGCAACAGAGCGTTCCAGGGGAGTCCGAAGTTCCCTTCGTCACTAGAGGCCTGGTCTAGTGTTGGGGGCTCATCACTGGCCCTGAAGAATCTCACTGACCCACTGTCAACTGCCCTTCCAACTTCAGTCAATGTCAAGGGTACTGGCACAGCTGGTTTGACCAATGCGGGATTCTGGGGAATTGACGTCCGCCCCCAGAAGTATACTGGGTCGTTCTATGTGAAAGGCGCTTACAAAGGCTCCTTCACTGCCTCTCTCCTTTCTTCTAGCGGCAAAGTTTTGGCCACTACCAAAGTTGCCTCAAAGAGCGTTGCAAACGATTGGGTCCAACACGAGTTTGTTCTTACTCCCAAAGCAAAGGCTTCTGATACTAAGAATAAGTTCTCGCTTACCTTCGATGGCTCGGTAAGGTTTGACATAGGACTTGACACGCGCCTCAGCTAATTGTTTCTAGAAAGCATCGGGTGGCTCGCTTGATTTCAATCTGATTAGCTTATTCCCACCCACATGGAATGATCGCCCCAATGGTATGCGAAAAGACTTGATGCAAGCCATGGCTGATATGGGTCCGGTAAGTTCAAGTTCACTTATTGCCCTGAAAATTCTCGAAGACCAACGATTCTGATAAACTTGATAGACATTCCTTCGCTTCCCTGGTGGTAACAATCTTGAGGGTGATAGCATCGAGGGCCGCTGGAAGTGGAACGAGACCATTGGGCCACTCAAAGACCGACCTGGTCGTGCAACCACCTGGCAATACCAAGAGACCCTTGGATTGGGTTTGATTGAGTACATGGAGTGGTGCGACGATCTTGGCATGGAACCTAGTGAGTGATCAATTTTGCAACACATTGCCTTACCAAGCTGACAAGCCCTGTCTAGTCCTGGCGGTCTATGCTGGACTTGCTCTGAACGGAGATGTTGTCCCGGAGGCCGACCTGGATTTCTATGTCCAAGATGCACTCAACGAGATCGAGTTCTTGACCGGCTCTGTGGACACCGAATACGGTGCTCTACGCGCTAAGGTTGGACACCCAGAACCGTGGACAATTCGGTATGTTGAGGTTGGAAACGAGGATATGCTGAGCAACGGCCTTGCTACGTACAAGTCCTACCGGTTCTCGGCATTCTACAAGGCTATCACGGCCAAGTACCCCGATATCCAGGTCCTTGCGTCTACTATCGATATGACAATTCCTGGTACTGCTGGTGGTGATTACCATTTGTATGATACCCCGGATAACTTCGTCAGCAAGTTCAACATGTTTGACAGTTTCACGCGGGAGCATCCTATCTTGCTCGGTAAGTAACCTGGGAAAACTGCGAAACCATAACTAATACTTGTCAAGGTGAGATTGCCGCTACTTCGCCATTAAATGGACAGAATATCGACTGGAGTGATACCCATTTCTCTTTGTATCCTTGGTGGATCGGCTCCGTTGCCGAGGCTGTGTTCCTTATTGGCGCCGAACGCAACGCAGACAAGATTATTGGGACTACCTACGTGAGTGGCTTCAACTTCGACTCTACTAGACTAGGACTGACAAAGCAATAGGCTCCTTTCTTGATGAACTTGGACAGCTACCAATGGTCCCCGACCATCCTCTCCTTCAATTCTGATCCCGACCAGACAGCTCGTTCTACCAGCTGGCACGTGTGGAGCGTATGTTACACCATTATCTAGCCCCGAAAGTAAACTCCACTGACATAAGACACAAATATAGTTATTCAACCACAACATTATGACAAACACCCTCCCAGCCACATCCTCCGACGCCTTCGGTCCTCTGTACTATGCGACAGGTCTAAACAGCAAGACCAACTCGCACATCTTCAAGGCAGCAGTATATAACAGCACATCTGATGTGCCCGTGTCACTGACATTCGACGGTGTTGGCCGTGGCACCAAGGCGGACTTGACCATCCTGACTGCGCCGGATCCATTTTCAATGAACGAGGTGGGCGGGGCAAACATTGTCAACAGCAAGACTACCCAGATTAAGGCTGGCAAGAAGGGCGAGTTCTCTTTCAAGCTGCCAAATCTGAGTATTGCGGTGCTCACTACCAATTAATGCAACTTGAATAGTACGCATTAGTCTTAGAAAGTGTTGCACATGCAGAACAGTACTACAATCAAATATACTGCCTCCCAGTTTTAGAACTAGTTCCTTGAATCCCTGTCCTTCCTTGACTCAGACCTAAACCCGACAAGCGTCAAATGTCCTTCGCCCGAAATTTCTCCGGCGTATCCCCCTGATTCCTCCAATCCGCAGCCTTGAAGGCCTCCAATTCCTTAAGAGCAGAATGAATGCGCTTAAGGTTAGGCACGAAATCCAAATCCATGCTGTACAACAAAGCCTGGTCAACTGTGGGAACCAGCACCACATCCGCCATTGAAACAGTATCTCCAAAGGAATACCTCCCCTCCCCGCCCTGCTTCACCAATAGGCTCTCGTAGGCTTGGAATCCGTCGGTAAAGGCCTGTTTGGCAAATTTATCTAGATCATCGTCACTCCCACGGATATCCTTCACCCGATGTACGATACGGGCGTTGGTGGTAGGTTGTGTATCGATTGCGATGATATTCACTAGGTCGCGCACCTGTGCTCGATTCCGTAATTCGCGAGGGAGGAGCGGAGATATATCTGGGAATCTTTCCTCGAAATAATCCAAAATTGTCATGGATTGGCGGATGATGGTCTTTTCACCGTCGGCGCTTGTCACTACCAGGGTAGGTACGCTGGCGCTGGGGTTTGATTCTTTGTATTCATCCGTTGTGTGCGCTTTGGTGCCAAGGTCGATGTAGGTGTATTCAAGAGAGATACCCTTCAGGTGAGCGGCAATTATGATGCGCTGACAGCATGACGAGCAGAAGTATGAGTAAAGGTGGAAAGTATCGGTAGGCATTTTGTTTGAACTGTTGTATATTTATGTACTGAGTCTGAACATAATGGAATGGAGGAGGTGGGAGGTTGGAAGGTATCATCTAGGCCTGGAGGTAACCTTCAATGGGATCAGCACTAGCACAGATCAAGTTAAGTGTAATTATGAACTGCACAGCCTACTATGAAGCATTTTACAATACGGATCAGATATTCGTTTGACTGAACAAATCAGCCTTGCTATTTCTATTTCCACCTCGCCAAATTCTATATTCTAAGCTATAATCTTCCAATATCTGTCGCATTGAGCATCGGCGCTCTGGACTGTGCGGTCGCTTTCATCTACTTCCGCCCGTCATCTCCTCTATGTATTTCGATGAGGAGTTTTGTTTTTCGAACCCACGCGGATTTGAGGACCGCGCCTCAATCCATCGGGTCTGCGCGAGACATGGGTTGATATCACCATAAACACCACGTCTGTCCCCTATAATCCCCTATGGGCTTCTTTCGGGGTGCGGCGTCGAGATTCTTTACTTACCGCCCGCGCGCTCCAACCCCTTTCCACGGGTGAAGATAGCAGCGACGGTCGCGATAAATGCAAAGATCGCGGAGGCCATGAAGGAGAGTCTAATCCCGCGGTAGTACACTAGCCGAGCGGCCATTTGCACATCGGGAGGGAGATCATATATAGCCGAGATTGAGTGGCGGATCTCATCAATCACCTAAGGGGGAGCGAGTATACTGGTCAGCAATGCTTATTCAGGGGCTCGCTATCATCAAACGGCGAAGGAATTGTACTTTCCATTTATCTGGTATTCCACTCAAGGCCTCCCCGAGGCCTGAGTTAAGTGTATTCTGCATGATGGTGGAGGTAATTGCGACTCCCCAAACGGTCCCAAGGGAGCGGATGAGGTAGACAGTTGAGGCGGAGACGGCGTGATCTGCACGACATTGTTAGCAGGCTGGCTTGGCAAACTGCTCGGTCGCCATGGATCGCGTAATGGGGCTGGCAACAGAGAGGGAGAAATAGCTTACCGGTGTGGTCGAAGGCTGCGAGGAATGTGAACAGGATTCCTGGGTACACCATGCCCTGACCAAGGTTCGCGGGAATGACATAGACGAAATACTTCCATCCCGAGTCGTTGAATCGAAGGAGCATGACGAGGAGATTGCCGACGAACATTAGCGCTGCGCCGACGCGCACAATGGAGGCCAGCTTGCCCCAACGTGACATAATGATTCCCGCTACAAGACCACCAAGTGGGGTAAATAGACAGGGAATCACGAGTCGGGTACCAGCCTTGCTCGGCGAGTCAAGGAGAATCACCTGGAACATGAGAGGCAGAGTAAAGAGGTACTGAATGGGCTACGTTAGTTGTTACGCCCATAGAGCTGGTTGAACGAGTAAGCTTACTGCGTATGCTGCCATCCCGACACACACGTTGGAAATTTGTGTGGATACAGCGAGCTGTCCTCGTAGCATCTTCAATGGAATCAAAGGCGCGGCGGTGGTATTCGCTTCAACAGCAACAAATGCGACCAGCAATACCACACTGGAGAGCAGTGGTAGAATTACCCACATGTGAGTCCAAGGGAGAATGTTGCCACCCAGGCTGAGTCCGACCAGTTGAGCCGAGAGAGCCAGAATGAGCAGACAAGCGCCCAGTACGTCAATTTGCTGCCAGATTCCTTGCTTCCGCCCATCTGAGGAAGGTTCAGTGTTGCGTGATGGGAACTTCAAGACTATATAGCCCATGATCAAAGCAAACAAAGAGATTGGAACCTGCAACAGGAAGCACCAGCGCCATCCGATTGAGTCAACAATGGCACCTCCGAAAGAAGCACCACAGATGGCTCCGAAGCCGTACGAGACGTTCTGAATTGCCTGGTACATACCGCGCTGGCGGAACGGAATAAGATCCGAGTTGATGATTGTTGCTAGGATACTTATTAGTGATTGATATGTCAATTGAAACATCATTGCTTACCCATAGTCATCAATCCTCCGCCACCGATGCCCGTCAAGGCGCGCATAATGTTCAAAAAGATTACATCGCGGGCCACGGCACATCCTAGACAACCAATCATGAAGGTGATAGTTGCAGTGAAGAAACATGACCGGCGACCGAGAATATCGGAGAATCGGCCATAGAGAGGCTGGAACGCCGTGCTTGTGATCAAGTACGAGGTGGTCAGCCACGAAGCAGTGTTCGCAGCGTTAAACTCGGAGCTGATCACAGCATAGGTCGACGCAGTAATGGTCCCGTCAAACCCGCCAAGAAATACATTGGCCATGATGGCTGTTGAATTGTCAAAATTTGCTCAATCATGTATAAATTTTCATTTGACATACCAATTTGGATGAGTAGAAATCCTGGCGGTGGGCTCCAAGTCGCAGGAACTGGATCCGATCGCAATAAAGGTTGCTCTTCGCTTTCTTGTGCCGACGATCTTTCGGCGTCATTCTCGTTCGTCGACATCACGCCTGGCGAGACACTTGTATTCAGAGGATCTAATGCCATTTTCACTTTTAAATGCCGTTCAAATCTCCAATTTGCGATTCAAAAGGTGACGAAAGAAAGAATCCGAATATCGGAAAGTTCAGAAATTTCAGTGGACATGCGGGCACTTGATTGGGAAATGCGAGCGGATTATCTTCCCCGCCAAGTGCCAAGCACGACATCATATTCCACTATGACATACTCCGAGAGTGTTGGCAACTATTTAACGAGGTTATGTGATATGTGATATGTTCTTCTTTTCATCATATTTTTACACAACTATTGAAACCAAAAGAAGTCAAAGAGACTCAGTGCAGAGTACCAAACTAAGGTTAATGTACCCTATCATGAACATAATGACCAGCATCATGGAAACTGATCGCTGGGCTAGTACTTATCATGAAGTTCCTTGAAGCCGTTGCCTGCACCGCAGCGCTGTTGCCACTCGCCGTGGCAGATTGGCAGTTCAAATCCCGAACCGACCTGGCCCCGCCTCGCCTGAACATCACCATCCCGGCCACAAAGGATGTCGAGAAGGGTTACCTCTTCATCGCGCCTTTCCCAGGCCAGTGGGCTGAACCGCAGTTCCACGGTCCGCGTCAGGAAGCTCCGTATATCGTTCGCGATGACGGTGAGCTCGTCTGGTCGGGCTATACCTACTTCTCTATCTGGGCCGCCAACTTCCAGAAGGCTAGGTGGAATGGTCAGGACGTGCTGTTCAGTTTTGAGGGTGATCACAACCCGGCCTATGGACATGGTCATGGTCATGCTACCATTCTGAATCAGCGCTATGAGACTATTCGGGAGCTCCGCGCTGGCAACCACAAGCTCATGGATAAGCATGAGTTCCATGTTGTCGACGAGAAGACTGCGTTGCTTCAGGTCTATCAGCCTGTGCCGAGGGATCTCTCTCGCTGGGGTGGTAGTGCGGAACAGCAGTGGATTGTCGATGCTATCTTCCAGGGTATGTGTGTTCTCGAACATATGAAGAGCTAATGCTAATTCCCAGTAGAGTTGGACCTGGACACTGGAGAACTACTATTTGAGTGGTCTAGCCTCGAGCATGTCTCTCCCGATGGTAAGTCAGCCACTCTAAAAACTTATATTGAACTAGTCTAACATCTTGCAGAGGCGGTCCTCCCCCTCAACCCGGGACAAGCGGGCGCAGGCTACAACTCATCCGACGCATGGGACTACTTCCACATCAACTCTGTGGACAAGGATGCCGAAGGTAACTATTTGATTTCTGCGCGGGATGCTTGCGCAGTCCACAAAATCAATGGTACCACTGGTGAGATCATCTGGCGTCTGGGTGGTCTACGCTCAGACTTTGAGCTTGGCCCCAACGTCAAGTTCTGTTTCCAGCATCACGCGCGCTTTGTCGAGCAGAGTGATGATGAAGAAATCATCTCCCTTTTCGATAACTCCGCTCATGGAACAGAAAATCACCGTGGCAAAGAAGTCCACACCCATCCTTTCTCACAAGGCAAGGTCATTTCCGTCAACAAGGTCACCTGGGCTGCAAACATTGTTCAAGCCTTCCAGCCTCCCGATGGGCTCCTCGCCAAGTCCCAAGGTAGCACCCAGCTTCTACCCAATGGCAATGCCCTGGTTAATTGGGGCTCTGAGGGAGCTTTGACTGAATTTCGGGCGGACGGTACCCCGATCTTCCACGCTTATATGGACTCAGGTCTGCTGGGCGAAGGGGTCCAGAACTATCGGGCATTCCGGTACAACTGGACTGGCCTGCCGACAGAGGAACCCGCCATTGTGGCTGAGAAGACACCCTCGGGCACCAAGGTCTTTGTTTCGTGGAATGGTGATACCGAGACGGTTGTTTGGAGATTCTATGCTGTTACGGATGGATTTGGGTCCCGCGAGTTCTTGGGTGAGGCTACACGCGATGGATTTGAAACGTCCTTCTCGCTGCCTGGTCACGTATATCAACGCTTGTCAGCTGAGGCTGTCTCGGCTCGTGGTCGTGTCTTGACTACGACTCGCGTTGCTCATATCCAAGACGCGGTGCTCCCTTACGGTAGTGCCACTGACGGGTCTGAAGATCGCGGCTCTTGGAGACAGTTGATCTTGCAGGCATAGATCAAGACATGTTCGTGTCTTAGGCTCTACGGAGAGGAGAATTAGATGGGGTGTGGGGCAGATGTGTCGAGGAGGATAACCTTAGAAAGATATGTGCTAGTTCATGTAGTTGAATCAGTCAAAAGGTTATATATTGAAAGGTCCTGTGGACATTGATCTTAAGTAGAAAAAAGTACTACTAAATGGACTACTAAAAGACATAGCAAGACCGCCATAAGTGGCCGACGATTCTTCTAGGTTGTGTGACATAGTCCCTTTACCGGACGCTTTGAGGTCCGGATGTCCGAGATATGAACTTTTTGTTCCTTTGTCAAGATCTCATTAGACTCTCGGATGATCAGAATTCCGAGTCAACTGTGTCTAAACTGTGTCTGATATATTGGCCGAATCCGAGTTCCGTTTACCGAAAAGGGAAGTTGCTATGAATAAGGTGTGGGGGTCAGGGGATACAATGCTACCACGCAACCAATAAAAAGGCCCAAAAACACCTTAAAATATAGATTATGTGGTGTAGTCTTATACCTCTATTATGAAGGCAATGTTACATCCAAGTAAGATCCTCAGGTATGCAGATATTCAGACATTTAGATATTCAAATATTCAGCTGATAGAGACATCCAGTGTAATACATAAAATCTCCATTTACCTCCCTTTTCGGAAAGAGCTATGACAGTTCATCCATGGATGTTGACCTTCCTTCCTTCCTCTTGAAGCTTCTCGGATCGGTCACTTCCCGGTTGCCGTTGCTTCTTTCCTTTTTTATGTTCTTACCTTCTTCCCTTTCTCTCACCTGTCACGTCTCACCTTTTGTTTTTCTCTTCTGTAAACAACTCTCGTTTACCCCCCTTTGGCGTGTTTCTTTTATGGCTTCACGTCTTCTTCCTTCTTTAGGCTTCTCGCCAACTCCACTCGTGCCAGACCGTATGGAAAACATGCCTGACAATGCGGCCGTTGATACCCCCGGCTCAGAGACCCCAGTTTCGGAGTCCGGGGATGATCGCGACAGGCAAATCACCACTCTTGCACGTTCTCTCTCGCAACTTTCACGGCAAAGCAGCGTCAACACTACTCAACCCACAGAGGGGGTCAACACCTTCCTCGACACCACTGACCCAGAGCTAGATCCCAATAGTGACCAGTTTAAATCACGCAAATGGGTGAAGAACATTGTCCAGATGACCTCTCGCGACCCAGACCGGTACCCGCGTCGCACAACTGGTGCCTCCTTCCGCAACCTCAATGTTTTCGGATACGGCACCGCGGCTGACTATCAGATGGACTTTGCCAACTTCTGGCTCAAAGGCGCAGGGTGGTTCCGCAGTCTCTTTAACTTGCAGAACAAAGTCCGCATTGACATCCTGCGGGACTTCGAAGGCATTGTTCACAGTGGTGAGATGCTAGTTGTACTAGGTCGCCCAGGAAGGTACGTGAATCGACGCCCCTCCTTTGCGAAGGATTAATCACTAACGACCAGCAGCGGATGCTCTACCTTCCTCAAAACCATTGCCGGAGAGACGCATGGTCTCTACCTCGACAAGGAGAAAGGGTCCGAGGTGCAGTATGATGGCATATCCTGGGACGACATGCACAGCCGCTTCCGCGGCGAGGTCATCTACCAAGCCGAAACCGAAACCCACTTCCCCCAACTGACTGTCGGTGATACACTGCTGTTTGCCGCTTACGCTCGAGCGCCGAGTAACCGACTTCCCGGTGTTACACGCGACCAGTATGCAGTGCATATGCGAGACGTGGTAATGGCAATGCTTGGCTTAACCCACACTATGAACACCAAGGTTGGCAATGAGTTCATTCGAGGTGTATCCGGTGGGGAAAGGAAGCGGGTCAGTATCGCCGAAACCACTCTGTGTCGATGTCCGTTGCAGTGTTGGGACAACAGCACTCGCGGACTTGACAGCTCAACGGCACTGGAATTTGCAAAGAACATCCGCCTGTCCACGGACTATAGTGGATCTACCGCTATAGTCGCAATTTATCAAGCGAGTCAGTCCATCTACGACCTGTTTGACAAAGCAATTGTTCTCTACGAAGGCCGTCAGATCTATTTCGGCAGTGCGCCCAATGCACGACTCTTCTTCATCAAGATGGGATTCCACTGCCCAGAGAGACAAACCACCGCCGACTTCCTTACTTCTCTCACCAGCCCTTCAGAACGTCTCGTTCGCCCCGGATTTGAAGACTCCGTTCCGCGCACACCCGATGAGTTCGCAGCACGCTGGAAGGAAAGCCCAGAGCGTAAGCAGCTTCTCGCTGAGATTGCAGCAAACACAGCCGGAAATACTACCGGAGAAACAAAGCTTGAGGAATTCGGTCGCTCTCGCGCAGCAGACAAACCCTGGTTTACTCGTTCAGTCTCCCCATACACACTCTCGTTCCCGATGCAAATCCGCCTGTGCCTTTGGCGAGGGTGGTTGCGGCTCAAAGCAGACTGGGCTATGACCATTGCCACACTCTTCGGAAATGTTGGCATGTCTCTGATCATTTCCAGTCTCTTCTACGATACACCGGACAACACCGACAGCTTCTACAAGCGTGGATGCCTACTTTTCTTTGCCATCATGATCAGTGGTTTCTCTAGCTCACTGGAAATCATGATCATGTGGCAGCAGCGGCCGATCGTGGAAAAGCATCGCAAGTACGCACTATACCACCCCTCGGCGGAAGCCATTAGCGCGTACATTGTGGAACTTCCATCAAAGATCTTGCTGGCAGTTGTATTCAATTTGATCATCTATTTTCTACCTCATCTTCGGCGCACTCCGGCCCATTTCTTCATCTTTTTCCTCTTTTCGGCAACAACGACCCTCGTGATGTCCAATATCTTCCGGTTTATCGGCGCAATCTCGCGGTCTGTGGCTCAGGCCATGCCTCCTGCTTCGGTCTTCATGCTTATCCTAGTCATTTACACCGGGTTTACCATTCCTGTCCGAGACATGCACCCTTGGTTCCGGTGGCTCAATTACGTGAACCCGATTGCTGTAAATTATAACTTAGTTTTTGTGCGACCATACCAGAATATGCTAACATGAAATAGTACGCCTTTGAGGCGCTGATGATCAATGAGTTTGGCGGACGGTCTTTCTCTTGCTCGAACTTTGTCCCGGGTGGCCTGGATATTTACAAAGATGCCCCTCTGAGCTCTAAAATCTGCTCACAAAAGGGTGCTGTGGCAGGCCAAGATTTCATTGATGGAGAGACATACATCAACACAACCTACCAATACTACAGCCCACATCTGTGGCGAAACTTCGGGATTCTCTGCGCTTTCTTCGTCGCATTCTTTGGGCTGTACGTCTTCTGCAGCGAGCTCATCCGAGCTGAACCATCCAAAGGTGAGGTTTTGGTGTTCCCACGCGGCAAGATGCCCGCTTTTGCCAAGAATGTTCGAACAGACGATCCCGAGGAGATCATTGCATCAGAGAAAGGTGCAGTTGCCAGTGAGCCTCAGGACACAACTGCAGCAATTGTTCGCCAAACTTCCATCTTCCACTGGGAGAATGTGTCTTATGAAATCAAGATCAAGGGGACTCAGCGACGTATCCTGGACAGCGTGGATGGTTGGGTCAAACCCGGCACTTTGACGGCCTTGATGGGTGTCACTGGTGCAGGAAAGACATCCTTGCTCGATGTATTGGCTGATCGTGTCACTATTGGCATCGTCTCCGGTCAGATGCTTATTGATGGCCGGCTACGCGACGATTCTTTCCAGCGGAAGACGGGTTACGTGCAGCAACAGGATCTGCATCTGGAGACTAGTACTGTTCGTGAAGCCCTAGTTTTCAGCGCTCTTCTACGCCAGCCTGCCACCATTCCTCGCCAGGAAAAGATTGCATACGTTGAAGAGGTCATTCAAATGCTCGGTATGGAAGAATACGCAGATGCCGTGGTCGGCGTTGCTGGTGAGGGCCTCAATGTGGAGCAGCGTAAGCGGTTGACAATCGGCGTGGAACTTGCAGCCAAGCCAGATTTGCTGCTATTCTTTGACGAACCCACTTCGGGTCTGGATAGTCAAACCGCTTGGTCAATCTGTACCCTGATGCGCAACTTGGCCGACCACGGTCAGGCTGTACTGTGTACCATTCACCAACCTTCCGCAATGCTGATGCAGCAGTTCGACCGCCTATTGTTTCTTGCTAAAGGAGGACGCACAGTGTATTTCGGCGACCTTGGTCCGAACATGGAAACATTGATCAAATACTTCGAAGACAAAGGATCGCCCAAGTGTCCACCAAACGCAAACCCGGCCGAATGGATGCTCGAGGTCATCGGAGCTGCGCTAGGCTCTCATGCGAACAAAGATTGGGCTCAGCAATGGACCAACAGCCCCGAGCGTGCAGAGGTTCGCAGACAATTGGCTGAAATGAAGGGAGAGTTGTCCAATAACCCTGCACCACTGCGGGCTGCAGGGTTCGGTGAATTTGCTATGCCAATCTGGTATCAGTTCCTCGTTTGTACTCAACGCACATTCCAACAGTACTGGAGATCTCCGTCGTATCTGTACGCCAAAGTTCTCACCTGCACTATTCCCGTAAGGTATCTCCCTTCCACTTATTTGATTATACTAACATGCATAGCCACTGTTCCTCGGATTTACGTTCTGGCACATGCCCACCAGTCTTCAGGGGCTGCAGAATCAAATGTTCGCAATCTTCATGCTTCTCGTCATCTTCCCCGGTCTGGTCCAGCAGATGATGCCATCCTTCGTCACACAGCGTGCTTTGTATGAGGTGCGCGAACGGCCTTCGAAGGCCTACTCGTGGAAGGCATTCATGATGGCCAGTATCCTCGTGGAGCTGGTATGGAACATTTTAATGTCGGTGCCAATCTTTTTCTGCTGGTACTACCCAATCGGGTTTTATCGCAATGCAGAGCCTACAAACGCCGTCATCGAACGAAGCGGCATCATGTACCTGCTCGTTTTACAGTTCATGATGTTTACTTCGACTTTCAGCTCGATGATGATTGCAGGAATTGAAGAGCCCGATACTGGCAGCAATATTGCTCAGTTCATGTTCTCCCTTTGCTTGGTCTTTAACGGGTAAGTTATCTGCAGGTGCTTGGTAGCTAATTGGCAATAGCGCTGACTGGACTTTTAGCGTACTGGCAAATTCCTCCGACATGCCTCATTTCTGGATCTTCATGAACCGGGTATCGCCATTTACCTACTTTGTGTCATCCGTGCTCTCGACGGGCCTGACTGGGACTTCGGTGGAATGTTCTGATATCGAGTGGCTCACTATTTCGCCTCCAGATGGACAGAGTTGCGGCAGTTATCTGGAACCTTACATCAAGGCTGTAAACGGGGCATTGCTCAATCCTGAGGCGTCAGTGGATTGCAAGATCTGCCCAATGTCGAAAACAGACCAGTTCCTCAAAGGTCTCAATATGTCGTACTCGGATGTTAGGCGCAACATCGGGCTGCTGTTTGCCTACGTGGCGTTCAACATTGTCGGTGCGCTCTTCCTGTACTGGCTCTGCCGCGTCCCTAAGCATTGGCGGCGCAAGCTCGGCAAGACCTAAACAGGTCATCTTTGTTCTTTTTTCGGTTCGTGGGGGGTGAAGTTTGGGGAGTGGGGAGGGTGAGGAGAGGTGGTTTATTGCAGTCAATTTTTGTTCCTGAGAGATTCCGCGTGTTTCTTCTCAGGGTTCATCTGAAATATTCTCTTGCTTTGTTGATCCTGGCACAGAGTCTTATCTTGTCAAATGTATCTCATACATGTAGCTTATGTTAATCAATGTTGTATTATTTTGTAAGTCTTTACACTTCTCCCTGTCTAGTTTGAAGGAGGAATTGAACCATTCCCTTTCCTGCTCGCTATCTCACTGAGATCTCTCCAACATCATATTTGAACTCCTCGGCACGAGTTTAGGATTAGATGTTAGCAGAGGGAAGTTGAGAAATGAAATACAAGAGAAGTTATGATCAAGTCTACGCGATAAGAAGGAACGAGTCAACTAATCCAATGCTTCCAACTTTAGAATGTTCTATATAGCTATATAATTCTTTTATGTACATATTTATACAGTCATTCAAGGGTATATGAGATCAGTAACAGTCTTGGGCAAGCTATCAGGTAATGGGGAAATGAAACCCAAATTCTCTCGTCGGTCATCTTGTCTCTCGCAACCCCTAATATCAACAAAATAGAAGACTCTCGAAGATATTCATAATCCACAGTCGAGTTTGACGGGCATTGAACGGCATGATTTTGCACTCGACATAGAAACTGCAGAGCCCCTAGGAAAAATAAAGATATAATCGCGCGAACTCAATCGGCCTTTTAAGCTCGATAGGCCTTTGAGGAGATCACCCGGCCATGGCTTGATTAGCATCGGCGCTTGAATTAGCATCACAGCAATATTGGAACATTGCGAGATGAGGCCAAAATCCAAAGAAAGCCTAACAGTTCACACATATTCGAGAACGGATTTCTCTGTCTGTTTTTTGGTTTCCCAAAGTGTAGTACAAGAAATATTCATCCTTTTGGATTCAAATCGACAATTCTTTCCTAACACTACAAACCCCTATCTATGAGGTGGGAGCCAAAGTACGTTGCTCCACTCAGTATGAACACCACTGGATCCCATGCAGCCCGGCTACCGTTATATCACATAGATGCATGAGGCTAATTCGTATCTGCAGCTAATGAGTGAATGTTAGCACCTAGCAAATTCAAAAGTACAGGGTTCACCTTTAAATAGCTAGGGTACGGAATTGTCCATCTCATCACATGGCTGTACGGTTAACTTCTTTGACAAGTCCCCGTACCTCCTAAGCACTAGGTCTTAGATAATGCTACCTCCGACTACCTAGTGAGAGCAAACTCTATATAATACCAAGATATTACTCCTTTTTAATAATCTCTCTAATTTCGGGATCAGCTAAAGTTAGACTTCGAGCACCCTAAGAGTAAGAATTATTTCGGAAAGTTGTGCGGAATAGCCTACGTAGTTAACGAGATCATGCCGCATAAACGCATATTAAAGGAGCACAACAACACTTGCAAACTAGTTCAAATTGTTGCAACACAACATCTACTATTTAACTTAATATGACACCGGTAAGATTCAAATCAGATGCATGATCAACAACATATCTTAGACAGTTCCAAAGGTGTAGGTTGCCATGTTCACAGCAGGGGGTGTCTCAGGGGAGTAGATCACATTGGATTGCTGGCCCCATTGTGGGTTGTTGACAGAATCAATCCAGCCCTCGGGTTCGATTGCCAGACAACCGTATTTCTCAACAAATCCAGCAGCGTTCTCATTTTGCGAGTTTCGCTTAGCCTGAGAAGGCTTCACAGGAATCGTTCCATCCATGTTCAAACAGGTGAAAAACTGCAAAGCAGGCTGGTTCGTTGCAACTTCCATGCTAATTCCCGTGGTACTGGAGTTCAATCGGAGAGCAGGAACAAGTGAATTTTGGGCAGAGTATGTCGAGTCACGGTCAACAATAAAGCAGTTGTCATATCCCACGTCACTACCGACAAGACCTTTGGTATACTGGATGTCACGGCCAATGATTTTGCCGGTTCCAAAGTCCAGAGATTGATGATCAGTATCATCAACGGTAGAGATAGCGCCGTTGGGGACTTGAAGACTGTCCGTGGCAACAAATCGCTTGGACAGAGGCAGTTGCAGCCATGTATCATTGAGCACAGTCGGCTCCTTGAAGCCATTCAGGTTCCAGTAAATATGGTTGGAGAGCATGATCGGAGTGGAGTGAGTGAGAGCCTGTGAAACCAACTTGGTCATCAACCGGGGACGTCCCTGTGGATTCTCCGCTGTGCTCTTGGTGTCGACGCTGTATGTAGCCTGCGTAATGACGTCGCCTGGGAAACCTTCAAATGCAGCGTCGTAAAGCTGGAAGGTAACAGAGGAAGGTGTGGATGCAAGCACAGTCCAGTTCCGCTGATCATAGCCAACGTCTCCGCCATGTAGCGTATACAAGCCGCCTTGATTCTTGGGAATGTGGTACTCGGTCCCATCTAGGGTGAAAGTGCCATTCTTGATACGGTTGGCAATCCGGCCAAGGGCGGCTCCGAAATAGGTATGGCTGGTCTGGGTATCTTCTAGATACTGACGTGGATCATCGTAGCCGACCACAACATCTTGCACATTGTTATCCCTGTCTGGGACTAGCAGAGAGATCAATCGCGCCCCATAGGGAATGAACTTGGCCGTGATATTGTCGGCGGAGATTGTGAAGACCTTGAAGGGATCCACGGAGCCTGCAGTGGGATTTGACTGACTGAGGGCGACCGGCACAAAGGCACATGTTGCAATGAGCTGCTTCAGATACATGTTGCAATTTGATGAAAGAATATTCAGCGGGAGTGGTGCACGTAAACAGATTCAAATGAGAGAAACATTTTACAAACACGGGTGAAGGAGACCTTTTAAATCAAGTAAATGGACAGACCCACATTCCTGCAGTGTATACAACATAGCATAGAGACAGAGTACACAGCATAGAAACCCGCTATTGTCATTTCGGACCTGGACGGAAGAGAAAGGATTAGAGACACGGTGTCGGCATGCCGAGTGTACCCTCGAGAGGGATCCAAGATCCCCCCCACAATAGCTGCATCGGTCTTAGCTTAACTTTCTTCAGGTGTAAGATCCAATTTCACCGAGATTATACCTTTCTTACTTCCTTCCCGCTTGGCATCGCTGTTGATCAAAAGGATATTCGGGCATTCTCTGGAGGCTTTTCGGAGGTATTATCTCTTCGGTGCAGAAGTTATGTAGCTATCTGACCGTATTTCCCCTCTTCAAGTAAGATTTTCCGGGTTCCAGTTGAAGAAGACTCGCCCAGATGCCCAGTTCTACAGTTGACTTACAAATTGAGTTACCTAATTAGGAAGTCTTACCAATCAGGGAGAAGACACCTATTTTATACTCAAGTATCACCAATGCAGTCTTAGGACCCTTTATTCTATAACATCTCTATTAAAGCCCCATTAGGATTAAAGGAAGTTTATCGACTATAGTCTTAATTTAATAATGTTCGTATGTCGGGTCTTGCCGAGCTTTATACGAGTCTCCCCGAGCTATTAGCCTGATCTTGCTTTCTATCTAAGCTAGCACTATATAGATACTCTAAATCTATACGAAAGTCTTTTATGTCTTAGCCGTTCTAATATGTAGATATTAACTAGGAAAGCGATCTCTATTATCTGAACACATTCTAAAACCAAGCTAGAGAAGTATAAGGACCAGGAGTTAAAATATAGTGAAATCTTAGATCTATACGTAGCACTTTACCTCTTATTGTAATTCTGATATTGAAGATTGATTGTTTATACCTTAAGAAAATACATAAAGCCATACACACAACTAGGCACATATTCCTTATGGTTCTCTATATTCTCTATTATAAAAACATCTTATCGCAACATGCACTAAGACTAGTTTATGAATAGCGCTTCGACTCAGCCCCGCGCTGTCCACTCGGGCACATTGAGAGTTCCCGGTGTATGTTGTATTCCAGGGCTGTGGGGATAGTGTGAGATTTCCATAATCGTAATGCCGATCTCTTGCATCTGTAGCATATGTCATACACAGCCTCCTTGACAAAGACACCATTTGCGAAAGCTGGTTGTGTGTTGATTTGTTGTCAATTATTTTTTAGTTTAGTTGTAATTTCCATTTATCTCACCGTCTTTTTATATTATATGGTGTAATTGTCCATCATCACCCTTGTATATCTTTACAAGACTGATTGACTTTTCCGCCCCTGAAGCGTGTGGAAACATTCATAACTGCACTCATCAAGAAATCTGCCTTGGCAGACTCTAAACAAATCAGATTCCAAGGTTCTGCCAAAGCACTATTATATAGGCGCCTAGATCACGATAGTTACGTTGATCGCGCTAGTAAATCCATCCTCGATGCGCCCTCGGGCACCCGGGTGAGAATGTCCAAGGTCATGGTCCTCCAAAACAACATAATCCCCCACATTGTTCGACCTGTTCCTTTTCAACATTTCTTTTTCTTTTTCAATCAGGTCTTTAACCAGGTCATTTCCATTATGGCTTTAGCACTTGCGTCCGCCGCCCAGCTGAAGCCTGGCATTCGATTAGCCCTGGTCGTTTCGGACTTTGAAGCCTACACAGGGCAGAGAAGACTGGGTCGTCACCTTCGTACCAGAGGCCGATATTGGAATTGCTCTCTGTGGCTCAACGTCCACTCACGGTGGACGAACTACGTGAAGCGCTGAGTGTACTTCCTGTTGATAGAAACTGTGACCCTTCACGACTTCTTAATCACATAATGAAGGTTTTGGCATGTTGTGGAAGTCTTGTGTGCCTCGATGAAGAAGAATTGACTCTACGCCTTGTACACCATAGCGTGAAACAGTATCTTCTTGGTGGACTTGTTCAAATCCGGAAGTGATCACATGCCGAATAGGAGTCATTCAATAGCTGAGAAGTCTGCTCATGAGAGGATGTCCGGTATCATTATCACTTACCTCGATTATTAGGCATTCGATCGTCAGCTGGTGCGAGGGGCCTTTCCTGATATCAAGTCAGGACGAGTCTTGAGTGACGCTATTCGGTTATCGCAGTTCTCGTCAAAAACAACTAATCTTGCTTTGATGTTTCTTCAAAGTCATGAAAATTCTGATTTCAACATGGCTGGGGTCTACAGCGGGTTTTAGACGCCATCGCGCCAACCGTCCAGGCAGAAAATTAGCAATAAATTAAATTAAAAATCCATACCTATAGCCCAGGGTACGAAGGTATTAATGCCTTCTGAAATAGGAGATTAGCTTAGATAATACTGGTGTAAAGTCGTAGATAGAGCTAGAGGTTTAAAAAACCATCTAGAAAGACCATCTAGAAAGACATCTAAAAAGGCATCATAAGGCCGCAAACACAGCCGACTATCTATACCAAACATTGCTGTACACGATATTTCTGTCAAATTATATAAGTTGGCGCGATGGCGTCTAAAACCTGCCGTAGGGGTCCTTGCCGAAGCAAATCGACTTCGATCCAAATCCGAGAACCAATTCCAAGTTTCGAGACTATGCAAACGCCCATTGGTCATTTCACATTGCTCGATCCCTCCCACTTGATACGACACTCGATGCTTTATTTCGAAAACTATGCAGCCAAGGTAGAGTATCTCCCATCATAATCGATGAAGATGCGGCTTTGCTCCTTGCGAGTGCTGTGCAAACCGGGTGCAGTGATGCGATTGAACACGTTTTGAGTTCATTTAATGTTCCTATCAATTCCCCTTCAAACAAAAATGGACGAACAGCACTACACTTAGCTGCTATGAGATGGTTCGAGGACCCACTTCTACGTGTCCTTCATGCACCTGATATCAATGTGGCCGTTCGAGATGTCGACATGAAGACACCTTTAGTCCTTGCATTTGAGAGACGCAATTATCCGGCGGTGCAAGCTTTTTTGGACTTCAAATCTGTGGCTAACAAAGCCAACCCTTTGATACTTGAGCTTCTACTACAAGCCGTTCAAAAATAGAATGCCACCGACATTATATTTGCCTTGAAAGTCATACATTTGGCAATATCCAATGATGATGTGGCCCTAGTTGGTATCTTTACCTCCAGTCCGGTCAATCTCTCTTCAATGCCAGAGGTTTGGGGTATCATTCACGCAGCAGCAATCCGCAGGAACAGGAAAATCATTCAACTCATGTTAGATCCTGACAGAACACCCATCATCGATGATCATACAACACTCGTGTATGATCCACTGCATGTGGTCGCCGAGGCTGGCGACAAATATCTTACCAATTTCTTTCTTGAATCTGGAAAGATAAATGTGACCTCACGTCGGTCCGCCGTGAGGAAATGTCAGTGAATAAACGAAATAACCAAGGAAGAACTCCTCTACATATTGCCGCGATCAATGGCTCGGCCGGCATTGTTTCCGAAATCTTGAATGTTCCGAATGTAGATGTCCGAGTCAGGGACTTTATTTTATGGGTGGTACTCCTGAATCATATGCTATGGACCTTTGTCACATATCTGTGGCAAGGCTATTGTATGGTGTTTATGAAGAAGCTCTTGGAGTGTCCGATACCTGGATATATGAATGCTTTTGAATTAAATAGCACTAATTAAGCACTCTTAAAATAACTTGTTGAACGATTACCCCCTAACTATATTCTAGCTACAACGCGAATAAAAAGGGAATGTCTATAAAACAATGTCTTTTGAAACCACTAATAGGAAAGTTGACCTTGTGTATGATTCAATGAGACATATTGTATAAGTTGAATGATATATATAGATCAGCATGATGTTGGATTTGTATTGAGCTAGAGCTACTATATACCCACTCTAATTAGTTCTAAGCTGAATTTACCGATATTTTAAGAAATATAACATCCAGACATTGAACTCGAAATGTGAGTTCTATTGTCTTAACGTGTTTTTAGATCATATTATTTGAAGAATGCTGGAATCCAGGCTAATCCATGCTCATCCACGCAATATGTATTGCCAGCAGGACATCAACATATACCCTAATATCAGCCATCTAGTACAATTTAGCCATTCAGTTAATCAGCACCACTTTTTTGAATATAGTAGAGCCGAATACCCTAAATATCTATAAGATAGACTGCAACCGACCCCAATCGGGTTGGTGGCTGTCCCCGCTTATCGACGCGGAATAAACAACCTCCTTCTCCAATCCCCGCGAACTCCGTGCCAACACCTATTTTGGCGATCTAAACAACCTCAATTATACAGCTCATCCACACGATTGACCGGAATATACCGAGGCATACGAATAGCGCGCTCCGCCCCTTGCTTCTCCGGCCACGCTGTCCGCACCAGCGCCATACTCACCATGTACGCTCCATCTGCTCATTGAATCGCACAGCAACTAATATGCCTTCCAATACTAGGGGCGTCTTCTCCCTGATCATTATCAACAAAGCCGGTGGTCTGATCTACCAGCGCGAGTTCCAGGCTGGCCTGCGCAACCTCTCGACAAATGACTACCTCGTCCTAGCTGGCACCTTTCACGGGTAAGCTGCCAACACCACCTCTCTCCTGGAATACCCAATTTGACTTGGATTCAATAGTGTACACGCAATCACCCGCTCTATCACACCGAAAATTCCAACCTCCCAACCAGCTACCTCCCCCGCAACTTCTTCAACGGGTACCACCACTCCTGCGGCGTCCAGTTACTCCTACCCAAACCCCGGTGTACCAGTCTCCGGCCTGGATTACCTCGAGACCGACAAGTTTCGATTGACGTGTTTCCAGACCCTGACGGGGACAAAATTCTTGTTGTTCACGGATCCATTAACCGGCAGCGTGGACACAATTATCCAGAAAATCTACGAGCTTTATGCAGACTATGTGATGAAGAATCCATTCTATCAGATTGAGATGCCAGTGCGATGCGAGGCATTCGATCGGCATCTGGGGGCGTGGTTGAGGGGGAGGGCATAGCTCCGACCGGCAATGACCACGCAGAAAGGGGATAGGCATCATGACTTTACGAACCAGATACGTTTTGTTCCTGTACTTGTGTCCGGATATCACTCCGTCTCGTATAATACCAAATCACATAATATATTGTCCTTGCACAATGTAGAACGTACCCGAAGAAGGCCGACTCTTGAGAATACAGGACAAAAGCACAAGCAAACGCCGGGTATGCATCACAGTCATATTCAAATATCCGGACCTTACGCGGTGTCCATCTTGTCCTCGTCCTTCTTATCTTTGCCACCGCTGGACTCGCCATGGCCCTCCTCGGGGATATTGCCCAGTTGCGTCTTGCCTTCCTGTTCTTCCCGGTCACGCTTCTCCTTCTCCTGTCGGTTTTTCTCATCCTCCATAGATAAGCGCAGGGCGAATGCCAGCTCGGGGTCGTTCTCTGCGGCATCATCGAATCCAAATCCACCAGCCTCGCCCTCGCCGCCGCCTCCGCCAACCTCGGCATCCTCACCAGCCAGGATCGGGGTCAGCTGGAGTTGATCGCTGAGAAGATGGGGTCCGGGTGGGATGATGGCGAGGTGGGAACCATCGCCGCTCTTGACATTCTCAACGAAAGCCTCGAGCTTTTTGGTCTGGTCGGATTCCAAATCTCCGAAAGCTATCACATCGATCGACACGTTGTTCTTCTTCATCTTCTTTGCGAGCTTCACGAGGGTCTTTTCATCTTCTTCGATGGGCGAGCAGGAGAATACAATGATGCGTTGACGCTGGGACTTTTCCATACGGTGCTTGAGTGCCAACTGAAATACCGTCAAGATTAGCTATTGAGAGCTTGGGGGCATGGAGATTGGCTGGAAGAACATACCGCTGCAACCTGGATGGTCGAGCTGAGATGAGATGTGCCGTGGATCTTTGTTTGGTGCAGACCAGCGAGAATTGCGCCAAACTCGGGTGTGAAGGTTGACAACACTTCGGGGCCCTTGCCGCCCATGCTCATAAGACCGACAGCTGACTGGGCATTTGCACGCATCTTTACATTGTGGATGATGCTAACGGCATCGACTTGAGACTGCCACCGGGTGGTTCTGTAATTATTAGATGCCATTCACAAATGTAAATATAGTATCACCGGATGTACTCACGTGTAGTCTCCATTGCGACTGCTTTCGCTGTTGTCGACACTGTAGCTTGGAGTCAGCAGAGTAAGGTAATATGGAGGATGGGCAATGACGGACATGATCATAGTAGCTTCTAGCGTCATAATGGCGGAGTCTAGTGAAATTAACGATGTAAAAGAGAGCAGAATAGAGAGTGAATAGGAGTTCCGCTTATGGGAGATGAAGACGGATGACGAAGGCGAGGTGGAAGCTCTGTATTCTGCCACCACTCCCCGCCCGGTCACGCTGTTTGTTGTGGTCCTCCTTGCTCCGCACCTTAACTTTAGCCCTTGTACTTCGACACATCCCAAGTCTATATCCCTTGAACTCTTCACAATGCCTGCTACTAAACGCAAGTCCGATGCTATGGACGTCACCCCTACGGGTAGTCCTACTAAAAAGATGCGCTTGACGCAGCACCAGAAGCAGGCGCTAATGGACAATCTACAACTTGAAAGTGAGTTAAAATTGTGGATTTACGGAGTGAACATAGTACTAATTCTGCTACAGTCACTGAGCGAGCGCGTAAACTTCGTGCTCAATATGCCCTCCAGGCAAATGACCTCCGGGCGCGCATTGAGCGACGCGTCAATCGAATTCCAGTCTCGCTTCGCAAGGCCAACATCGGCGAGCTCCTCGAAAAGCACAATGCTGCCATAAACAAACAGCAGGTTGCATCACCTTCTCGAAAATACTCGCCCATGAAGGTGTCGCGCAATATCGCAAGCATTTCCGTAGACCCAGAAACCTCTACCACACGCGACGGTAGAGGTCGGAGGGGAAGGTACGATATACCACAAGCCCAATTCGTTTCTCTAGCTAACAGAATGTGTAGTCACGATGGCCACTTCTCTGACAAAGAGAATGCCCTCGCCGGTCGCGAGCCCGAACTCAAGAACCCCAAGCGCCGCGTGAAACCAGCCGGACCAGGCGGGGCCTCGCGGGTTGCGTCTCAGGAAGTACGGGGCAATGAGAACCGCATTCTGTCTCCTAAGTCCAATAATTCCCGAACCTACCCTCACTCACCCTTCCGTGCATCCCCCGAAAAGGGTCAGCCGTCGTATCTGGCGCGCCCTACCTCACCGTTAAAACCGTCCAGCCCGCTGCGGTCACGCGGTCACACTGTGTCTACAGTGAAGGACCAGCGGCCTCCTTCGCAGGCCCAGAGAACTGCCACCCGTGCCGCAACAGGACCTAAGACTATTCGGTCACCTTTGTCGCGCCCGGCGACTCGACAGGGCGAGCGCAAGAATAGCACAGGGTCCACTGCGTCTTCGGGCACCACAGTGACCAAGTCCACACGGACTGGTACTGGCGCGAGAAAGGCCACCACAGCATCTACTGCGGCTGTCAAGAGGCCAACTTCTCGCATGCAGACGGCATCAATGGCTGTCAAGAATACCCCCACTACTGCTGCAATGCGCAAGACTACTGCTCCAGCTGCGGCTGAACCTGCGACTCGGACTCGAGCGCTGCGCAAGCGGATTTAGAAATGTTTACATGAACGCATAGATACGTGTCTTTTTTTGGGTTGGTTGGGATTCTGTTTCTTTAAGCGTGGGTGATTGCAGACCCTGCAATGAACAATTTGAGCCTGGTTGCTGTCTTTCCTGTTGACTCTTCGGCGTGATATCATAATAGGTGTTTTTCTTTCTCGAATCAGGTATACATCCGTGGCTTTTGTCCGGATATTTGAATGAAGTTCTTTTAAATCCAATTCTCGCTTAAACATCATAATTTGTCTTCAACGGTCTGTGTATAACCGTCTGAAACAACATCCCTAAGCAAATATGAGACCCCTCTCACTCTGCTGTCAATTAATTGGACTGCTTATGCCAATCAGACCGCTCTTCCGGTAAGTTTATGGCAACTCCTACCCGCCAGTTGTCATAACACGGGCTTCACCCAAGACCGAGAGCACTAATCTCCGTGCTCCCAGAATGGGGATCATCCAGGAGAATAACAGGTTCAAAACCATTGACGGCAAAGACGAGTTTTATTGGAAGAATTTCGTCGTGCGACAAGACGGCATCCTATGCTACGGGACATGGAACAATCAATGATGCAAACCTACCGATATCAGTCAGTTGAAGAATTTGATGGCAATCAAGACCTAAGATAGAGGCCCAAAGGTCCAGGAAACATGGGCTGTGGCGTCAGAGAAAGACTATTACCTGAAAGCGCCAGGCTTAACCGATTTCCTCTACTCAGAGCTAGAGGATGGTATTCAACGTGAGCTTGAAGTGTGTGAAGTGCTTCGCAGACATCCACGCCCAAATATTGCTACTTATTACGGCTGTCGGGGGGAGAATGGTCGGGCTACTGGTATTTGCTTCAAACGATACAAGGAAACATTGTCAGGGAAGGTCAATCGTGAATACCTGAACAAGAACAAGTTCCGGGCTAGTGGTCTTGAGCATGTCGATGATTCTCTCAAAGAGAATTTGCGCGGGGTTCTAGCGGGAATCAATCACCTCCATTCTCTTGGCCTTGTGAATAATGATATCAATCCGTCCAATATCATGCTGGATGAGGATGGTGTCCCTGTGATTGTTGATTTTGGGAGTTGTCGGAAGACAAGGGTATCATTAGAGAACAGCGCAGTAAGACAGACAAACGGGTGGTATGATCCAGAGAACAGGCTTTTTTTGGAGAAGAATGACCTAGATGCCTTTGAAGAGTTGAAGACTTGGCTGTTTGGCTCTGTCGATGATGAATAAATGTTCGACGAGGATCGGTTGGAGGAATGGTAGATGGAGCTTGAGACTTTCCTATGGTAAAATTTGACGTTTGAATATCCTCTAAAAAACCTTCCGGCTTTCTCATTTTACACTGCTTTGACTAGGTTGTATTAAGACATTGAAAAAAGTTGTACGGATTATTGAAGCATCAAGAATCAATGTATAGGGAACTATATTTCGAGGATCCACGCACCAACTTGGAAGATTCACACTTAATCGTTAGAAGGGAAAGCGCAAAGTGATTGTTTATTTTAGGACCTGTCTATGACTATGCAAAGTGCTACAATATAACTATCCCTCTTAGGAACTACACAGATATCGTGGCAATCGTGTTGATTGAACAAATAAGAAAGGAAATAAAAGTTCCCTGGCTCTTGTTAAGCAAAAGGCCTGGGGGGAGAAGAATCAGAAAAGAAGAAAGGAAAAAAGGGTCTAGGTATAGCCGTAGCCTGGCCCACGAAAAAAGAATGAGCTTGCTCAGAAATCAAAAGCAGTAGAGAATAGGGGGAAAAAACAAAAAAACAGGACATTTATGCCCAGAGGGACAGGGATGGGTATGGCTGATCCCTCGAATCAGATGCAAATGAACAAGAGTAAAGAAAAAAAAGGCGAGGCATCCTAGCCACTATAGGAGATAGCGAGAAAGCAAACAGAAACCAATCAATAGCGACCAAGCAGCTTGTTGATCACTTTTGGGGAATTTTCATGGAGAGGGAAAAAAGGGATAACTCCGTCAACCAGCCCTATCACTTGACAAAAAAAGAAAAGAAAAAGAACGCTAAGAAGGTCCCAAGAAACAAGAAACGAAAACACTCCACAGAGATTGAATTGGACGGATGGATGCAAGTCGAGGTCGGATGATGATGTATCATAGTATTGTAGCTGTGGAGGAGGATTATAAGGAGATCCAGTCTACCCAGTAACACCCATGGCACCTGCACTCGGACGCGGCCTATATGCCACATTTGATGATTGGCCGTCAGGTGTCCCTGCAATTGGTTGGCTACTGTTGCTGGTACTCCGGTCACGGTGGTACGCTGCTGGAGGAGGTGGGCCGAAATCATGTCCAGCCTGGGGGTTGGTGCTTGTTGAGTGAGAGTGTCCGCCGGGCCCGGGCACATGGCGAACCGAACTTTGCATCTGCCAGGCTGCATCCTGAGATGGATCGGTCTCGATACGCGCGGAAGCTGGAGTACTGTTGGTTCGGTTGGGTGTGGTAATCGTGAATGTCTCGCCACCATTTTCAGGTCTCTGTGAAAAGCTGCCTCGAGCAATATCGCCATATCGCTTGAGAATTTCCTTGGTTGTCACTTCGGCATTCTCCCTGAAAAGAGTTGTGTCACCCAAGACCGGTTGTAGGTCTTCTGGGATCTATTGATAGAGTTAGCACGATTCTGGCAAGACCTCAACCTGGGCAACCTACCTCGCAGAATGCATCGTTGTACGCGATCAGGGCATTGACGGCCTCGATAGACAAGAAGCTTTCCTCCACTGTGCTGCTTTTGGCATTGGGGTAAAGAATATTGGGCGTGATAACAGTCGCAAGATTGTGAATGTCCATCTTGCTTCCAGACTCTTCATCCACATGCGAGAAGGATGATGTCCAGTTTAAGAAGGCAAACAGGACTTCCATCGTATCACGATGGGCCTTGGGAAGCAGACAGCATGTCAAATGAAGTAGTCGCCTCTGTTTCTCCGCATCATCCATTTCTGCGATACAGGTTAGCATTGCACGAGCAGACCGATGCCATAATATCCAAACTTACTTTGTGAAATGACAAATAGTCTGTGTAGCTTGAAAGTCAACAGCGGATCGGGCATCTCGCGGAGAAATTTCTTCAAGAGAGCTGCGATCTGTACAGGAGTTTCCTTTGTCAGATCAACTTGCTCATACTTAGTGTCGATTTGCTCGGCAGTGTCCTTCAGTCGGCGGATATTGCCATTCTTTCGGAAGACACCTTCCACAGACATATCCATTTGTCGCATAGCGCAAACGGAATCATCGACCAAGGTTGGGATGCGAAGCGCACCAGGGCCAACACCGTGACTTGACTCGGTGCCCTCCTTCTCGACCAAATAGTCTAGACCGACACCGAAAACACCCTTCTTTTTATTACCCTTCTTGTTGTCCTTGAAGGCACGGCCAAATATGTTCCATATGGTAGGTTTGCGTGACTCAATAAGAGAAAGTAGCTCCTCCATGGTGAAATAGCCCTCTACCAAGGGTTCCATCTGTAGCACAGCAACGTGGCGAACGATGAAATATTCCAAAGCGGTCAGTTCTGAGAAGTACCGCTTGGTTCGGGTTGGCTCCATGAGGGCCTCCATATTTCCACTCGATACTCCCCGTTGGTGGCCATGGTTGTATCTGGGCATCGGCTCTGTCCCCCCAATGAGCTTCGTGCCAGCATGCCTGTAGGCATTAGGTCGCTGCTCTTTGGCTTGCTCAGCAGCAACAATGCGGGGGATATCATCCAGCGTCAAAGCATCCTGCGTCCCGAAAGTCAGATCAGTAACGGTTTCGCCATTGGCATCCCGTTCTTCGACAATCTGGAAACCGTGGCCCCTCGGGTCACTGCCATCATTGCCAGATGACCCCGGCCGGGCGCTTCTGCCTTCTGGTCCATCGATGATTCTGGATGCGCGGGCCCGTTTGTATGTTGTTGATAGGGTTCGCTCGTTGCGAATGGAGCGCAGCCGACGCATCTCGCCGACGGTCTGTTCAAGGGATGTTTCTTCGAAGCCATCTCGCGAGCCACCGCCATATGACTGGGAGCGTGTGTTTGCCCGGCGAACCTGGGGTGACACACGATGGCCGTCTTTGTTGTCATATTCATTAAGGTTGGGGTCGTCTGGGACGAAGCAAGTTAGACAAACTGCCGGCGGGATGGGGGTAAGGTAAAAGTATCCTACCTGATGTATGAGGCAAGGTCCCCCCAGATCGAAGTACGGCAAGAAGCCGTGCGAGTGCCACTTTCAGCAAGAAAACAAATTGCTGTAATTTTGAGACTGGGGTGAAACCACCCTTCACAGTGGGGCCAAGTTGCATCTGGTGGGCGCAAGCGCCACAGTAGACTTGTTCCTCGCTGTCACTCCACAATGCGTCTTGGATATCAGCGGTCAAATCCTTCTCACATGATTTGCATGAAAGATGAGGCGGCTTGATGTGCCAACGACTCTGTCCCAACTGAACACATTCGTCGTCAATTGGCTCTTTGCAGGCGATGCAACAATCTGAAAGTTGGTCGGCCAAACCTTCCACTCCAGCCATCAGGTCGACTGGTTTATCGTCATCTTCGTGCTCGGCTAATGACTCCAGATCACGGAGGTGCTCCAGGAAATTTTGTAGACCGTCTGGTGCAGACATCTCGCGTTCAAGTTTGAGTGCACCTTGTAGACCGATTCGGATGAGGAGCTTGAGGTAATGAGCGAGACCAGTCACCAGGGACAGAAGTTCCTGGGTGACGCCAAGTTTGCGTACTCCGGTTTCCTGTGTTTTCGATAAAAGGGCGAAGAAAGCCACAATCTTTTTGCAGAGAAGTTTGGCTTCGCGGCCGTAGGCAAGTTCTGGTTTGGAAGAATCAGTGATCGCTCCCGACGATGTGAAATCCGCCGCGCGAGACTTACCTTTTAACTCGTGAGATTTGATATACTCCGCTAACTGATCGACTGCACCGAAGAGGATTTCCACATGTTCAATGAAGCGCTTGGCCACAAGAACACCATCGATGTAAGCACCATTGCTTACATGAAGCAGCATATCTGAGATGCAAGCGGCGGATGATTCTTCAAAGGTAGAGAGGGTGTTCCAAATATTAAAGACCTTCTCTTCCATAATATCTTCTTCATCGCGAATATGCTTGCGCTCGTCTTCGCTGGCGTCCTCATCCACCGGCGGAGGCTCCCATGTTTGACCAGCAGGGGATAACCGGACATTCCAGAACTTGTGGATCATATAACATTCGGGGTGCCAGTGTTGATTCTGACCATTACGGAAGATCTCCACAAACTGTTTTAGGATTGCAGTGTGACATCCATGGCACCGCTGTGCGAACTGAGTTGAGTAGTGAAAGTGGCAGTAGACCTTGCTCTCATGCTCATAGTAAGAGTCCTGAGCGCCGAAGACGGTCGGACAAACGGAACAAGTGAAGTGCTCAATATGATACTTCCGGTCTAACGCTGTAATGTATGATCCACGTAGTGCGCCGCCGCACTCATGGCATAGGAGGCTGAGTCGTCTAAAGTAGTCGGTTTCACAAAGTGGAAATTGGCAGCTTGAATCTTCTGAATCGACAGGGAAAAACTTCGAAGCAACGATCTCGCCACAGTCCTGGGAGGAGTATGAAAGTTAGAGAAGACCCCCCAAAGGCCAGCTAAAAGAAGCAACTTACTTCGCACTTGAAACACTCTAGATGAAAAGTACCGCCCAACGCTCGAACAAACTGACCAGTGAGAGATTCACCGCACTTTTGACACAGGCGCGATGAACCGCCAGGAGACCTATTTGGACGCCCGTTCACTCGCGAGCGATCGCGGAGGCCGGCCTGATCAGGACCCAGGCTACGACTAGAGCGCCCACCATCCTCCTGGTTCACTGGAGTTATTGGGCTTGGGCCTCCGGTTCGTGTTGATGGTGAATCGAACGGAATTAAACTGTCTTCGGGAGATGTGGGTGTGTTTTTCGTATAGTTAGCCCCGTAGCCGGAGGTGTCGACGGTGGGACGACCGCTAGGGTTGCCTGCGACCAGGCTGGCTGGGAGTCCACCGGGGGGCATCTTGGTCCCCCGTCAACAAAAATATGATGGGGTTTGTTGGGTTGAATTACGCCGAACGCTGCATGCAAAGAATCGAGAGTCGGGACCGGGGCGAGGTGACGTGGTAAACGAGATTTGATAGGAAGTGTTGAATCGAAGATGCAACGCGGTTACAGACTGGGAGGAAATTGAAGGTAGGCTGGGCGCGTACGGTCGAGGGTCTGATTCTTAAATTAGAATCTCATGCCTGTGCTGTTTTACCCGGGGTCACTGTTGTTTCCTAGGATGCACTCACTCTCACGCCATGTAAAGACACGTGGGGGTAACTAATGAAGTAGTGACGGAAAAAGGGCGCGCACAAAATCAGTGGAATGGAATTGGGGAGGTATAGAGGAAGGTTGCTGTGAACGAAGGGTCTGAAAGCGCGCAGGCTAGAGGACGCGGGGGCCGGTTTCGAGGGGATTGGGAGCTTTCAAGGTGAGACCAACAGAGGGTGCGAATTATCGGGCGACAGTCATCCCAAACTGAACCGACGGCTAATTCCAGGACCCCAAGAACAAGATAGAAAAAAAATTAAGGTGCAAGGGCGAGGGGAAAAGAAGTGGGCTGGGGAGGAATGGAGATGGAGATGGCTTGGGCATTTGTTGCCCCCCCCCCTAATTAGTTAGGGACCCTGGGTCACGTGGTCTATACAATTTCCATTTCCACTGGCATCTTGGAGGATTACTGAGATATTTGAGATATTTTGGATGTCATTGAAATACATTTTACATTCAATTAGATTGGTTTAGATCAGAGGATCTGGCCGTTATCAACATTGTACTGTGTACTGTGTGTATGTAGACACAGCTTATTGTGTACTCCGTACCGCCCCCATGTGCCATCAGTGTGCTTTTTATAGAACATTCTGCAGATTAATTTCTTGGTTTTCGTATCGATTTGCTGGAAGAAATCGTATGTTTTAGTTTGTTTGAAGATGTCTTTCCCCCTCTCTTTCATGTAATCGTAATAGATGCAACCTTAAATGGCATCAAAAGTTTAACATAAACTGGGATCTTCTTTGGTAACTCATATAGTCTGCAGGTTTGATATCTTTCAAGGATACATGATACTATGATAGGATACATCAAATACTCATGATTCAATACAAGTACTTCGTAGATATGCCCTACATAGATGGTGTCTACATATCTACATATATATATATATGTACACACACATATTGTAAACATAGCGTATTTAAGTGTTTGTGTAATTTTCAAATGAATCCATGGAATAAGTATCTCATCAGACTGATCATTACATTCGTGGACTGGCATATGTTGATGTGATTACCCGTACAGTGGAAAGTGGGAGGCTGGAAAGATGACGTGGGTAAACAAAAGAAACAAAACAAAAAGGACCAGAAAATGTTAGGGAGTACTCCGTTCATATCTTATATAGGATCTTGAATATAAGAAAGAAAAAAAAAAGTAAACTCATAGAAATATAAAAGTATAGAAAACATCAGAAAACAAAAGAAATCAAAAAAGTAAAAGACAAAGGTTGAAAAGGACTGTCTAAAGTTGCCCGGATTTCACCAACCTGGTTTTACCTTCTTTACTTTCTTTACCTCCTCATCCTTCTTGAAGTACACTTTTCTTACTTTTGATACATCTCTGTTTTTCAAAGCTCCTACTATCCGCTCTCTACAGTACCCGTGTGGACACATGGTCGGCTCACCCCACACGTTGCAAGATGGGTGACCAGTGCTCTCTGCGCCTTGTCCGAGTAAGTGCCTTTTTCCAATATCCATTTGGACAAACTACCCGGACCAATCACTGATACCCGCATTTTTGAATCAGGAATTGAGACAGGTTGAGCGGAGTGAGCAACTTGGTATGAGATCTCCCATACCCGGGCTCTTTGACACTTCAGCCCACTCTGCACGGAGACTCACATGCTGACCTCGGTACAGCTTTCACTGTTCGTTATGAAGAAAGCAACATTCGTGATATCCAGGCCCTCATTATCGGACCCCCAGGCACTCCATACGAACTGGGGTTTTATGAGGTAAGATCCACCCAGCCCTGGGGCCACCGAGGCTGGCCCGAGCACGCTTCTTTGAAGTATGGTTAACCAATTGTAATCATCCTGTCAGTTCTCGATCAAAATCCCGTCAGGTAAGATGGTCTTCTATTTTACATCAAGCACTTGCTAAAATTATAGGGACATAGATTACCCAGCAAATCCCCCGATAGTGAAAATCCGGACTACCAACAGGGGCCGAACTCGCTTTGGTCCTAATCTGTATGCAAATGGGAAGGTCTGCTTGTAAGTGCACCCTGGGGACGATTGAATTTCTGAAGAACCCGATACTGATATTTTCCAGATCGATCCTGGGGTAAGCTTGTCTAATAACATAGATGGCTTTTGCGGAGCCTCGCTGAACATCGCAACAGAACTTGGCATGCCTCTCGGGGTGAGCAATGGTCGCCTGCCCAGGGACTCGAATCCGTCATGCTGTCAATTCAGAGCCTCTTATCGTCAAATCCGTATACGCTGGAACCAGGATTTGATGACAACGAAAGGGCGAACGACACGGAAAATATGGAGATCTACAAATCCAAGGTAAAGATCGCTATCTTCCCACAATAAGCTTGACAATGCTCACATTTCTACTAGATTCGCCATGAGAATCTGCGACTGGCAGTGATCACACCTCTTGAGCAAGCCTTCCAAACTTCGTCCCCTCCCCGCCGAACGGCACCGAGGGTCGGCCAGGAATCTAGCGCGGAAGAAGATAGTGATGTCGAACTCGAACCCGACCTTGGATTGCTCACCCAAAGCAAGTTCCACGACTTTTGCAAGCGACGGTTCCTGTGGTACCACGAGTTCTACCAGAACGCTATTGAGAAAGGTATCGCGGAAGAGGCACGCAGACAAGGAACGCCATTCACCCAAATGCCGTTTGAAGGCTATGGTAATACCATGAGTGGAGAATGGAACTACAACGACCTGCAAGCCCGTTTTTTGGCTCTTCGAGACCGATTGATGGAAGAGACACACCGCTGGCCCGTCGAGGGTCTTGCTCTGGTCAAAGAGGATGCCGGGATTGCAGTTAAATTGGCGGGTCAGCATGAACAGATTGCGGCAGAAATGAACGCGTTTCCGCAAGTCATCGATCTGTCCTTGGTTGATAACAACCCGTTCGTCTGGAGACTCACCTACGTTGGTCGCAACGAGTCCAGACTGGAAGGTGGCATCATCAAGATCAAGATTTACATCAGTCCCCGACACCCAGAAGAACAACCTCGGGTCTTTGTCGAGTCGCCCCTGTACCACATTCGTGTCTCCAAGCTGGGTGTGTTGATGTATCTTCCTTCGCATGCTGAAGAGATCGGCCAACACATCGAGGGGATCATCAACACACTGGAAGACGACAGCCCCCCGTACAACCCCCTCATGACAGTGAACCCTGAGGCAAGCGCTCTATGCTGGGGCTCGGAACTAGACCGCAGGCTCTATAGACGCAAGCTTCGAGCATCTCTGGAGGAGTCCTGAAGTGAGCTAGCTCACTGTCCTAGAATGTGCATATTTGCTGAGCAATGCGTCATACAACAGGCTACACGACAGTAACCGGCTATCATTACCAACCTTACCTCGCTTGAACTGTATCATTTCCCTGCCATTCCTATGTCTTACCTTGCTTGAGCGATATCCTTCGAGGTGGCAGAGAGGCCAGCGATTGTGGGGCCTGTGGTGTCAAGTACCATTTTACACGAGAAAATTGATATTGATACCAGACAACATTGATAGATACACAAAATGGAATTTTTTAACGTCTTATGAAAAAAAAAAACTTAATTTATCCGTACTAATTATATACATCACGCGGATGAGACAACGATAAAAGACACCATGAGGCACAGCTCCATGGCTAGGATGAATGAGATGAACAGGTCGCCATCTTTTAACTATAATCATTAGGCATGTGTAAAGTTCATGCATCCCGGCATAACTGGGGGATGTTAGATACTCCTCAGACTGGTTCATGGAGGGACTTGACTTTCCAAGTTTAGCTAAAGTACGCAGAGAGAATGGAAATAGCCTTACCAGAAACCCCGTTCACAGCACAACAGCAATCACGAATCATACAGCGCCCATAGCTGATGCAAGGCCTCAGAGGGGACATGAATCAAAGGATCATGGTGCCAGACGCCAATCCAATAATCACAAGTTCTTTGAATTCGACGGCGTTGCGGGCGATGTTTCGGTCTCCGCCACTTGGAAAGTATGTGCAAATTTGCGCGAATATTGAATACATCGATCATGCCAGTTCCAACCATTTCCAGCCCATTCAGCATTTGGCATTCATCCCAGGAAACGGAATAGTGGTCTTTGAAGACACCTTTCCAGCGCCGAATCCTCTTACGGTCCTCTCCACTCCTGGCAATCACCTTGACATCGGCTAAGATATTTGCCCCTGGAGTCAGATGGCTTGTTGCCTGTATGAATAGGCCGGCGTGATCTGACCATTTGTTCAAGACTTTGGAGGGGTCGTGTCGTGGAGGTCGCGAGTTCGTTTCCAGGCGATCAAGCCTGAGCTTGTAGCTGTCAAGCTGTGCTGTCAGGGCATCAAGCCGTTTCTTGAGGAGTGAGATCGAAGCATCCTCGGGGGGAGATGTTTCGGGGACCCTTGGGGGAGGGAGAGGGGCTGCACCGATGCTTGGAGCGTCATTCCAAGTAAACTTTGGAGTCCAAGGGTGTTCCATCTTGAAAGAGTCAGGATGCCACATTGAAGCCATCAAGATTCTGATGAATGTGAATAAAAGTGAAAGCAGAGGCAAATGAAGAAGGTAAAGGTCAAGGGTTACCAAGGTTGGAGGTTTCGTGTTCAGAGTCGGACGTTCCTTCCTTGAACACATATATAGTCAACCTGACATCTCTCATAAGATCCATAACACATGTAGAGACAACCTCGGTATTCTACATGATCTATGAAGCATTGTTAAATACCATTTTCATTTGAAATTGCCTAGAAAGTCTGAGACTTTCTCCAAAGACTTGCTTGGTGCGATTCAAGGGGGAAGGGGAGGTCATAGTGTGAGGGTTCAAATGGCACATGGGATTTGATCAAACAATTTAGGGAGATGAGGCTCAAGGGGGAATCTAGTAGTGAGTGTATCGGAACTTTGAATGGATATATAAGGATTTTTCTTGATTTTTGTCATTCTGCCAGGACCTAAAGAGATAGCGAAGACAAACTCGCCTTCAGTTCGATTGCACTATAGAAATAGTCTGCTCATTCTAAGACAGAAAATAGATAGTTCATCTCAACATGAAGCAGAAGAAGCAGAACAAGCAGAAGAGTGCCAAGTGAAGGTCGAGCTCATAGCCCGCACGGATCACCTGATTATCTCCGCCAACTTCCCCGGCCCCTTTTCACTCAACTCCCATCGCCCCATCTCCCTACAAAAAAATCACATCATGTCGGCAAAAAGGCGCACATTGGAGTTGGGAAATGTCCTGGTGGTCGGAGGCTGTGGTTTCTTGGGGTGGCACATTGTCGATCACCTGCTGAATTTCCCCTCCGAGACCGACCCCAGTTACGCTCTGCCGAAGCCCGTTGGCGATGCGCGCTTCGAGTACCCGACTCTGGGATCGCGCTACCCGGATTACCACGCAACCGTCTCCGTTGTTGACTTGCGCACTACCAACAACCGTCTTCCCGGCGCTAAGTACTATGATGGCGACATCACCTCCGTCGAGTCTATGTTGGAGGTTTTCCGCGCTGTCAAGCCCGATCTTGTCATTCACACTGCGTCGCCATCTATGATTGAGGGCAACAAGCCCCTGCTGCACAAGGTTAATGTGGAGGGAACACGGACACTCCTTGAGGTTGCCGGTGGCGAGCATGGAGATTGGGGCGGTAAGTGCAAGGCGTTCGTCTACACTAGCTCCAGCTCCGTTGTCCACGACACACAGAGTGATCTGAAGAACGTCAATGAGGAATGGCCCTACATCCGGGGTCCTGCGCAGAAGGAGTACTACTCCGAGACTAAGGTGAGTTTTGATTGGAATTTCAAACGCAGTTTAATCGGGATCAATCACTAATCAGACCCCTTACGTCTATCAAGGCCGATGCCGAGGAACTCGTCCTGAAGTACAACAAGAAGTCCCCCAACGAGATGCTGACAGCCGCTATCCGTCCGGCCGGAATTCACGGAGAGAAGGATACAACAGTCACACACAAGATCCTGGAGCACGGATCCCAAGCCTCGGACAGAGTGTTACGGATGCAGCTCGGTGATAACGACAACCTGTTCGATTTCACCTATGTCGGCAACGTGGCTTACAGTCACATGCTTGCTGGACACCGGCTTCTCGCGAGCTATGACCTTCACGCGGCTGGCAAGGGCGGGCCCCTCGACTACGAGCGCGTGGATGGCGAAGCTTTCAACATTACCAACGATTCCCCCGTCTATTTCTGGGATATCACCCGTGCCATGTGGGCTCTGATCAACCGCGTCGTTGAGCCGGAACAGGTGTGGGCTCTGCCTGAGGGTCTCCTTGGGCCTGTCGGTGCTGTCGCTGAGACTGTCATGGGATTGTTTGGCAAGACCCCGCGTCTCACTGCCCGGACAGTGCGATACTCATGCATGACTCGCTACTACTCGACTGAAAAGGCTAAGCACCGCCTGGCTTACTTGCCTGTTGTGCCCTTGGATGAGGGAATTGCTCGTGCCGTTGGATACATTGTTGCCCAGCAAAAAGCGGACGCTGGAAAGAAGGCATTGTAATTTGAAATTAGATCATGAGATTCAGAAAGGCATCTTATGCTGTATTAATATGACTTTTCCCCAAAGCAGGGCAAACCTGGAAATGTTTCAAAGCCTTTTTGATAGGCCCTAATAGCATTGGCTATAGCTCAAGTTATGGCACTAGATCGCATCTACCTCTTGTTATTCGACGATCCCCTGAGACTCTCCCAATGGAATGCCCGCAGTAGCCGCGTGAGACTTGATTTGCGCAGCTCTTCGAAATCTAGGCGCACCTCAGGCAAAAGCACAATATGGGTGATGCCGAATTTGAAAAACTCCTTCCAGATTAGAAGAAATAGAAGGGTAGACACTCGCTGCCGACACCACTTACAAGCAAGATGATGGGCGACGCAAGAGTGCATAATCCACTCTCCCGTAAACAAAGATTTCTCTAAAGATATACGTATTCTTTTTTTGGTCCCCTTTTGCTCAACTTTTGTCTTTCACAAATATGTCAGTAATAATAATTATAGGCAGCAATGCCATACTGACAACACCTCTTTAAAGATGTGAAAAGTACTCATTTTCCCTTGAACCGCTACAAAAGGAGATATGGGTGTACTACAACCGGCATAATTCTGGTTATATAAGGGCCTTGCGTGAGATTTTCATCATCAAAGATGAAGTATATGATAGTTCATTTATGGGCGGCTTCCACTCACCCATGCTACTAGTTCTTTACTTTGCCATTTGTATCTCCGTTTGCAACCCCCGGTATAGGAACTGGTCCTCCTGGAGAGTTCTCCAGTCTTGCCGTCAAAACCTCGACGCCTGTTTCTGTGACAAGCATGGTATGTTCTATCAATTTTCAAGTTAGTATCTAGAGCTACAACAGGCCTTTGAAGGGTCTATACATACCGAATTGTGCTGTCCTTTTGCCGTCCACTGTAACGTTTGTCCAGTCATCTGGCCAACACACTTCGCGGCTGCTGCCCAAAGCCAAGATAGGTTCAATCGTGAATGTCATCCCAGGTTTACATGTTCCCACAGCCTTGTTCTTCGCGTAGTGAGGGATCCAAGGCGGAGGATGGAATTCCGAGTTGATACCGTGGCCGCCCCAATTCTTGACAACGACAAGGCCCCTAGAGGTTGCGTGCTTCTCAATGATCTTACCAAACTCTCGAATCGGTACACCTGGTTTGATTATCTCGATAGCCATGTCCAACGCCTGCCGTGTCGTTTCAATAAGTTTGATCAACTCTGGATCCGATTTGGCCTTGTCACCAACGTAGTAGGTCTCATTCACATCGGCGTGATATCCGCCGTGATATAGAGAAATATCAAGGTTAAGTATGTCACCATCAAGAAGAACTCGCTGATCGGGAATCCCATGGCATACAACCTCATTCGGAGATGTACACAATGACTTGGGGAAGTGGTTGTAATTAAGCGGAGAAGGATATGACTACCTTGGGTTTTAGCGAAAAACTTGACATGGTTTTATACAGGAGTAAAGCTGGACTTCACTCACCTCTCGCTCGACGCAAGCATTGTGACAGATTTCATCCAGGTAATCTGTGGTTACGCCAGGCTTTATCGCCGCAGCAGTGATGTCGAGTACTTCTCGAGCAAGTCTGCACACTTTGCGCATGGCCTCCTGACCCTGTGCATCTAAGATGTCGCATTTCGACCCGCTCAAGCGCATCTCACGACGTGGAATGCCAGTTTTGGCCCAGTCAGGATGCTTGATTGTCTTAGGGACAGGTCGTCGCGGGGAGAGTGGGTATACAGGTCTGACAGAGCCAGTATATGGGAATCCCGGAAATGGGTCGTAGAATTGGCCAGCTATATTACGGTTAGATAAAAAAGTTATGAATAAGTGCATGCCACCTAGATGAAGAGGCTACCATTTTGTGTTTTATGGATCGCCTTGTGTGTAATCTAGATACGATTAATGTTAGACTTTCAGCTAGACAAATATCCTCATAGATTTTACCTACCCAATTTCTTTTGAAGCAGTCTTGATCACAGAAATAGCTGCCTTTGACACCCAGCTTCAGACATGTCGGACATTGTAATGTCCCAGCTTCATTGTCGCAATCGGCCCCAGAACACTGGTTCTCGGGATTGGACATTGTCACAGCAATTTTAGTTTAATAAGGCGCAGGGCGAAGTAGGAGAACAAAAATCTGTGAAATGTCTTGTCGGCTTACATACAGCACACTAGTAGAACACCCATACAAGCTTGATCCACTTACACGTGACCATTGACCACTCCGAACCATGGAAAAATGTCCAGGCTCACCCATGGGTGGATCAATGGGGCCATTTTTCTATTAGATAATACCTTCACGTGACCATTGGATTGGGTAAATTGTACATAATCAATTCGCTGTCCACCGGGCCTCTTCTTTAGAACCTTTCTTGCTATTTTAAAGGATCAGGAATAGGGTTCTTCGATTACATATTTGTAAACTAATATCTTCAATGATTAATTCTGGCTAATAGTACCTAGTTAGTGTCCGAAACCGCACATAGATACCATCCGGCGATACGCGACTCGCTGAGTCCACACCAAACGAAGTGAGAGCTTTTTCCTTTTTTTCATGAGGTAGGAGCCTTTCAGCCCCTGCCTCAACCCATGCTATTGAAGGCGCTCAAACGGAAGTCAATTGTGTGAAGAGCCTATCGCAAGACTCTATCAGACAGCTCATGTCCGCATTGACACAATCTCAGCACTGTAACTGTCGGGACCCACTCTTGAAATAAGTGCGTGTCGTCGAGGAAACAAGCAACAACCTTGTATGCGTCAGGCCATGTTAACCTTTGAACTGTGCTTTCAGTGATAGCATTTGAAAGGGGTGGGTGATAATTTCGGTGAATTCAATCGCGGGGAAACAAATGGTCGCCGTCGTCCATGCGATTGTTATATTCTGGAGTGTTGTAAAGCCAATAAACTAGGGCCGTCGATAGGAAAGCTTCGACAGCTTGTCATCTTGCACTTGCTGCTTGGTCCATTCGTATAACTGTGAGATTCCTGATACCTTATTCGAAACCTGGCACGTTAAACTTGAGAGATCGCACGATATGGTAGTGGATGGATTGCACCGTGGCTTTAGTTACTATGCGCACACCAAGCGCCTTTGGTTCCGTTATGAATGCCACAGCTACAATCAACTCTATCACATTGTCACCAGTTGGGGATCAGGAATGGTCCCCTTTGCTTCCTTCTATTTCCCCTCAAGTTTTCGGTTCGAGTTAGTTGCTTTTCCACTGTAGGTAATATGTACGAGACTCGAGAAAAAGAGACACATAACTTCGAAGGCCAGGTGAATGCCGTGTAAAATTCGTCAAGTAGATTGAGAGGGGAGAAACTATTCACGGGTGTTGATAGATGTTGGAAGGTGCTGGGTGAGATAGGGAAAGGACGGTGTTTATATAGTATTTTCCCTGTAGACGAGCGTCTTTGACATGTCTCTTCAATGTCTTTCTAGGTGTTTTCTAGGTGTGTTCCCATATATCTTTTGATATGTCTTTATCCTTTCCTAGGGCTACCCTGTGGTTATAGTTCGAAGGATGCCACCCCTACCTACATATCTTGCCAGTCAATTTCTTCCCTTTATGAGAATCTGTCAGGTCCATATGAGCACATGAGCAGGTACATTGAAGATTCTATTTGAATTTCCGCATTTCCGCACACGGATTTAGCACCGCGATGCTGATCAATCAGAGTTGCAGACGAGGACGCACAATTTGATTGTGACCTCTCATCAAGAATGAGTCAAAGTAGTCTCATTCACTGATTAGAAGCTTGGATCTCGGTTCCCCCCACGGTGTCTTCATAACCTACTTACTTACTGAGTTCTCAAAACTTATTTAGTTTCCAACATTCAAAAGGAATAGCAAAAGCCTCTCTCTATCGTCATAAAATCATGTCACTCTTACACGCTCTTCGCCATGAAACCAAAGCCGTCATATCGTCTACTGTACCCCGCGAACTAGACCTGACCCCCGCAACCCCAGCCGAACACGTTCTAGACACGCAGGGTTTTGTAACAGACAATTCGACCCCTAGAGACGGCCAACCTGTCTTTGAACGGGCACTGCCCAGTCGGACGACTAAATCGCGTCAAGTGGTCATCACTGTACTGCTTGTTCTGGCTAATCTTGTACAGGTATAGTCAGGACACTGGAATTTCTTCAGAACAGAAATCCCCCAATACTGACACTAGCAGATGACAGTCAATTTTGCTGGCATTGCTGGAGGAAGCGCCTTGAGTGAATCACTGGGCGCCAAAGACACCTACGCCTCGTGGATTGCTGCTAGTTATGCGTAAGCTACAAAGCATCGGGATATTACCATTATAGACTGTCTCACTAACATAAACACAGTCTAACTCAAGGTACCTTTGTGTTGGTCAGTGGTAGATTGGGCGATGTTTATGGCCATCGAGAACTCGTCCTAGCCGGGGGTGCCTGGCTCACCATCTGCACTCTAGCTAGTGCCTTTTGTAGCAACTTCTTCGCTTTTGTCACAATGCGGGCTCTAGCTGGTTTTGGAGGGGCATTAATCATGCCTAACGCAGTGGCTATGATATCTAGCACCAATGCCCCCGGTCGCGTGCGAAATCTCAGTCTAGGTTTCTTTGGTGCGTCGGCACCAATAGGAGGATATCTTGGGGCCTTGTTCTTGGGTGCCTTTCTACAGCGAACAGAGTGGAAATGGTTTTTCATCTTCATGTAGGTGATACGTTTGGGAGATCCGGGTGAGAAGTAGGAACTGATGTCTCGGTAACACAGTGCCTGCCTTGGTGTTATCACATTTACTCCTCTCTGGGCCTTGAGTTCGCGAGAACCACCGGTTGATCGACATGGAAAGATCGACTGTATTGGATCAGCTCTTGGAACCAGCTCGTTGATCCTGTTCAACTTTGTTTGGAAGTAAGTTGTCAATAGTAGCCCGAAAAACTGCATATTAACATCTACACAGTCAAGCACCGAGTGTCGGTTGGTCAACATCCTATGAGATCGTTCTACTGATCAGCTCAATTATTTTGTTCGGAGGATTCTTGCTTTGGGAAAGGAACTACGCCGCAGCGCCCATCATGCCACTCGACATTTTCAAAGCTCCATCCTTCCTCATGCTACTTTTGGTGGTACTTCTCAATTATATGGCGGTAGGAACCTTGATCTGGTACCAGGTTCTATGGCTCCAAAAGGTCTGGCACTGGTCTCCCCTGCAATTTGCCGTGGGCTGGACCCCATTCGTGATCTGCGCCACGGGCGCTGCGTGTCTCGCAGCCTGGATGATCCCGCGAATGGCGGCACAATGGATCCTGGCAATTGGAACAGTCACGATTTTGATTTCAAATGTGCTCATGGCGACCGTGCCAATCCACCAATCCTATTGGGCCCAGATTTTCCCTTCTGTGCTCCTCTTCTCATTCTGCCCGGACTTCGTGTACACGGCTGGCCAAATCATTGCCAGCAACTCCGTCCGTCGAAACCAGCAGGGCATTGCCGCGTCCGTCATTGGCACTCTGAATTTATACGGAAACAGCCTCGGGTTGGGTTTTGCATCCACCATCGAGGTGCAAATTGCTCGCCGCTCGGGTAGTCAAATCATGGGTTATCGAGCAGCACTTTACTTCGGTGTTGCTATCAGTGCTGTAGCACTTATACTTGACGTCTGCTTTGTCCGACTGGTTAAGGATGACCGGGAAGGCTGGCATGAGGATGATCACATGGAGGAAATTGAGCTGAACGAGCAGGCCGAAGCTAGCGGTGTCCATCTACCCAATGTAAACCATTAAAATTGGACACTGCATGTAGACACGAGACTGAAAACCGGTAAAATATCGGCAGACCGAACGTGGGGTGCCGGGCGAATGCCGGGTTGAGCTTGCAGTAAAAAAATCATTTAAGTCAAGTGGATAAAAGGTTGAGAATCTATTTGTCAAAGTTTTTTCTCGGGTGACGTCCGTGATACTCCAGACCGTATGTTCTGTTTTGTTTCCATATACGGGGTAAAATGTCGTATTTTGCGTGTGGCTTTCCCCACGTTATGCTAGACTTAAGTTACAGTGACTTTGCGGGGATATGATTTTATTAATGCTTCGGTGAGAGAAAAGAGAAACCCAAACCTGGAAGAAAAAGTAAAAAGAAAAGGAAAACTGCGGAGAGGCGGGGAAGTAGGGGATTGGCCATATGCCGTATGCCGAGCTTGGATTCCGTGTGGAGATCGGCTCTTCTGGCTTTTCTGGCTGCTTGTTGTTGGCCGGTTTCTTCCGTGTTCTTGGTCTTTTGTGGGGATTTTTGGGGGTCTCTTGTGGCCCGTGAAGTCCGAGAGTCGGTGAAGTCTCTGATCCCGTGACCCCATGACCCCTAGGAATGCTCCCGAGCCGACGGGGTGAAGTTGCCCATGATGCTCCATATGTTGTAGCTCTTAATGTTATAGTTGTAATATTTATAGGAAAAAATAACGGCGCCACCTATTGTTCCTTTCTGCCCTTTAGGATTGTTTTATCAGATGCATCCATCTCCGGCTTTTACCCGGGATCGTCGCATACCATGTCATGGACATGGATGCCATTCGTTGAAGCCGAAATCCCTTCGGAACATTTGCTCTTCTCGGAATTCCAGTCGGTCGGCTCCACTATAACCCCCGCGTACCATGTACATATGATTTTAGGCGTGGGGGTACGTACCGGGGAAGTCCATAAAAAATACTAGCGCGGGGGGAACCATGAGAAGGGATTTTGGTTCCTCTTAAATAGAAGAATCTGCTCCTCTTTAATCCCCGGATTATTTGGCTTTCCTCAGATCACACACACAAAATGGCAGACGATATCTCACGGGAAAGCCGTGACCGGATTGAGATCGAGGCCGAGAAGGAACGGATTGAAAATGTCGAACACATTGCCTCACCACAGCAAGATGGCACACCTCGGATGGATCCAGCACGCCGGATAGTGGTCGAGAAGTCGCTCAAGCGCAAGCTTGATGCCCGTTGCAGCCTTTTTGTGGCGATCTACAGTGAGTATTCCTCGCCGCCTGCCAAACCTCTCCAACCCCCATGGGCGAGCTATACATCAACTTCGCATCACTAACATGACTTTTCGTGGCCAGTTATGAACTATTTGGATCGTAATAACATGGCTGCTGCTCGTCTTAAGGGTCTGCAGGAAGATCTCCAATTGAGCAATACCGAGTACTCAACATGTCTGAGTATCCTCTATGTCGGCTACATCATCATGCAGGTACCTTCCAACATGTTCATCAACCGCATTAGCCGGCCCTCGCTCTACATTTCCGTGGCGATGCTATTGTGGGGTGTTATCTCCACCTTGTCCGGCAACACCAAGAGCTTTGGTGACATGGTGGCTGTCCGTTTCCTGCTGGGCTTTGTTGAGGCAGCCTTCTTGCCCGGTGCTCTCCTCATCCTCTCCAAGTGGTACACCCGCCGCGAATTGACTACCAGGAATGCCATCTTGTTCTGTGGTAATCTTATCTCCAATGCATTCTCTGCTCTCGTTGGTGCCGGTGTTCTATCCAACATGCAAGGTGTCTTAGGCCACGCCGCGTGGCGCTGGCTTTTCTGGATCGAAGGCTCGGTGACTATGTTCCTTGCCATCCTTGCCGCATTCATCTTGCCTGATCTGCCCCACAATGCACGCGGCTTTACCGAGGAAGAGCGCCAAGTTGCGCAACTTCGAATGCTCGAGGATGTCGGCGAGGCGGATACCGACAGTGAAGAACTTGGTGCCTTTGGAGGACTCAAAATGGCCCTTCTTGACCCCAAAATCTACGTAATGATGCTTACATTCACGGCTTATGTTGTCGGTTTGTCATTCAATGCCTTCTTCGTAAGTACTTTCATGTCGAACAACCGATTGGGACCTTTTACTGACCTTCTTCATAGCCTACGCTCACTGGTACCCTCGGATTCGCATATGTCCCAACTTTGCTGATGAGCGCTCCTCCCTGGGTTTTCTCATGCATTGTCTCCGTCATCAACGCATGGCATGCGGACAAGACACAAGAAAAGTTCTGGCACGTCATTGGCCCGATAGGCATGGGAACTGTTGGTTTCGTCATCTGCATGGCCACGAGCAACGTCGCAGCTCGCTACGTCGCACTATTCCTGCAGGCTGGTTCCTACGCAGGATTCATTGTATTCTATTCATGGATCAGTTCCTCTTTCCCCCGCCCTCCTGCCAAGCGAGCCGTCGCCATTGCCATGATCAACGCTTTCAGTCAACTGGGCAACGTTGCTGGCTCATATGTCTGGGATTTGCAAGACAATGGGTACCGCTCTAGCTATGGAATCGTCCTATCTATGTTCGGTGTCACAGTCGGCGGATGCTGGTATTTCCGCTGGATGCTGGTCGGCTTGAACCACCAGCTCGAGGAGGGTGAGCTTGCCGATGTTGCTAGGGGGGAGCCGACCGAGAATGATATCATCGATAGCCAAGACGAGTCGCTGCGTATGCGCAAGGGTTTCAGGTATCTGGTTTAGTGTTTCATTATCGTGTTAGGATACTTTAGTCGGCACCGGAATTTAGGTGTCTCAACAATTCAATTACCCTCATCGCAACAATGAAATTAGACATCTCACTCTTTGTAGACTGTTATTCACAGGCTTTGAGTTCTCGGAGTTTTATTAATTTCCCTAGGTAGTTCGGTGATTGAGAAAAATGGGTGCTATGGGTCTTGTACCTTTTGTATGGGTACACCATATAAAAAATACATAATTCTAATAATTATCATCACTACATTTATGTAGATGAGCCACATTTCACCTGAGGATAAGAACAAGATCAGATTGCTCTGATGGCGTTGAGATGAGATACTTTCGTTAAAATCTAACGTAAATCTCTGGATAGGATATAACTCACAGCCCTAACTAGCTTAGGATACTAGAAGACCCTCCATTGGGGTTTCCCTCTAGATTCTTCTGAGGCTGATACTGTATTCATTCCGATCATGTAAGGCCAAATGAAGAGGGGTGTGCGGAAGCAAAATAATCATCGTGAGCGTCAGGTAAAGTCACCTACTTGAATTTGAGAGTAGTGCGAGCTGTGCTCTCGTTAGCATTGATTGCTCTTGATTCCGTAATTTCTACAGCTACTACTCTTCCCGATCTGTAAGAGAAACATGGCAAGGTGAGTCTTAGATGCCCCGTCACATTGAATGAATTATATTTAGTGCTTACCCTTCGCTATGAGTAAATTCAAAGTTGGTGCATTTAAAGGTAGTCTTTGGATTTATCTTGACACATCTATAAAACAAAGAAAACAAAGCGAACAAAGGATCTTTAGCATTTGGTAGAGCAAGCATGCAGATCGCGACATAAATTATCAAATTAACATTCAAATCAGTCATTAGTCCTTATTCAAATTGCATATCCCATCCTCACTCGCTGCAACCATTCGTTATCGATTATCACGTCGGTTTCTCTTGGTGTTTGAGGATCTTGTAGGAAAAAGAGATGAAATTGAATGATAAGTGGACCCCCGGACAGTTTGACTGTGTCGGCCTCGCTTTCTGAAACCTCAATATATTGGGATTAAAGGGATCTGCCATTGGCATGATCCCATACCCACTTGTCAATACTATTCATGGGTCGTCGGCGATTGACTTTGATTGCCATCGCAATGTTGGCATTCCCTCTGATAGGGTCAAGCCAGAGATCGATATCACGGCGAAGTTTTCTTTCAGTCTCTGACATAGCGACTTCCAAAACCACCGTAGGCCTCCGACCATGTAACAAAGGCCCTTTTTCGTTGAGGCTGTTGAGGCCTGAATGTGTTGGAGTCCAGGGGCTGTCTGTAGGTTGTTCTTCCCCAAACTACCTCCCGCTAGTTCAGCCGTTTGTCATCAAGAAAGCTGCCACAAGGGTTTGGGCCACGAGTTGAGAATAGTAGCTCCATGTTCCATGCACTCAACCCTAGGATGGGGTACTGCAAGATTTCGAGCATCCAGACTCGTGTAGTAAAGATCACAAAAGCGGGGAATTTCGCTATCGCGTTAGGCAGTGTGCTTCTTGGGCTGGAAACAATGTTGCTGAGTGAGGTCTCCTCCATAATAGGCGGTTGCAAACCAATACCACTCAATATACGGGGGAGAAGCATCAAAAGGGACGGACCGGAATTTGTATGTGAGGTGTTCGGCGACGGGGTGGCGACGGTGACATGGGAGGGTTATCGCCGTTGGACGATGGTAATGATGTGTTGCCTGATGAGAAGGCCAAAGCTTGTACATGTAGAGTACACGTAGCTAGTAATAGGCCACGGAAGCGTGCAATGGTGTTGAACTTGAGAGCTTGAAGTAAAGGCTACTTGTGAGCACAAGATGTGGTGGTTGTGTTGGTGTTAAAGAGGCAGGAATGAGCTGAGGCAAGTGAGAGTGAAGTAAGGATATGCGTGCAAGTGTGGAATATGAGATGATAGATCTGACTCTCCCTACTTTTGGATCTTCCCTCTTCGAAATCTATTAGTCTCTTTCATCTATTCACTTTGCAGCTGAGACTCTCCTTCCGAGAAGTAGGAGCATTCTGAGTACTGTATATCGTCGATTTTCATGTGTTGGTCATGGAATTCTACAACGTAGTAATTTTCATTGGTTCCATACAAAATTCCCTGCCAGTCAGTCTATAGACCCAATACCAGATATCTATATATTTGTTCCATTTTACTCTCACTTGAGACACGATACCAACTTTTGATATCAGACTGAGAAACAGGAAGATGAGTTCTATTGTCTTATTCGATTCGACTCTTAGCTCTATGTCTATCGGTCCTCACGAACCAAAGTGCGGTACTGGTTATTGGGATCCTGCTCCTCTTCTTCCGCCGATGGAATTGTCTTCTTCACGCGGCAAGGAGTGCCAACAGCGACGGAGAACGGCGGGATATCCTTAGTGACAACAGAGCCAGCTCCAATTGTTGAGCCTTGACCAATTCGCACACCGGGAAGAATGATCACATTACTTCCAATCCAGCAGTCGTCTTCGATGAAGATTGGGTGGCCAAACTCAACGAACTTGCGGCGAGACAGAATGCTCGTATCATGGCCAGCGGTGATGATACTAACCCCAGTGCCGATCTGCACACGGTCGCCAATGACAACTAGGCTGGTGTCTAGTATAGTAACGCTAGGAGTTGTTGGTAAGTTTAATAAGACACAGGGAGAAAAGCCAGGCTTACTTCCAGTTGAAAAAGCATTCCTTTCCGATAATAGTATTGCATCCGTAGTCTGGCAAAAATGGTGGCTCAATGAATGTTCCATCTCCGACTTTACCAACGAGTTTCCGCAATAACTCTAGACGCTTCTCGCCAATCTTGTCATAAGTCACGGTCTTGGTGTCCAGATTGTTGAAGTCTGCAGCAAGTCCCCGGCACAGATGCCGCGCCTCTAGCAGTTTTGGGACGTTCGGGTTGTACCTAAACAGTTAATAATCCATCTTGTAAGGCTGTAAGAATACATACATCATTCCAGATACCATGCGCTCATAGTCCTCGCACAAGGGCACTCCTGGCAGTCCCCGAGCAAGCTCAATGATCTCAGGGCGTTTCTCAGTGGCAGCCATTTTGAAAATGAAAGATATTTGATAAATGTAAGAAAACAAGGATCATAGAATAGATCAGGATAATACGAGATATATGGACCGGGGTCCGTCACCAAGCGGGGTGATTTGCCGACAATTCGCCGCTGACGAGGTGGAGAATGCCAAGAGCTGGCGGGCCTTCCTATTTGGGTATACCAGCCAATCTATTCAATCACCAAATTTACAAGTCTAAAACATAAGCGTTGATGTTGTAAGTATTGTTTAAAATATCAAGTCTCTTAGATCGCAGACCATCTGAACAAACTCACCCGTGAATTAGACATCAAACTTGCGAACACGCCTCACAACCTCCTCCACATCCACCCAAATCCGCTGTCGATTCCGCAACCCCTTGAGCTTGTCCCAATTGAGTTGAATTTGCACAAGCACACTACGCCAATCGGTGTTCGTTCGAGGCAATTTCACTTGCCCCGGCATGATCACTGATAAAGGAAATCGGCACTCGGCAACTCTCTCAGCGGCCTGCTCTGTATAAGAATCTCCACGCAAAGTCTCGGCATAGGTACTCCGTGCTCTGATAACGGACTTGATCTCGGCTGTTGTGACATTTGTCCAGAGCGAAGGGTTGTGTATGCATTCGGATTCATCCCAGGCTTCCCATAGCCAGGGCATTTCTCTGCGTACTAGTCTGTACCACACACTGTTCGGGAGTTCAGTGAATGCCCTAGAAGCAATGCTTAGACTAGTGATGTCACTAGAGCCTAAAAGGTCGATAATCATGAGCCGAATTTCCGCGGGAAGGGAAGAAAAAACGTCGACCTGGCTGCTGTGGGATGTGGTAGGGCGGTTCGTCGCGGATCGAGACATCTTAATCTGATCATATGGGTTATATGAGAAACAAAGTCCTTCCTCCTTCACCGCAGCGAGCAGAATTTCTGATAGCCCGGGCACGTAAAGGGGATTGGCAACCAAATACTCGGTACCAGGCTTATGGGACCACCACTGGTCTTGTGAACTTTTAACATCTTTGGCTCGAGGAAATGATTTAAATGCACTCCAGTCAAACTCTGCATTACGCCAGGCCATGAGGCCTGAAATATTGACGTGCTGAAACTGGACTTTGGATTGTCGGCAGAAGATATCGAAGCACCACGGATGGAACGGCATGGCTATATCATCGGGCACTGCTTCTCGCGCCTTTCAAGTGTCAGCTTCGGGCTGTCCCTCCCAGACCGTTCAAGAACGCATTTTCAAGATAAACCTACCGCAAAGTTCACATTGTCCGCCTCTACATCTTCTATCCCATTTCGCACGGGCCACACTGTTGGGATGTCCGTATCGCGTGACGGCGTTCCATCACAAATCCCGGATAAAGACCAATCTCCATTGATCTCCCAGGGCTCATGCAGCTCATCAGCCTGCCATTGATCCCTCGGAGAGTCTTTATGCATCAGGAACTGGGCGGTGCGACAGCCTCTCGCCTCTTCAGGTGAGATAGCATCAGCCGAATAGCCCGACATTGGACTATCAAAGTATCCAACACGCAGTTCGGGCTCTCCCCTCGTGACGCTTCGGGGATTAAAAGTTTGCAATACCCAATTGTAATACATTTGGCGTTCGGAGTCATGATTTGTATCGGTATTGTTGTCTTCGCTGTCTTCCTTGTCATGCGCACCTTCTCCGTCAAGGCTCAAGCAGTCGGTCGATTCGTAATCGGAGTCATATTCATATGGCTCATTGTCTTCATAATTTTGTTGGGGTTGATAATCAGGATCTTGAGCCGTGTCGTCATTGTCCGTAGAATCAATTGCGTCCGTCTCATCGAACTGGCCGTCTTGAGGACCAGGCACGTCTAGTTCCCCAGATTTTAGGCGGAAGATGATGTTAAAGCTCACGCCACAAAGATGGCAGTAGAACTAATAAACTATTAGATACATTGTACAATTGTTAAGGCGGAAAACCGTACCTCGGAATAACCTACACACCCCTGTCAGCCATGAACTCTGGATAGGATCGCTTTGCGCCGGGTAACACAACTAACTTTTCACTTACCCATTATTTTTCTAATTGATCAACAATTTATATGATCTTGCTATACGCGCTCACTTTCCCATTCACAGAAGAGATACCAAAAAGAAGGAAAAGTGCAAAGTTGTCATTTTTTCTCGTATCTGCGGCCCCGTTTTAGACTAGAGCCATCCCGACATCTCTGATTGGTCGATCACAGGCTATCTGCAAAAGGGCCATAGTGTTTAGAATGTTGGAATCTATTAGTTATTTGGTGGTTATAATTTTTTTTCTGTCGGATATACCCTCAAGGGTAGTCTACCGACTTGTTATGTACACTAACTTCGTCCGCACCGAGCGTTCCACGTCGGACCGCATCAACATCAAATGCAGCCTTGCTATGGAATATAGTTTCCATCTCTTCAAGACTTTTCCCTTTCGTCTCTTTGACAAAGAACCATACAATAATTGCCATGATGATATCCAAGATTGCGTAGAAAAGAAAAACATAACTACCCCAGGAATTCATCATGTAGCGCGTCACCAGGGAGAAAAGGAAATTGAAAAGCCACTGTGTTGACACTGCGACCGAGGTTCCGATCTCACGAATTCGTGTTGGGAATATCTAGCATGCTAATTAGTGGTTGAACTAGGGATAGACGAACGGAGTATTACTTACCTCGGCGGTGTATGGCCATGGCAATGGGCCCCAACTGAATTGGTAGATCGAATTCGTCAGAAAGATCATAGCCACCATGCCGATACCAGCCGGAGTGGCTTTTGCATCGGGCGCTGGCGTGGTTTCCTTGACGACTGTGACAATAATGAAGCACGCAGCCATCAAGAGGGCTGAAATCCAAAGGGTCGGCTTTCGCCCCCACATCTCGGAGAAGAATAGGATATAGATGCCAACAGTGATAAACTTCTCGGCACCAAAGAGACCAGTGATGAGAAGGGATTGGTTGGTGTTGTTGCCTACTAGCAGTTTGAAGAACTGCGGGCCAAAGTAAGCCAACGCAGTCATACCAGTGCACTGCTGACCACAGAACATGAAGACAGCAAGGAGCAGTCTGTAGCGGTTTGCGGGCTCAAGGAGTTCACGCTTATTGAAGCCCTCAGTTGCTCGTGACTCTTCCTCTAGTCCAACACGGATTTCGTTGAATTCAGCCTTCACTTCGGGGCCTATTGGTTGCTAGTTAGCCCTATGCCCCCTCATCACTTTCAAAGGAATATTCCCTTACCGTCACTAGCTCGCATCCATTTCAAGTTCTCCCATGCTTCGTCAAAGCGGCCCTTCTTGGCCAACCAACGTACACTTTCAGGCATACCAAAGAGGCCCAGTGCGAGAACTCCGGCTGGCACCATCTGGAGACCAACAGGGATCTGCCACTGCTTCGAAGAGACAGGCAGGGTGAGCTTCACGGCGTAGTCAATCCAGTAGCTCAGCATCACACCCAGTGCAAAGAACCATTGCATCCCTGACCCGAGCTTGCCGCGAATTTCCTTGGGTGCCATTTCAGCGTTATATGATGGGACGACCGCAGTGCCTGCACCGAGACCAAGGCCAGCGACAAACCGCCCAATATAGAAGCAAACGAGTGAGTGTGATGGTACCACCTGCAACACCACACCGAGGCAGAACACGGTCATGGCTGCTTGGACTGTCTTCTTTCGACCGTACCTTTCAGACACCCAGAAGATACCCAAGGCTGATATGAATGCGCCTACGTTTTGCAAGCTTACCATCACAGCACTGACGGTTGTTTGATCCTTGTAGCCAAAATCATTGATGTAGGACTTGAACTCCAGGATACCACCTATCCGACAAGACCGTTAGTGATGATCAATGATCATGACCTGGCTTTCTTTTTCACTTACCAACAATTCCAGTATCATATCCAAACAAGAAACCGGCTGTACAGATGAAATATCCAAAGAAATATGCTCGGAAGGCCCCAAGCCTGGTCCCTGGTAGCCCCATGCTGTGCGATGTAGTTCACACTACGAATATTCGCAGGAAAGAAAGAATGAGAATGTTTAAAAAAAGAGCCCGGGACACCTCTTGATACTTTTAAATCTAAGCTCTTTAGGGCTTCAATGCTTGATTACCCGATCCGGATAACGCAACCTGTAGTATCGGATACGCCATAGCACGCCATATCACCGAGCGTCCTGTCTATCGCTAGACACCAACAGAGGCCTCAAGCCAAGAAAGTGCCACACAAATAAGAAACTTCATATGGCCGACTAATACCGAAATTCGCCTATTTATACATACCGACATATATGCATACATGATGTAGTAATACACCCACTCCGCATATAAATTCAGAGTCCCCAGCTTCTCCGCGTTTTGCCAAGACCCCCCGGATCACCCCCTTTCGGCCTGTCGCTTCAGTCGCCTCGACCCGAATATCTATATATTGTATGACATTTATTAGATTGACTATCATTGACTGCACATTTGCCTAAAACAAAAAAACTTAAAAGAGGAGGGCAAAGCAAAAAAGGAATATCCTTATAGGCCATAGTTTGAGACTAGGGAATCGCACCCTGGTCATCTTCTGACGTTGGGAGGAACGCGCGTCTGCCGCACCTCTGACGACATGCGTCGAAGTGGTACATGACGTTCTTCGACCTGAACGGTGCGAGTAAGAAAAGCGAAGGTGGCCCGTTATTCAACTCGATTACGTAGTTGTCACACAGTTCCAGTGGCTAGGCGATATCCCTTACTGCCGCACAGCGAAGATCGTGGGCAGAAGAAATTGACTTGATGACCCGCGTGACCCTAATCTGCATCGCTCTCGGTCTCGATTTCCTCCGCTAGAGCCAGTGAGGTAAATGTCACAGCAAGAAGGGCCGAGTGGGCATTCTTCTCGACCCCAAATGCCACACCGAGAGACGCTGTGTTTATACCACTCGTCGGGATCTCGGGATCGCCTTGCTGGTTGATCCACTGCTCACACCGGGACGGGTGGATCTTATGCCTTATCCTGACCCGCTAGTATAAGTATGTGATATCCATACCATGTATTAGTATGAGATCTGTCACGTCCTCAGGAATTTAACTTTGGGGACCTAAACGGAGAGGTCGTGGCGCATATATCTCGGGAGATACGATACAGTGCACGTAGGTTCCAGAAGTCCTCCTGGATTTCCCAACATATTGCTCCGTTGCCCCTTGGTCTGTTGGATTGGGAGAGTGCTCGAAGAGCGAATCTGTCACCTTCTCGCTGGTGATAGCCAGCTTATTCATCGGGAGATTGGCATCTACCTACCCGTGGACGAGTACCCTACGGTGAAAGAAACTTAAATGACCTGGGTGATCCTTCCCATTTTATTTCCAATCTTGCGAGGTAAGAGCCTTCGCCCATGTACTCATTGTAATCGAACTAGCAACTTGGCTCTTAGCGAAACCCTTATAAGCCAAGATGACAGTGCGATTGAGCAGACCTTGGAATACAGCAAGTTCAGCTATCAAGTTCTCATGCATTGTAACGAAGCTATCACAGGAAGTCCTCGGCGTACTCCTCATACTCTTGCATGAAGTCCTCCATATTGAATTTGGTATCCAGCTTCTTGTCTGATAAAATGATATTGCCTGCTTCAATGTACCCCTGTCGGAATGTTGCGAACAGTGCTGGGCTCCTCGAGTAATGTGGAATAAACCGCTGGTTATCCCCTGTCACCATGGCTCCTTTAAAAGCTTGATAAACAACATCGGGATCCTGAGTTAGATCTACCACCTCGCATTGTCCGAAATCCAAGAGATACAGCTGAACGGCACGGTGCTGAAAGTTCGGCGCATGGTCTGTTCCCTGGGCCGCTGTGGCCGATGTCCCCAACACAAACTCCACATCATCACCGTTGATGGCCCCACCCCAGTTCAAGGTTGCGTAGGCTTTGCCCATCGCATTTGCAAGAGGGACAGTCTCGATGCCGATCTGCTCCATTGGGTCAAGGCACAGAGGAAAGTTTCTTAGCGGAGTCTTGCGGTCAATGGTACCATTCGCGTTGCCGAGGTAAACCCGGGCAAGGCAGTGCTTGTTTTGAGGATTATTGAGGATGGCTTCGATTTCAGTGCCATTAAGATGTTGTTCGGGGGCGCAGAACTGGGAAATCAAGGCTTTTCGCACGACTTTTGGTAAAGGAAGAATGCGTTCCATCATCACAAGGTCACCGCGCACGCGGTAAGGCTCAGGGGTTTTTGGTAAAATCTCATCCCAGAAAGCACTGTTCTCTTCCTTTGAGATAAACCTGAGAGGTTTCGGAACATGAACTTCGGTGTTGATAGACTGATAATATTCGAATGTGGCGGAAACACCACGGTGGATTGTATGCTCATGAGAGAGATTTGACCGTAGCTTCTCATTTCCTGGGCTTTCCTTCTTGAGGGCCAGAGGCTTCCCAACTTGTTCAAACACGGCTCCTTGCAGCCCAGATCCAATTTGGTTGAGGTATTGAAGGTTGGGTTGAGAGCGGGCATTTTGAAAACGGATGCTGAAGGAAGAGGCTGTCGAAATAACAGAATTCAAACTAAGAGAGCGTTTGAGAATAACCGAGTCTGTCATGAGTCCGAGATTCGTTGCTAAAAATCGTTGGGAAATTCTCGCGTTCTGTGCGATAGACAGAGCTTCCGAGTTCGTAGACTCATCGCTGCTTTTGCCTTCACGCCGTTGAGCCATGACGATTTCACACTGAGATATTGTTTGTGTGTTGTAGACTATTGAACGAAGACAGAAGAGGCTGGGTGGTTGTGACGTTCACGGGCCACGTGCCAGTCCGCCGTTTCTTTAGGGTATACGAGTAAGCGAGAATGACCTCAGGAGAAAGATTGTCTCAATATCATTCAACTCTCTCTGCAATTTGAGGAAAAACCTCTATTGAGAGTCAGTCATTATACATCAGAGCAAGTTATGATGTGAAACTCGGTTCTTGTCGATGCTTGAAAGGCCAGTACATACCATAATCCCATTGAATATTACGTAGAACATATCCTGGAGATCGTAGATAGATGATTCCAGCTCTAGAATCGTAGATATTGACGTAAAATGTGAATGTCAGTCGGGGTTGAGACTGGGTGTTTTGCGACAGCTTCGGGTCTGCGTTTGCTCTCCGGCCAATACAAAACCTTTTTTTCGGACTTGATCTCTCACTTTCATTTTCTTCTTCAAATCAGAGTCTCTATTTCTTCACTTCCGCCTCTCTCTCTCTCTTTCCCTTTCTCTTTTCCTCTTCATCTGTCACTCTTTTCTGAACATCCACCACTACCTATCTTCTCATCTGTCCATCCTAAACCAGCACACCTATCGCACTTCTTGTCGTCAACAAAGGTATCTAAAGACAAATATCCACTCAATCTGTTGATTGGCTAAGCTAACTGATGTCGTCAACTTTAGACAACCACTACCATGATGATCCCGCTTGTCCCCTCGGACCATCCCAACCAGCATCTGCGGAAGCTGGGCGCGCAGTATGACCCAGACCTTCCTATTAGCTTTGCGTTTGGTCTCGTCGGCTTGCAACGAGGCTGGAAAGCTGGCTCTGAGACCTGGAAGAGAAATTGGAATGCATGCATGAACTGCGAGTATGACCGACACATTGGCTCCCGGGTGACCACCCTCGCGACTTGGCAACAGCTATGTGCCAAAGTAGGAATCAAAGATTCCGTCAAATCAATCAATCAATGCAAGAAGGTAAGACACCAGTTCCTTTCCTCATTTAACATCACTCGCTTACTAGTCTACCTAGGCCCTGGCTCGTGTCCATGTGAACATCGTCGACGTCCTCGATTCATGGGACTCCGACACTACCCCAATTCGATTCAAGAACAAGAAGGCTCTTGCTGTCTACACTAAGTCGAACCAGAAGTTCTTCAGACGCGACATCGCGAAGCAGGACAAGGTTCTCCGAGTTCTGCTGCGCAAGCTGCTTTGAAGAATAATTCTTCACAAATGTACAGCAATATGCCCCTTCGAGGGACCATGATCTCTAGGAATACACGGGGGGCATTCTGTACAGCGTGAGCTACATAAATCTTGTAATACAAAGCCATAAGATGAGGAAGCTTTTCCTTAATCATAGCTGAGATTTAAATGACAACCTAACCCATTGAAAGTACTGTCTAGTTACATGGTATAGAATATTGCTGTAGGCTCTTGTAACTGTACGTGGGTTTAATTTCCCTTCCAAGTTATGTGACAGCTTCTTGATCTTTTTACCTCCTTCAAAGACAGTCACTCCTCTCTCACTCCACTTTTTTCTCACCCGTCACCTTCATCTACTGCTCTCCTCTTACAATCCTCCAAATCTTCTCATCCCTCTCTCAAATCAACATCTCTATCACTTTCTTCAACGTGTTGTCCACAATTGTAAGAATAATCCCCATCTTGCTGATCGACTAGGCTAACCTGTGTCGTCGACTTTAGATAACAGCCCACTTTCAACATGCGTACCCCAGTTGCTCCTTCCGTTCTCTCTGGGGTTTCTCCCCCAGTCTCTCCTCCACGGCATCCAAACAAGCATCTGCGAGAGCTTGGCGTCTCCTATGACCCAGAGCTTCCTATCAGCGGTGCCTTTGGACTGATCGCCCGGCAGCGGGGCTGGAAGCAGTGTTCCAAGACCTGGAAAAAGAGCTGGAACGCCTGCATGAATGCCGAATATGACCGCCTCATTGGCTACAGTGTAGCCAACCTGGCTACATGGCAGGAGCTATGTGCCAAAGTAGGAATCAAGGATTCATTCACTTCCATCAACCAGTGCAAGAAGGTAAGGTCCCCGTCCTAGGCAATTTGGTATCACCTGTTTACTGGTATAGGCTCTTGTGCGTGTGCATGTTAATCTTGTTGACCTTCTGGATTGCTGGAACTCGGATAACATCCCTACTCGATTCAAGAGTAAGAAAGCCCTTGCTATTTACACCGAGGCGAATAACAAGTTCTTTGGTCGTCACATCGCCAAACAGGACAAGGTCCTCCGAGTGCTCCTACGCAAGCTTCTCTGATGATGTACAATGATCTCTTTTTGAAGATATGGGATCCCTAGGGGTGCACTAGGTGCGCCACGTACAGTTGGAAACAAGGAACTCATCTTGAAATGCAAGGATAGCGAGAAATGAAATCAACTTCTTCAACATTGTATATTGTACTTGTCACCCTATCACCTAGATATTTTGCTTACATTTATCCAATGGCTCGAGTCCCAGTTCAGTGGGCTTTGTGCACATCTTTTGCTAGGTGCAGATTTCGTGATATTCATCACCCAATTTTTGTTCTCAAGCAATAATCTCTGTGACCATCGGGCAGAGGCGTTTCCCTTTGTCGGGTCATCAAACTGATGCTAAAATATTAAATGTTATCAAAAGGTACAGTGATGATAATTGATCATGCAGCTTGTACGTGCAACATGGGTTTCCAAAACGACACCATAGCTATTCATAGCTGTTGTCGATAATCGAGCAATGTTTTTTGGTGTCACAGGCTTGCGAGTTCTTGATGCGAGCGCATGCTCGATCCTTCCAATGGGTCATTCTCAATCAAGAGTTTGTGCTAATGCACCTCAAGGTATGCGAGCAGAGAGGTTTGCTGCCGCTATTATTTCCAGATCAAAGTGAGGGTTCCACTTTTCCTACGTATGAAACGCCGAGTATATATAATGCAAGCCATTTCCAATGACGCAGATGGCAGAATTAGTATATCATTTTCTATTTAATATCACCACATGTCGTCTAAATACATCTGATTCAATGTATCAAACATGTTGTAGTCGCTGGGTAGACAATTGGCCGAGAACGCAAAGCCGAGGTTGTTGATAAACACCCCATGAGGATTACTAGGGGCTGGCGCAAGTCCAATCATGCTGTTTTCATTTTGTTGGTGATTGTTGCTCGGAGTAGGAACGTCAAGCCAATTGGTATTTGGAAGTGATGGGGCCAAAGGGGTGTTTTGAACATGCAGGTCTTTCTGGTTGGACAGACATTGTAGTGGATCAGTCGGGGTCGGGGCCATGGGCCCTACGTAGAGATCCATGTCTGCCGGTTGACACGGAGTTGTGCAACCCACTTTCCATTCCAATGGAGGGGCGGGTGGCATATGATCGATATCACAGTTCAAACGTTGGCAATACAATTTCTCCAGATTCTGTCCGATACGCTTTGCGATATCCCAGGACGTCGAGAGTTCCCGCAGAACCTGAAGGCAGAGTCCCACAGCTGCCTGTGGTGACGGGCCTTGCGAGGTCTGGTTTCCTGTAACAGGTCTCATAGCGGCATCAACGCAGCATCTTTCTATGATGAGCGATGCCGCTGAGAGCATGCAGTATGTGGCTGTTATAGGGCTCAGCTTGAAGCTGCCAAATCTCTGTCTATATTTCTGGGCCACAACGCACGTTCCTCGGATTGAGGTTTTGCATATTGCCGTGACTTTCTGTTCCCAGGCGGACTCCGATTCTTGGCAGCTGCTGTTCTGTTGTGTCTGTGGGTCTATGGGATTGCCAACATCTGGAGTGGTAGAGTGATTGCTCAGAAAGGGCACACAAAGTAAAATGCACACAGTATGATATACCATGCACAAAGTATAGGCGTGAGAAAATCGGGAGGGACCAGATGGACGGTCAACTTTGAGCTCTGGGGCGAGATCGTAGTACCAGGTCTTGAGTTCAAGGATACAGGAGTCAAAAAATGCAGAACGTTGTTTGGGTTGGAGGAGTGGCTTTGGAGACCAACTTCGGTGATATATGTCAGTGAGACAGTTTAGATAGTAAAAATGTTACAATAGACTCACAACGAAAGGAGAACTTTCTCGAATATACGACACAGGTCGATCATTGCCCTATGCAACTGTACCACGTCTCTTTGAGAAGCAGCCCGTAATTGTCCATTGCCATTTGCTGAAGGCAAATAGACATCCGAGGCACACAAGGAAAATGGTTTGTTGACGACACCCTGGGAGTCCTGCGCGATGAATGAAGGTGAGTTTGATGCAGAGGAAATATTCTTGGCGGTACAGCATACCAGTAACGTGCACACCCTGCCTGTGTAGCTCGCTGACAGTTTATCGTGGCAATACAGGGCCCAATAGATCTGTCTTCGCAGCTCAATTTCAATGGGTGGGAGAGCAACTGCTCCGGAAAGGACCGAAGGATCCATATTGAAACCCATATCCAGGGCCAGGCGATTGGCCATACCTTGATGAAGCCACCCCGCAGCATCGGATCCCATTGCCTGTCAGATGTTAGTTTGATTGTCTCTCCAAGTAAAAACTCTGTGATATAAGACTTACTATATAGGTCATTCCCATAATGGCCAATGACTGGATTGTTGTGATCTTGGGCCACCTGAGATCGTGTTGAATCAAATTTTCCGCCCTCTCGAGAAATACCTTGCCGGCTGTGTTTGAATCATTCGGGTCTGATCTCACTTCTATGCGATCGCAGTACCTTGACCCTAAAGCGAGGATGCAATTTAGAAGAAGGGGGGTAAAGTATCGACCGCCATGTCTCATTGATTCTCGGAACAGTTTCTCGTTCACGACCTGGAACCATGGCTGTTCCCACTCAAAATACAGGTCAATCAAATGAGATCGAAGCCCGTCTTCTGGTATCAAGCTTTCTTCTAACAAGCCTGTACTCCCATTCAGCAGTGTCTCATCAGGTTGTATGGAAGGGCCGTCGGACTGATATGCTTGTTCGTTGCGGAAATCTAGAGATTATTAGCAAACATCTATTCTGGAAAAGGCTTCTGCAGCTTGCCTTTTGATGAAGATCGAAACAGTAATCGGCCACTTGCCGGTCCAAAATACCGCATTTCACCATCTTGATCGAAATTTAATGATTCGTCAAGCGTCAGTGCGCCGTCAAACGTAGTACACAAGTCATCAACATTCGAGCAAGCCGGGGCCCACTCGGGGTCAAGCTCGCAATTTTTCGTCATCTGTTGGATAGCGGCATCAGGATCAATGCCATAGGTTTGCAGTACACGCTCCAAGAGTTCAATTCGATTGCGTAGCATGACTACATAGGACTTGGGCGCTGGCTGCCGCCCGTCTTCTGCTGTGGAGTACTCGCAAGGAACGCCACGGTCAAGGCAGCGAGAGCACGACGGTCGAATGCCATCACACTTTAATGATGTTAGCACAAACTCCTGTAACAATAGTTGTAGAGCACTATTATCTTGCCTTAGCTCGTCGTTGTCGACATGTCTCACAAGCTCGGGAGGTATACTTTCTACCTGGTCGCTTGCGCCTAGTAGGTTCATCTGCCGATGCCGCGGACATGGCTGGATGATACGCAAAATCAGGTGGAATTACTTTCGTCCATAGACTCTAGTACAACGGATATCCTTAAGATTGGAGGTCTTCAGCTATTTGGGATGGAATTCCATTCATGGATGAATTCAATCTGACATTACAAAGCAGTTCGACACCTTACTGCCTCAGGTATTAAGGCATCACAAACCCTTAATATCCAGGCCGCAATATTTGATCAATGGTAACTAACGAACTAATAATATCACACGACAGCTCGTTTGCATTTGAGTTTAGAGCTGAATAGACTGAACAAGTGTGGTTCTATATCTGGTTTGGCGAACTTGTTTTCCAAGAGAAAAAAACCTCCCTCCTCCCCCCCCCACACTTTGTCAACTCGGGATATATATTTTAGTTATAACAACACTCACCTCCCGGAGTATCCCCAAATTCATTAACATCCCTTTCTTCAAAGTACACTGTACCTAAGTAGTGTACACGCCCCCGTACGTAATTACCTATCGTCATAGACTAGGTAAAGTTTCCTGCTAGACCGGCATGACCCCATAGGAAGCAGATCGGTGCAGGCTACATGGGACATGGGAAGGGGAAAGAGCAAAGTTTACTCGGGGAGTATCTACTGTTAGGTCCTTGATCGCAGTGAAATGGTGGAGCTCTCTAGGTTTCCATGAATGACACTATGCATATTTGTAGGATCTTAATATTGAAGAGTACAATAAATGTAGCAATGGAAGATCATCCCCAGAAACGATAAAGTCAACCATCAGCTGACTACCCCGCAGATCCGACAAGATGAAGAAAGGCGGAGCATGAGAGTGGCCCCCGAACATTCCGGACCTATTCTTGGGATGCTTTTGGATATATTTTACGGTAGCCGTATATGGTACCTCTGTAGTCAACTACGTAGGACTAATAACCTAATTTATTCAGCTTCAGACGATATAAGGGACGTTATATGTCAGATAACACTTGGATGTCTTTCTACCTCCTTGTTCTTGATGTTCTAGAAAAACAATATTTGGCTATGTACAAAAATACCAAGAATGGGAATGTAATATATATTATATGTATAATAATATGAATAATATGCAGCACAGTAAACTCTACGATGTACAATATACGAAGGCCGTAAAAAGCATGAACCGCACAGAGGACTTTCCAATTTATGATCAAGAATTTGCGCTCAGAAGCGGGATCTTGTAGAGTTGGAGTCATGTAGAATCTCCAATTGCGGTGATAATAGTGCCATATTACTGGCTCTCAACCAGGCTGATATGGATCACGCCGGTAAGGGACTATACAATCTACAATTTCTTTTTCCCCCCTAAGTATCTGTGGAACAAGTGTTCATCCGGTGCAACAAATGGTGTAATATAGGAAGCATTCCATACTTAGTTGAATACATTACTTCTTATCATATTCTCACCATATGCAAGTGGTGCAAGTGGTGCAAGTGGTGCAGTTGGAGACAGAATCCAACTTCTCATTGTATGGGGAATTAGGAACTACATCCGGTGGCGTCCAATGAAATTAAAGAGATATTTTCTTTTTTGTTTTTTTTTGGTCTTTTCTATTTTGCTGTTTTTGGTAGAAATATGGCTGTCTGGCATGAAGGGATCTGGAAATAAACTTCTTATATTATACATAGTACACGGGGTTAGATGCTTGGAAACAAAAGTACCAAGTCCAGAATTGGTCATCTAGTTAAAATCAGTGTTTAGAGATTCAAATGTGTTTGAGCATCATATTTACCTAAAATGTCATGACGTCGAGTTGCAAACATAGGATGTATACAAGATAGGAGCTCTCTATAGGGTAATATAGCGTATCTCCCCCGCCGAAGTGATCAACATAGTACGAAATCTCCATTCTAAATACTACATTGTATGCATAAAATGTAAAATGTTTAAGATATCAATTAAAGAACAGGTGAACAGAAAGGGAAAAAAAAAAAAAAAAAGAGAGAGGTGGGAAGTACGTGGTGCAGGAAACGCACAGCTCACCAATCACCGCCCTCGACTCCTTCGATTCCCCCCCCCCCCCCCNCTTCCTCTTAAAACACTCTCTCGACGTTTTCGCTTCTACTCATTTCTATAACCCTCAGGTCTCAATTTTGATCAAGTTCCCTTTCCTTTCTCGGGTCAGCCTCCCCTGGGGTTGACGTTGTTGATCCAGCGCGTCGCTGTCGCGCCATTCCCCGCAGAGACACGGCTTCCGTTATCCTCCGTCTAACGTTTTGTGTTTCAGCCTGTGTGTTGTCTCTACACCTCTGAATACACAAATTTAACGGATTGGTCAACTGCCATCACCCTGAGGCTCTTGAATTGACTTGTTCCAGAGTCTTACGACTTCGCTATGGACAGTTGATGCTACGGATGAATCAATAACCTCGATTAAGGGCACCCGCGCTGCCCAGCAGACGGTTCTGCTTGGCTGGAACGATATTCTTGTTTTGTTCAATTTACTTTGATCTATTGCACTGTCGCCTCATTACCCCCTTGAACCTCGAATCCCGTTCGGTCGCCCGAGCGAGTCAGGATGGCCAACAATGAATTCCCCAAACCACAATTCCTCGCTCCTCCTGCCGTGACAGCGCTGCGGCAGGAGGCCCGGAATATCGATCCGAAGATGGTTCGAACATTGAGCGATAATATGCGAGAGGAGCGTGAGGATTTGAAGGAAGCAGCTGAACAGACGTTGAACATCATTGTGGATATGGACTTGGAGGGTTGCATCAAATGGGTCAGCCCATCGTGGAGGCAGGTGGTCGGCTCATCCCCTGAGTCAGTTGAGGGCCATATGATATCGGAGATTCTGTTGGGCAACAAGGATGTGTTCCGCGATGCAATCGAGTCCATGAAGCAGGATGATTCACGGAGTCGTTTCATTCGCTTCGCCCTCCAGATGGGACCGGATTCTGTCCTGAAGTACGCGCCTGAACCACCCCCGGCGGCTACAGACAATCAGGCCACCGGCGAAGAGACAGAGAAGTCCCAGGAGGAAGAGTATAATCACAATGTGCTCAACATGGAGGGACAGGGAATCATGGTTTATGACCGGACAGACGATGAAGCTGGCCATGTGCGTACCTCAATGTTTTGTCGCCCACTGTCGTTTATACCGCTGACACCTTCTGAGTACAGACCATGTGGATGTTACGACCACTTACCGAGCCAAGAGAAGTGACAATCGATCTGCCGCCTCTGCTAGTGGAGTCTTTGGGTGTTGGAGCGGAGGTGTTGGCAAATTATTTGACCGAATTGGCTGAGGCTGCAGCGACAGAACCCGACCCTTCCAAGCATCCCGCCCCGACCCCCGTCCTCTGTCGCATCTGTGAACGCCAGATTACGCCATGGTGGTTCGAGAAACACTCAGATCTGTGTCTGCAGGAACATCGGGCTGAGATGGATGTTCAAATGGCACAGGAAAACCTTAATGAGCATCGGCATGTCATTGTCAAGGTCTTGGATGCTTTAGAGGCCCGACAAGGCAGACCTTTCATCGGGAGCGATGGAAACCCAATGCCCCTCCCTCAAGCGGAGTACAAGGGATTGGCGATCGGCCCTGCGTCTGCCAGCTCTGCTCCGTCGTCCGGTCCTGTTTCAGGCAGTAATTCAGCGCCCGGTACGCCGCCTCGGTCGCGAGAACATTCTGCGTCTGGTGCTATTCCAAACCGGCCCCGCTCATTCACAGTGCGGAGACCACTAGCTCGCATCGTGGAACTTGTTCTTGACCTGTGCGACACTTCATTGGAGATTAGTATGCCAATGATCAAGGAATCTTCCCGGACCGACGCAGAGGACTTCCGGACTTTGTCACCACAATCTGAATCGCGGATCTCCCAGGTTCTTCAATGGCAGTCCCCCAGCTCCAACACTTTGGAACAAGAACAGGGTCTGGCCGCTTTGTCGGCAGACACTGAACAAGTTGCCAAGGCAAAGGTTGATGCCGTTGTACGTCATCGCAAGATTGTCGAATACGCCGAACGAATTCGCATAGAATACACAGTGCTAGTTGAGGAATGCATTGGGGCAGCGCTAAGCAAAGCGGAGCGTATAGCTGCTGGTCAGCTCAGCGATTCCTCATGCTCATCCGATGAAGAAGTGGCGCCCGAGAGCACTGTCGACAGCACTGTTGCTCTGGGCGATAGCAATAGTATTGCCGAGGAAGAGTCCCTCTCACAAATCATGAGTCGTGAATTGCAGCAAAGGCCCTATCCAGCGGCACCCTCTCCACGGCGACCGACATCTGCTCTGACTCTGTCAATGCGTAATTCGCCAGATCGGTCATTGCTCTCACAGTCGGAACGCAGACCATCCTCGGCAGCAGTATCCACGGGTTCTAACAGCCCATTGGAATGCCCTACCCCGCGATCTCATAAGAGTGCTGTAGGACTTCTGGGTACATCACAACCTTCTCGACTGGGCCTTTCCCTAGCGGACATTGATGCTGGTGATAGTAGCGATAGCAGTTTGCCGTCGTCTGTGTTCCCAGGAGCTTTAAGAACGGACTCACCTTCGTCCGAGAGGAGCTTCGATCGAAAGCGCCGGAGCCTGGTACTGCCGGGACTTTCGAGTTCTCCTCGTCGGCAGCCTTCTCCCGCGCGAATTTCGGGCCCGCATTCCCCGTTGCGCATGCCGAAGCCCCGTATGTCTAGCGGCGGTGAAAGCCAGCAGTCCCCAGTAGCATCACCATCTGCATACGCAAGTGAACTGGCTCTCCATCACTGCCGTCACCATCGCCGGCAGTCCTCAGCAACCTCTTCAGATGTTACGAAGCCACCACCTTCCCCGCGCTTACCTTCGATGAGCCAGCAACAGCCTCGGCCTGCTCCATTGTCTATCCGCGATTTTGAAATAATTAAACCAATCAGCAAAGGTGCTTTCGGCAGTGTCTACTTGGTGAAAAAGAAGGCCACTGGCGAGTATTATGCGATGAAAGTTTTGAAGAAGGCCGACATGATTGCCAAGAATCAGGTTACCAACGTCAA